CAACAACTACACAACAACAACAACTACAACTGCAAGTACACAACAACAACAACAACAACTACTACTACTACTACACAACTACACAACAACTACAACTACACAACAATAACAACAACTACACAACAACAACAACTACAACTGCAACTACACAACAACAACAACAACTACTACTACACAACAACAACAACTACAACTGCAAGTACACAACAACAACAACTACATAACAACAACAACTACAACTGCAAGTACACAACAACAACTACAACTGCAAGTACACAACAACTACACAACAACAACAACAACTACACAACAACTACAACTACACAACAATAACAACAACTACACAACAACAACAACTACAACTGCAAGTACACAACAACAACAACAACTACACAACAACAACAACAACAACTGCAAGTACACAACAACAACAACAACAACAACTACACAACAACAACAACTACAACTGCAAGTACACAACAACAACAACAACTACACGACAACAACAACTACTACACAACAACACAACAACAACAACAACAACTACACAACAACAACTACACAACAACAACAACTACAACTGCAACTACACAACAATAACAACAACTACACAACAACAACTACAACTGCAACTACACAACAACTACACAACAACAACAACTACACAACAACAACTACTACTACTACTACTACAACACAACAACAACAACTACTACTACTACACAACAACAACTAAACAACAACAGCAACTACACAACAACAACATCAACTACTTCTACTACTACACAACAACTAAACAACTACACAACAACAACTACACAACAACAACAACAACTACACAACAACAACAACAACTACACACAACAACAACAACAACAACTACACAACAACAACTACACGACAACAACTACTACACAACAACAACTGCAACTACACAACAACAACAACAACAACAACAACAACAACTACACAACAACAACACAACAACTACAACTACACAACAACAACAACTACACAACAACAACAACTGCAACTACACAACAACAACAACAACAACAACAACTACACAACAACAACAACTACAACTGCAAGTACACAACAACAACTACAACTGCAACTACACAACAACAACAACAACAACAACTACACAACAACAACAACTACTACTACTACTACTACACACAACAACAACAACTACTACTACACAACAACAACTAAACAACAACAGCAACTACACAACAACAACATCAACTACTACTACTACACAACAACTAAACAACAACAACAACTACACAACAACAACAACTACACAACAACAACTACACGACAACAACAACAACTACACGACAACAACAACTACTACACAACACAACAACAACAACAACTACTACACAACAACAACTAAACAACAACAGCAACTACACAACAACAACATCAACTACTACTACTACACACAACAACAACAAACAACAACACACAACTACACAACAACAACAACAACACAACAACAACACAACAACTACACGACAACAACAACAACTACACGACAACAACAACTACTACACAACAGCAACAACAACAACTGCAACTACACAACAACAACTACACAACAACAACAACTACAACTGCAAGTACACAACAACAACAACAACTACACAACAACAACAACTACAACTGCAAGTACACAACAACAACAACAACTACACGACAACAACAACTACTACACAACAACTACACAACAACTACAACTACACAACAATAACAACAACTACACAACAACAACAACTACAACTACACAACAACAACAACAACTAACTAACTACACAACAACAACAACTACAACTGCAAGTACACAACAACAACAACAACAACAACAACACAACTACACACAACACACAAACAACAAACAACTACAACTGCAAGTACACAACAACTACACAACAACAACAACAACTACACAACAACTACAACTACACAACAATAACAACAACTACACAACAACTACAACTGCAAGTACACAACAACAACAACAACTACACAACAACAACAACAACTGCAACAACAACAACAACAACAACAACACACAACAACAACACAACTGCAAGTACACAACACAACAACACAACAACTACAACAACAACAACAACAACAACTAACAACAACACACAACACTACAACAACAACACACAACTAACAACTACACAACAAACACAACACAACAAACAACAACAACAACAACTACAACAACTGCAAGTACACAACAACAACAACAACAACAACAACTACACGACAACAACAACTACTACACAACAACACAACAACAACAACTACACACAACAACAACAACAACAACAACAACTACACAACAACAACAACTACAACTGCAACTACACAACAATAACAACAACTACACAACAACAACAACTACAACTGCAACTACACAACAACAACAACTACACAACAACAACAACAACAACTACACAACAACAACAACTACAACTGCAACTACACAACAATAACAACAACTACACAACAACAACAACACAACTGCAACTACACAACAATAACAACAACTACACAACAACAACAACTACACAACAACAACAACTACTACTACTACTACACACACAACAACAACAACACTACACACACACAACAACAAACAACAACACAACTAACACACAACAACACATCAACTACTTCTACTACTACACAACAACTAAACAACTACACAACAACAACTACACAACAACAACAACAACACAACAACAACAACAACTACTACACAACAACAACAACACACTAACAACAACACACAACTACACAACACAACAACAACAACAACTACACAACAACAACAACTACACAACAACAACAACTGCAACTACACAACAACAACTACACAACAACAACAACAACTACACAACAACTGCAACTACACAACAACAACAACTACACAACAACAACAACTACAACTGCAAGTACACAACAACAACTACAACTGCAACTACACAACAACAACAACAACAACTACACAACAACAACAACTACTACTACTACTACAACAACAACAACAACTACTACTACTACACAACAACAACTAAACAACAACAGCAACTACACAACAACAACAGCAACTACTACTACTACACAACAACTAAACAACAACAACAACTACACAACAACAACAACTACACAACAACAACAACAACTACACGACAACAACAACTACACGACAACAACAACTACTACACAAAAACAACAACAACAACAACTGCAACTACACAACAACAACTACACAACAACAACAACAACTGCAACTACACAACAACAACTACACAACAACAACTACAACTGCAAGTACACAACAACAACAACAACAACTACACAACAACAACTACACGACAACAACAACAACTGCAACTACACAACAACAACAACTACACAACAACTACAACTGCAACTACACAATAACAACTACACAACAACAACAACAACTACACAACAACAACAACTACAACTGCAAGTACACAACAACAACAACAACAACTACACAACAACAACAACAACTACACAACAACAACAACTGCAACTACACAACAACAACAACTAACACAACAACAACAACTACAACTGCAAGTACACAACAACAACTACAACTGCAACTACACAACAACAACAACAACAACTACACAACAACAACAACTACTACTACTACTACTACACAACAACAACAACTACTACTACACAACAACAACTAAACAACAACAGCAACTACACAACAACAACATCAACTACTACTACTACACAACAACTAAACAACAACAACTACACAACAACAACAACTACACAACAACAACAACAACTACACGACAACAACAACTACACGACAACAACAACTACTACACAAAAACAACAACAACAACAACAACTGCAACTACACAACAACAACTACACAACAACAACAACTGCAACTACACAACAACAACTACACAACAACAACTACAACTGCAAGTACACAACAACAACAACAACAACTACACAACAACAACTACACGACAACAACAACAACTGCAACTACACAACAACAACACAACAACTACAACTGCAACTACACAACAACAACTACACAACAACAACAACAACTACACAACAACAACAACTACAACTGCAAGTACACAACAACAACAACAACTACACAACAACAACTACTACAACTGCAACTACACAACAACAACAACAACTACACAACAACAACTACTACAACTGCAACTACACAACAACAACTACACGACAACAACAACTACTACACAACAACAACAACTACACAACAACAACAACTACACAACAACAACAACTACAACTACACAACAACAACAACAACAACTACACAACAACAACAACAACTACAACTGCAAGTACACAACAACAACAACTACACAACAACAACTACTACAACTGCAACTACACAACAACACAACAACAACAACAACAACTACACAACAACAACAACTACTACTACTACTACTACAACACAACAACTACTACTACTACACAACAACAACTAAACAACAACAGCAACTACACAACAACATCAACTACTACTACTACACAACAACTAAACAACAACAGCAACTACACAACAACAACAGCAACAACTACACAACAACAACAACAACTACACAACAACAACAACAACTACACAACAACAACAACAACAACTACACGACAACAACAACAACTACTACACAACAACAACAACAACAACAACTACACAACAACAACAACTACAACTGCAACTACACAACAACAACAACATCTACACAACAACAACTACACAACAACCACTACTGCAAATACTAAACTATATCTGCCTGTACTTCTACTACTACTACTACTACTACTACTACTTCATTACTGCCACTGATACTAGTACTCGGTGGTGGAATGTAGCCGATTACCATGCGTGTTAACCTCACTGTATGGCGTGGCCCATCGTCATGGTGACCGCTGTGTTTGAGGAGGTCACAGGCCACCCAATAGTGACCCACGGGTGACTCAGCCTCCAGCCCGACTGTGTGCACACTCTCCCGTGGGTGCTCTTCCCGAAACACTTCCCTTTACAGGATTAGGCCCAGGACAAACACCCAACCCCTCCAACACCACCACCACCACCTCCAGCGCCTCCACCTCCTCCGACCCCCCTCCCCACCTCCTCGAACCCCGTGACGGATTTATCACCGTCCCCGGGCCAATGGGGTTCTCTCCAGCTGGGACCTGGCCGCGATAAGCCAATCAGAGTCGAGACCCGCCGCTCCGGGCCAATCAGAGGCGGGTCAAATGAGACTGTACCCCCTTCGAGTCCCGCCCCGCGCTTAAACCCGGACTGGCACACACGCTTCGCCCAAAAGACGGATTGAGCGTGTTGTGTTGGAATTACAAGGATCAGTACGATAAAGGGACATTTGGGATAAAACCAGGAGACTTTTCAACTTTTTTTTCCAATTGGTAAGTGTTTTTCAAATAATTTCAATTTGATGAAAACATTTTAAATAATATTTTGTATTTTTATAAGGTATTTAAAGCATGATTTCATTTAAAGTACTACTTAATCTTGGTTTCAGGTTTTTTTTTTCCATTTGAGATCTGCTTCAGTTCTGTTTTATTATGTTGTGTTTAGTCTTTAGTCTTATCATAGTAGTCTATAGTCTATAGATCGTAATTATTTTTATTTTTTAATCCAACAATTACATTTTTTTTTATTGTATAGTTTTACCATTAATCAGCCTTGAATTAATTTTGTCTTATAATAATCAATCATAATGTCAAAATGAAAACAAATATTATAAGCTTCCTGTATTTGAGAGACCACCAGCCTCCACCGAGTACTAGTATCAGTGGCAGTGATGAAGTAGTAGTAGAAGTACTGGCACTGCAGATGTAGTTGTTGTTGTTTGTCTTTATAATCAACAGAATGAAAGAAGGTGTTTTTTTATGCTTCATAGGCCAATTATGTTTTTTTTTTTTTTTTTAAGGATCACTTTGACAGCTTTGTTCTACTGTTTGTTTGTTCTACTGTTTTGTTAGTTATATTTTTTTGTTTGTTTAATAAGACATATATATATATATATATATATACATATATATACATGTATGTATATATGTATATATATTAGTGCTGTCATGCGACTAAAAAAATTGAGAGATTAATTAATTATGATCTGTAATTAATTAATCTAATTAATCTCATTTTAATCTCACCTAAAAATTGCTGAGAAAAGCCTTCAATTTGAGGTATTTTCATTTAAATTCATTATTACATTATTGTGGCAGATCAAAAGACTGATATAGATTAAAAAAAGTGACTTTATAAAGTAATTTATTGTTTAACAAATCTCTCCAAATTGGCTGTTGGGCCCAAGTCTCCATGAATAAGAAACTGTTTGCTGTAAAGTAGCAAAGACGAGGAAATCTGAACATAATAACTTTTGTCTAAAGACAATAAAAAGTCCAGTCTTTCCTTAACCAGATTAAAAATATTATTAATAGAGAAATGCTTTATATATGAGATCACTGGTTTTAGTCCTTGTTTTAGTCCTGGTTTAGACCTGCTTTAGTCCTAGTTTAGTCCTAGTTTAGTCCTGGTGTTAGTTCTGGTTTTAGTCCTGGTTTAGTCCTGGTTTAGACCTGGTTTAGACCTGGTTTAAATTCTGGTTTTAGTTCTGGTTTAGTCCTGGACTGGATTAGTCCTGGTTTTAGTCTTGGTGTTAGTTCTGGTTTAGAGGCGCACAGGAGGAAGCGCAGTTTACGCCGCGTACGCGAGAAAACACGGTCCACACGCGGCGCACGGGAGCACGTCGGTGTCCGCGCATTAACTACGGAAGGAAACGTGGTCCGCGTGTTCTCAGGTTAATGACGATGATGAAGGTGTGTGTTTGTTTGTGTTTGTGTGTGTTTGTGTGCGTGTCCCCTCATGTGGCAGGTCACTATAGGACAGTAGTGCAGACATCATGAGCCTATGCAGGTTGTTTTCACCAGTGACATTTAAGTTGTAGGCGATATTATATTTGTTATTTTCTTTTATATTTCACGTCGGGAGAATAATTTCCAAGACACGAATGCGTTTTTACCTGTGCGCTGCTGCCTCTGTTCTACTGGCTCTACGACCTCGTCCATTGTGCGACTGACACCGCCAACGTTAACATGACGTTTACATCGCTCTTACTGCGCGCGTTTTGTGTGGGTTTCCGGCAATGAGTGGAATTACCGAAATAAAAAAATGTATAAATGTGTTTTTGTGTGTGTGTTTGTGTTGTTGTTGTCCCAACAACACATAAAAACAGGTTTTATAATAAAGCAACTCGCATACAGAAACACTAAAGTTAGAGATTAAAAATGAGATTAACGCGATTAAAAAACATAACGCGCTAAATATGACTGTAATTAATTAATCGCAATTAACGCGATAATTTGACACCCCTAATATATATATATATATATACACACACACACAACTTTATTGGATTTAGTTTCTTAACATACACAAAATTCACAAAAAATATTTGATTTGTGCTCTTTCCTTCAACTGGACCCAAAAAGACTTATATTTTGGAAAAATAAGGGTACTTCTGACTATGTGACTGCGGGCCATAACAGATACTTTTGTGTTAAAAAAAACATGAATAAAGCAGCAAAAAATTATGAGTTTTAAAAAATAAAATACAATTTTAATATGAAAGCATTTCCTAAATCCATAGGTCTAGATGTGCAGTATTCGATGCCCTTTGGAAGCAGATCATGAATTCCATTGTCTTTGCTTCTTTATTTGCAACAATCCCAACACTTCAGACAATTACAAATACTATCATTTATATGAACTTGACTATAGAGGGAGTTATAATAAACCACTGCACATTTTTATTTTGACACAATTTGCCTCATACTGAGAATTTACACCAGTTATATTAACCACATTTTCATGTTTTGCAAATTTCGACTTTTGTTTTTTTGTGGTGGGCTGCAGCTCCTCAAACCTGCCCCATGAGAAATAAATGCTATAAAATAATTGACGTAATAATAATAATAATTGACAAAACTCTGTGTGAATGACACAGTGATGTTGGTTACACTGATGTTTTATCAGGTTTGGCTGAGAAGAGACGCCAGGTGTTTGGGGCTTCAGAACTTTTTCTATTCATAATAAAATATTTTATTATTTATCATGTACATATTGATTATTAGTATAGATTTGTATATGCTTGAGATGGTGATATTTCTTTGTATGTTTTCCAGAAGGTTCTTTCCTTCAGAGAATGACTCACACATGATGCTGACAGGAGTTGTGCTCACATACAGGATGAGGATGAGGAGTTTAGTGCTGCTGCTGCTGGCTCCTCTCACTGTCATGGCCATGGGGTAAGAGCAAACGTCTCATGTTCATCAAACAAACACTGTGTATTTAAACTACAACATCATTTAGAGTTATTATATCAAGTCTCATTTCAGTGTTACATCATCAGGCTTTTCAAGTCCCACCTCAGTATTCAATGGAATAAAAATGACACATATGAAGTAAAAGCCTCTGCTGAACTATATCCATCACCAAAATATGATTAGTATTAATAGTAAAAATATTAATCATTTAAATCTACATTTTTGAGAGCAAAAAACAAAAACCACAACAGCCAGCAGCAGTAGCCTTAACAGACAGGTGCCCACACTGGTCCCTGTTAGGACTTGGTTTGAGCCCAGCTCAGTCCAGATGGTAGACCTGGTTTGGTTCTGTACTAGTCCTGATTTAGTCCTGGTATAGTCCAGGATTACTAAATAAATTAGTCCCAGTTCAGTCCCAACTTTGATGTGATCAAGACACACCCTAAGTGCATAAAGCATTATGCCTGATTACAGAGTTTGAGGCTGGCTCTGTTAAGTGTTTTTGGTTGTTGGTATACACTGAATTTTATGATTTTATTTTATTTTTTCTTTTAAATAACTCTAGAAAAAAAATATTTATATAAAAAGTCTGATTAAAGAAAATCTGTATAATATTCTTCCATATTTTTACATTGTGATTATTGTTTCAGTCCTCACGGAGAGCATTACATTCCTCCCCACATGGAGAAAAACATTCACACTAACAGGATTTGATTGATTTATTATACTTTTTGACTCGTCTTGTGGTTGTGGCTCACAGTTCTGCCCATAGACATGAACACAAGCGGTGATGAAGGGCAGCCCTGGTGATGCCATGTGCATTATTGTTCTTTATGTTTTGCCTAAAAAGACCTCATGCATCAGTCCACTTGATATACACATTGTGCACATGTACTGCATACCTGTACAGTCATGAACATAACAAACAGATGCACATTCCTCGATACAAGCGGCTGAAGTCAGTGTACAGAGACAGAGGGAGGAGCTCAGTCACCATGTGAGAGGTCTGTCATGATTTCAAAATTTGCAGTTCTGAATGAAACACTTTAGTAGTTAGTTTGTATTTATACTGAATCATAGAAGATAGATTTACTCAACTGTCTACATATCAAAACTTATTGTAGTGTAGAAAAATAACAAGAAGTTCAAAGTAAAAGTACCTACGATAAATATTATTGCTCCATCTATCATGTATTAAACAAAGTTGATATAGTACTGACTGACAGGCCTGCCAGGCTTCGGAGCTCAGAGTAAAGCCTCTGCTCCTCCACACTGAGATGAGCTGAGGTGGTTCTGGCATCTGCAAATGCAGGACACAGGACACTGTAGACCTGCACATCTCCAGAAGTACAGCTCAAAGATCCCTCCATCTTGTCAGTGGAGTCAGTAGTAGAGTATAGAACCCTGTGCATGTTACTGATGGTGTGTGTCGTGACACTGGTGTGAGAGCAGCACCGAGAAGACAATTCATCAGCAAAGTCATTTATTTTCCACTTCTCAGTTTAACATCTCCTCACAAGATTCATCAGTCATCTTCCCTTGGCATATCATTGGTATACCATTATCTAACATGTGGCATATTTCTGTCTAACTGGAGTCTAGTGGCCTTCATAGTCTCACTGCACCTGCTTTATAAACTTCCTCTTTTGGAAGCACAGTGAAGGGGCTGGAACACTCACAGATCATACTATGTTCATATTAAGTTGACTTTTCAAGTCTGCACGAGCCTGTAGTAATGATACTAAACAAACTTCTCCTGTAGGCCTGGAGCCAGGTTCACTCCTCAGGATGTTTTTTGTTACATTTTTTCACTAAAAAAAGAAGAAAAAAGAAAGAAAAAGAAGAAAAAAAAAGGTCTCAAGCATTTTATTGCAGAAATAACTGCCTCATGCAAAACTCCCCAAGTTTATAAGCTTCAATTTAAGTCCAAGATGACTTTTCTATGTAGACAAAAACACCTGCTATGACAAAATGTACTCACTGTACCTCAGAGCACTGTACAGCAGAAAATAGAACTGTCAGGCATTACCATTTCATGGTATTGCGCAGATTTTTTTTGAAAAGAGTTGATTTATGTACTGCTGTACTATATGAAGTGAATTACATTCAAAGTGAATAATATTAAAACTCCAGGTGGACAAGGGTCAGGGTGCAAGATAAAACTATGGTAACCAGGTTATATACACAAACACACAACCAAACAACATCCTAACCCTTCATGCAAGGTCCCATCAGAAATTATTCTCCAGATAATTTTGAGAGAAGTTGATCCATTTTTCTAGTTCTAAAAAGAGATTGAGTCTGTTGGGAAATTGGTGTCCTTCTCCAGGCGCCCACTGCTTCTAGATTGATAACATTAGCTAGTTTAACTTGTCAGATTGTTAACTAACATAGCCAGCCCAATGGAGATGTGCGTGTGCTTCATTTCTTTCCCAATCTCTGCTCCCTAAAATATCTTTTTCTTCTAGTTTCCCCTGTGTATCAGGATACATCATGCAAAATTTGAGGGTTTTTTGACCATTCATGCATTTACAGTACCTTAATATTTACAGTTACATCATTTCACCTGCAGCTTTTCCTAAATAGTGTGTTTTTGGTCCCTGAGACCAAACGGGTCTGAGTTGGGGGTGGCCCTTATCAACATGTGATGGCCCAAGACATAAGATAACAGGAAATAAGAGTGAAAAAAAGGTAACAAAAAACATCCTGAGGAGTGAACCTGGCTCCTGGCCTACAGCTGAAGACATCCAGCTGGTCTCCAGCCTTTTACTTCCACCCTTTCTTGGACAAGATGAAAACTTCTACAACATCTGAGTGTCAGTATAAGACTATAAGACTATAAAAGTATAGAAGTATGTGTACTGTGTGTGTTCTGTCAGACACTTGTGTGAGAGGCAGCAGCAGTGGTGTCTATATAAGAGTACAGGACTCTGTGTTACTGTGTTACTGATGCTGTGTGTTTCCTCAGACACTGGTGTGAGAGACAGGAGCAGCACTGGCAGGAGCACCCCCTGTCCCCTCGCCTGCAGCTGGAGGTGGGCTGCTCTCTGCTGTACCAGTACAACATACAGGGCTGGAGACTGGACGTGGAGCGCATGAGGGCTCGACACGGAGGCGACGACGGCATCGCTCTGTACTACCAACAACAGGGCGACAAAGCCAAGTGCCTCCTGTACAAGTAAGACCATTACACACACAGCAGCCGGGCTCTGGAGTGAATGTGACGAGCACCAGTTTGATTCCTACCTGAGCGCACACAAAACATTGTTGTTATGTAGAGGTGGGCAAAATAGTGTCTAGTATAAACACATTTGTTAGAGTTGATTTTAGTGTTAATGAGTGAAACTTTCATTAGGCGTACAAAGACATTTTGATCTGATATGTCACAACAATGTTCCAGTCAGTGCTCACATGGCCACAAAGAAAGCATTTCACCACTCACCCCACCCGCCCCACCCTGCCCCACAGCCTTTGCTGCAGGTTTCAGGGTTAGTGCAAAGAGCAAACGTGACAAAGGGCATCCTTGACATGAGCCGTACGCTTCATTAAAAGCTCCAGAGAGCCTCAGTGCCTCACTGAGCTGGGAAAATCTTTCCTACGCAGCACCATGGTCTTGGAATCATTTACAGAAAGATCTTAAATTGGATTCAAAGGTGTCACTTGATAAGTTCAAGACAATTTTAAAAATGTGGTGACTGAGACATGTATGTTTTTCTTGAGAGATGCAAATGGTTTTATAATGTGATACTTTATGATTTGACTGTTTCCCGTTGAGGTCCCATTGAGATTTTGAATCTCAGTTGGACCTCCTGGTTGAAAAAAGGTCAAATGAAAAAAAGAAAGTATTTCCTGTAAGAACATCTGCTGTTAGATTTGTATACAATACTTTAATGAAAGGAATTCAGCTCTAAGATTTAATGAAGAACAGACCATAGTAAGTTCCATTTGAAGCAGTTAAAGGCTTTCTCTGTGTCCAGTGAATTAATAACCAAAATTGTATGAAGATATTGCAAAAGAACAGATATAGTTTATTACTGAGTCAGAGCGCTGCTCAGAATTCTACAGCCCTCTTTTCCATTATTGAGTGGATTTGTACGAAGTGATTCGTACCAGGGCGTTTCCCCTCTGACTCCAGACCTGCCTTAGCTCAGGATCACAGATGACTGGAAATGAAACTTTATTTACTTTTTTTTACCATCAAAATCAAAAAGAGGTGGTATTATTCATAAGAACTTTGAGCAACAACATACATATTTGTAGAGCCAATCCTAGACAAAAAAATCTACTCAAACCTGATTATGCTCCATATGAAATCTGGGCAAAAGTATCTGATACATCTAATTCAAGAAGCAAAAGCTGAAACAACCTGTATTATGCTTTTTTTTAATTTTATCTTTGTTATAATGTTGTTTCCTTATCAAAAACATACCTGAGTGGTGTTTTTTTTTTCATGTAACACACACATCCTGTATATTTAGGCTGTGTTCTTCTCTCATATTGAAAACACTTTGTTCCACATTGTGATGTCATCAGATTGTCACACAAGAGGCGCGCCACTGTGATTTTAAATCCTGTAAACCTTCATTAGAATCATTTGAATCCATTTTCAGCCTTGGAATTGCCAAACTTTGAAGCTACAAGATATTATAGACTTTATGTGGCAATCTGAACTGAACAAAAAGTAAAAACAACTTAAGGTTGTCTCAGTGTATTGCAGAGTAAATCACTTCCATTGAGGCTAAAACAGCTGTTCATTGTTAAAACTGCAGCTTAATGACATCACAAGGTGGAACAGAACATTTTGAGCCCAATAACTGGATAATTCTTTTATCCATGGAGACGTTAGTACTTTGTTTAGTGTTTCCCAGTATGATATTAAACTTTTCTATCTTCATGGAGACCAAACCAGACCAAGTTACAGGTCAGATCTGTGGAGAGGAGACCCTGCTCACAGTCAGAATGTCTGTTTTTAGTATTTTTGAGCTATAAAACCACCTGTAATTGAATAAATGAAAGGTAGAGCTGTGTATGTTTTTGACAAGGCTACAAAAAAGCTTAAAAGAGTAAATTTTGCATAATGTAGGACTTTTAAGATCTGAGTAGCTTTATCAGGTTTTAGTCCAGTTACTAAAGTGTGTTCCCACTGGTTGTGTACATGTTGTTTCCCTCTGGTCCTTGTGCGTTCTGGAGCAGGACATGTGTCATCCATTTTACAGCCTGTAAGTCTCACTGACATTTACCCATGAGCACTTGGATCCAGCCACAGCGTGTTTACCTCTGCTGCATGAGACAACAAGTCAACTCTTTTACTCTCTTTTATGCTCTTTTCCTCCATTTTACACATGTTTAACCAGTGAGCCTCGCTTACGTCCACACACATGCCTCAAGTGTCTCAACACTCATACGTTGCCATTGGAGACGGGCTAAGAGCTTCATTTGAATTTTTGCATTGAATTGTGGAGAAATTTGGAAGCAAAATTGGAATAGAGGAGCTTATAATCAGAGTTGGTTCCTTATTAATTCTTATGCTCCCCTTTAAAATAATCTCACCTGTGGTCTTTCATGGCAAAAATGTACACTGGAAAAGAATACCACAACATTTTTATGCAGTACGGATTTTTGTCCAATTTTTTATATGAGTGTCTTCATTTAATCATACATATCAAATTATACAGCATATTTAGAAAATTTAACCCTTTAAATGCCATTTTTGACTGCAAAATTATGTGCATGAAAAAAAAAGTTAGATTTTCAGAGGCTGGAGCTAGAACACACCCTTATCATTTTAACCTTAAATATTTGTCTCTGGCCTTCAGTCTGGACTCATATGGACAAATGTCTTTCTATTGATATAATCTTGTGGAAGATACGCAGTAAAAAGAACATTATACAAATATTAAAAAAGAAACTAAAACAAACATTTTTTGAAAGTTTTTCAACATCAAAGAATAAAGTAAAGTGAAATAAAGTAAAGAGTAAATATATAAGTTATGCCCTTTCGAATGGAAGTAAATGGGACAAAAATGTACTGAAGGACCACGGGTGTGAGTATTTTGATTATACACCGTTCAGTTAATGTGATCTTGAAAGAAAACACATTAAAAATACATCACAAAATGCACCGGCCAATTTTGGTGCTTTTTGGTATCCAGGCTGGCACCACCAAATGTGCCATTTCTCTCCAGCGACTAGGTCAGGAATCAAAATACACTAGACGATTTGCAAAAACCCTGAAGTGCGAGTTTGGGCACCAGCCAATCAGCAGAGAGCCATATATTCAGTGTTGTCAGCGATTCCTGAGATTGAGGATTTAAAGCCAGAACAAAGAGAATGTTTGGTGAATTTGATCAAGGAGAAAGACGTTATTGTCCTTCTTCCTACAGGGTTTGGGAAAAGCTTAATATACCAGTTAGCCCCATTACATACATCACGACCAAATAGCAGCGATTAAATGTTAAAGTTAAATGACAAAAAGACCCGCCGATTGTCGAGCGAATTAATTCTAACACTGCGAGGGCAGACGGTTTCTACGAAGTGAAACCAGCTGATAAATCAGGCTAGTTATCTGGTGCAATATAGAGAAAGTTTTGCACACACAAAAAAAAAAAAAAAAAAAGTTGAGACATACAAAAATGTAGGGTTAGGGGGGTTAAAAGCACTGAACTTGATTTTTTGTGTCTGTCCTAAAATGTGAAAAACAGAACAGTTTGAATATATTCCTCAGTTATCTTATGCATTCAGAGTAATGTATGTACAGTAAGTACCTTTTGCAACTTTCAGAGACCAGTGTGGAGTTTTGACATAATGGTGTAACAACATCTAGCTATCATGCTAACCATGCACTTCCTGACTCTAGGACAATAAAACACTATAAAATTAGTCAGTACACTTATTTTGACCTGAAGGGCTGATTATACAATATATCTGCACTGGGGCAATACAAAGTTTACTTAAGTACCATTATGCTCAATACTGCAACAGTAGACATTGTATTTGTATAAGAATACCATGACTTCAAAATATAAAATTGTCCAAGAAAATATTTAGGAAAATTACTACTCAATTAAAAGTAACTTAAACAGTAAATGTTGGGAGGTAACATCTAATTTATAATTTAAGAGAATGTAATTGGAAGCACAAAACATTAAATTAAATAATGCATAAAATCTGGTGTTTTCAAAGGACAAACACAAAAATTAGGCAAACTAAATCATATGTGAGGAGTATTGAAAGAAACACAAATGTTCAAATCATACACTATTAAAGTGTTACTCAAGTAAGAGTATTGTAACATTATACAATACATTACTCAAGCAGGAATAAAATGGTGTCTGAAGAGCACTCAGAAAACTCCAAAAAAGTGAAGATGACTTGAATTAAGAAAGTTTGATCATAATTTCAGTTAATTTCACTTGACAAATAAAATGATCTAGCAATGGAAGAGGACTTTTTGTATTTAAAATATGAAAATACATCTGATTGCACATAAGAAAAACAAGAACGCTTAAAACAAGAAAGAAAACTGAATGTTGCTTGAATTAAGAAACATATTTGTTCCACACAAATCATTTCACTTGTCGAATCTTCTCAAATGAAGTCAAATCTTAATTTAAAGGTGCATTGTATAATTTTTCTGGTAGAGGGTTCATCAAATGCATGAAGATGTTACTGCTTTGTCTGGAATGTTTCACAGTATGGGATTACAGTGGTGTTACAGGTCAGATCTGTGGAGAGGCAGCCCCACTCACAGTGAGAATGCCTGTTTTTGTGTTTTTGAGCTATAAAACCACCTGGAATTGAATAAATGTAAAGTAGAGCTGTTAATGTCACACTGTGAAACATTCCAGGCAGACGACATATCTGAAATATCCACAGAAACAACAGGTGACGGATGCTCCACCAAAAAAGTTACACAGTGCACCTTTAAGTCATTTGAACTTGGTTGGATGTTGCCTCTTGCAGTGTTTCTGTGAGTGTGGACTGTAAGCTGGTGTGTTTCTTGTGTCAGACCTTCAGAGATGGAGCGTGAGCTGGTGAACAGGACCGTGCGAGCGTGCTGTGAGGGCTGGACCGGAGCACACTGCAAAGACGGTACGTTTATCATGAAGGACTTTGGACTATGGTGGACTGGACGACACATTTGCACTGCCTTTATCTCTTAATTTAAAGCTGGAGGAGTGTTGTCACGATATAAATATTTCATACTTGATTTGATACTAAGGCTACATTCATATGATAACAGTGACACACAGAAAGTGACACAAAAGTGGTATCGCGCCTTCTCTTTTTATTCCACGTTTAGACGAGGAAATCTGTGTGCATACAGTGACGCAAAATTGGACTGTGTATGCATGCCAGGTTTCTGTGTTCTGTATGTATGTGACGTAAAGGTGTACACGATGTGAGCAGATCTGACCAGAGTTTTGTGTCTTGGGCAGTGTAGACAGAAACACACACTTCAGATTTTTGCGTTTTTAAACCCCAAAAACCCTGTCACCATCTAAATAAAAGGCACTTCTGATAAAATATTTTGTTGTTTTTACCTGTAAGCGTTCTCGTGTAAACAGGCCATAAGGAATAAATACTCAATTCCGGCACTTTTTTATTTAGTACGATCCCTGGGAATATGTTTTTAATAATCACGCATAACTTTACAACCATAAAAGACAGAAACTTACTTTTTTTGAAAAGCTGAGAGTCGAGGTTTTCCGAGTATATTTCTAGTATTTTCCTATGTCACACGGAAATGAGTGTCCGATAGGAACGTTGTTTTCTGCCAAACACATGTGCTCCGTCCATTTTGATTGACCCAAACTTTGCCAAAGAGTGTAGTGAGTCAAACTGTCTGTGTTCAGAACAACTGAAAAAGCCTTTCTAAGTGCAGTTCTTTCTTAAATAAATGGAAAATTATGCTTGGTCAACATAATTGTGCACCACTTGCTATTTTTATTTTAAAAGATTTATTTCAAGTCCAAATGTCCAAATCCAAATGTAATAAACCCCATGGAAATGTAGGAAGTGATGTTTTTGTGGCATGTTTCAGTCCGGGTGCAGGAGGAGAGTGCAGCAGCAGATCAAGTGCAGCTTTCAGTCTGTTTCTGTGCTTTGTCTTCATTTTTTGAGCACAGAAAATCCCCGTTCACACAAATATGTAATAGTGAAAGGAATAAGCAGAGAAATACTGGCTCTACTGAGGACAGAATATTCTGAAATACTTATGCAGAATGACGAGAAGGTCACAGATCCATGTACACCTGTGTATCACAGATCTACATGCAGATCATGACAAGGCCACCCAAAAAAAAAATCTTCCGACCCACCTGACAGTTACGACGCATTCTTTTGGAAACAGTGTTCTGGAGGATAATATTTTGCTCATATCTGTAGCTCAGCAATTGTTTTATAAATACTGAATAGTTTCAGTATCAATCAATCAATATATGCAATTGAAAGTCAGTTTGGCCCAAAATGTTGCATGCTATTTTCATACATATCAGCACCAAACCTCACACATTTACTGTACCATAGTCTCGCTCTTTTCTAACTGCCCTGTTGTGGTGCAGCTGTGGGGGCCCGGGGCCAGTGCTTCTCCACCTGGAGCTGTGAGGACTTCCCTGGGATGTCCAGCTCCACCCTGGTGCAGCTGGAGCAGTGCTGCAGCCAGAAGGGGGCGCTAAGCTGGAGGAACGCATCTGACCACACCTGCCTGTCCTGCACCTACACCCTGCTGCCCGGTCAGTCATCCTCTGCACCCATCTGACCAGACTCTGCATCCACCTAACCAATCCTCTGCACCCATTTGACCCAATCCTCTGTAACCATCCATCTGACCCCATCCTCTGCACCCATCTACCTCTTTACTCTGCATCTATCTGACCCCATCTGTCTCAGTCCTCTGCACCTATCTGACTAAATCCTCTCCACCCATCCATCTGACTAAATCCTCTCCACCCATCCATCTGACTAAATCCTCTCCACCCATCCATCTGACTCAGTCCTCTGCACCCATTTGACCCCATCCTCTACAGTCCCTGATAAAAGTCTTGTCGCTTATCCATTTTGTAGAAACAAAAGCTTATAACCTGACTTTAAATTAATCGATTGGTTTTAGAAATGTCTCATATGAAAGCTAAAACCCTCCCAAATTATGCTCAATAAACTAAAATAAATTTGCTTCACTGAAGAAAGATTGATCATTTAATGAACACAGAAAGGTCAGATTTTGGCAAGACAAAAGTTTTGTCGCCTACAGAAAATTGAACAAATAATTTACTTCAAATACAAAAATATGTTGCATAACGTCAGTGAATGAAGTAGTGGTGCTGTGAGATCCAGATTTAATATCTTGTATGACGTCCATGAGCTTGAAGGACGCATCCATGTGGTTCGACAATGATTCATACAAGTTTGTTGATGAAGTCATCAGGAATAGCAAAGAAAGCGTCTTACATGCCTCCCAGAGTTCATCAAGATTCTTTGGTTTTGCCTTCCATGCTTCCTCTTTCATTCTACCCCAGACCTGCTCAATGATGTTCATGTCTGGTGACTGGGCTGGTCAGTCCTGGAGCACCTTGATCTTCTTTGCCTTGAGAAACTTTGATGTAGAGATAGAAGTATGCGATGGAGCACCATCCTGCTGCAAAATTTGACCCCTTTTATGGTTGGGAATGTAAGAGGAGCTAATACTTCTTGATATTTTAGGTTATTGATATTTGCCTTCCACCCTGCAAATGTCTCGCACACCCCCAGACTGGATGTAACCCAGAACATGATTTTTCCGCCACCAAACTTAACTGTTTTCTGGGTGAATCTTGGATCCATGCGGGTTCCAGTAGGTCTCCTGCAATATTTGTGGCAGCTGTGATGTAATTCAACTGAGGATTCATCTGAGAAATCCACCTTCTGCCATTTTTCCAGTGTCCATCCTTTTAGCAGGCTGTGGGCCTTGGCAAATGCCACACGGTTTTTTTAATTGCCTTTTGTTTAGTGCTGGTTTCTGTGCACTGATTCGACCATGGAGGCCATTTCAAAACAGAATTCTACAAACTGTTGTGGTTGACACAGGGACTTGAGGTGACCAGGCCTGGTGGAGTCTGCTGCAGTGGAAAAGGGGCCTTGGATTTTCAAATCAACAAACGGTCCTCCCGAGCAGTTTTCTTGCGGCGTCTGCCGGACCTGGGCTTGTCAAAAACATCTCCAGTCATTTCAGATCTTTTTCTTATTCTTTGTACTTGACGCTGAGACACATTGAAGGTGTCACCACCTCAGCAGTGGATCTGGTCTTCAGCCTCTTGATAATTAAGGCTTTGGTCTCAGGGTGGATCTTAGGCATGTTGTCAGAGGTCAAGTTACAGTTGATGTGAAGGTCTGGTGAGCTGAGGTTCGTTTTATACACACCCACTAATTGATTGATCAGTAACTGATCACAGGTGAGGCTGTAATCTAGGATTAGGTGCATCATATGACAAGGCCACAAGACTTTTGTCTTGCCAAAATCTGACCTTTCTGTGTTCATTAAATGATCAATCTTTCTTCAGTGAAGCAAATTTATTTTAGTTTATTGAGCATAATTTGGGAGGGTTTTAGCTTCATATGAGACATTTCTAAAACCAATCGATTAATTTAAAGTCAGGTTATAAGCTTTTGTTTCTATAAAATGGATAAGCGACAAGACTTTTGACTGTATCTGACCCAATCCTCTGCAGCCATCTGCACCCGTCTCCTCTTTACTCTGCATCTATCTAACCCCATCTGATCATCCTCTGCACCTATCTGACCCAATCCTTTGCATCCATCTGACCCAATCCTCTGCACCCATCTGCCTCTTTACTCTGCATTTATCTGACCACATCCTCTATACTCACCTGACTCCTGCATCCATCCAGTCCATCCTCTGCATCCACCTGACCCCATCTGACCATATTCTCTGCCTCTATCTGACCCAATCCTCTGCACTCACGTGATCCTTTCTCTGCATCCTTCTCACCCCATCTTCTTATACATTCTCTGCACCTATCTGAGCTCATCCTCTGCATTTATCTATGGACTGATCTATGTATCTTAAAAAAAAGTGTGTGACTTCAGATAACCCACACTTTTTTTTACAACAAGATATGGCTTTTTGAGTTACTGTCATGAGGTAGCGTCTCTTACTCTAACCTTGAACAAACAATCCAGTTTAGCCCATTTATTCTATCATTAGCTGAATTGTTTAATGTCTAAGATCATGAAGTTCGAACAAAAACGTAGAAGGTAATCCACTGGTAGATAGAGTTGCTATAAAAATCCTGATAGAGTCGAGTCTTGAATCTCTCCTACACTTGTGGCTCCTCAGACTCTCAGGCGTCTCCTCTGGTGCGTGGGGGTCTGTTGTCCAGTATGAGGGCCCCTCAGAGCTCTGGTACCTGCATGTCCTGGGGAGGCAGCCACTACAGGAGCTTCGACCGCAAGCACTTCCACTTCCAGGGGGGCTGCACCTACCTGCTGGCCTCCTCCACCGACGGGACCTGGGCCGTGTACATGGGCAGCAGCTGTGAGGGACACGAACACTGCACCAAGGTGAGACCACTAAGAAACTAGTGCACCTACTTTTACCTATCCATCTGATAACTGAATGTGTCAGTGTGCCAAAACATCAGACGGTGGACAAGAGCCTATGTAACAAATCAGCAATCTAAATCTTCGTCCAGTTTCTGTTTTTCTATAAACCAGGTCAACAAATCTGCAATCTGACCTTTAAACAACAAACTCCACCATAAAGTTCTGACCTGTCTCCAGCTCAGTTTAATCTATAGGGATACTACAATATTGTGATGTCACGTGAACACAACTTATTAAAAATTTTATTGATCATTTGTGACAATTAACTTACAACAATAATCCAAAAATTTATGAATTACAATAAATGCACATTAAGACATCATGTAACTTCAAACAACACTTGAACATCAGGCTGCACAATATATTTTATAATATAATAATAATACTAGGGCTGGGCAAAAATGAAAAAAATTAATCGCGATTAATCGCATGAGTTCGAGTGATTAATCGCGATTAATCACGATTAATCGCATGTTACCAATTAACCACAACCAATTAATGAATTAAAAAGTAGAGTATAGCGCTCTTTTATTGGAAATGTAAATGAAAGAGCCAAACATTTGTTGTGTAAACAGCATTTCTTTCACAGGGGAACCTCAGAGTCTTCAAGGTATTCAGTGAAGGCTCAAAAAAAATATTGAATGGATGTTTGTACTACTAATATATTTATTGAATATTTTTTATGCTGTGAGTAATGAACACTACACTAGTAATAATTTCTACATCAGTGTTATAAACTTGGACTGATATTTTTTAGGAAACAAAGGGTTAATATAATGGAATGGAAATGGACCAATCACATTTTTTCTTCGAATGGTATCTGGGTAAATCAGTTACTCCAGCACTGAACTCAAGAAATAAGCTCAGCTCAGAGCCGGTGCCCGCGAACAGAGCCCGCGGCCGGAGTCGGAGCCTGCGGCCGAACCCGCGGCCGGGCCCACGGCTCGGGCACGTTGCATCTCACGTGGTCAGAAAAAAGTGAAAAAAGTGTAAAGAAAAGACGTCAAACCTAAAGAAACGCTTGTGGTGGATTTTTTCAAAATAAAAGCCAGTGAGAAACAGACGTTTACAATAAAATAAATAAATAAATAATAAAAACTGTGTTAACGGCGTTAAAATAATTGTTGCCGTTAATGACTTAATTAGTTAACGCAAAGTAAACGCGTTAACGTGCCCGGCCCTAAATAATACTATAATAGAATGTCCTCTGCAAAAAGCAATAAAGACAGGACAGAAAAATCTTCCTGTAGTTTAGGCCTCTACAAATATGTTCTGAAAGACATCATATTCTTGTATTTGTACCAGTTCTTCTCTCAGATGTTAAAGCTCCTGGATTATAATGTGCTCTCTGAACTGAATCCTAGTTTTTAAACATACATTACAAATCAAATTGCAATATATTTATTAAAAAATCCAGATTTTCCAAATTTACATCACTTAATTATTTTCTTTACGTTCACAGACTTTGAAGATGATGCTGGGTCTGGATTTAGTGACCATTCACCAGAGGAACCTCACTCTCAACAGTGTGCCTGTGGTCCAGGGAGAACCCATCTTCCACAACGGTAAAATACTGCTATTATTCTGTATTCTACCTTTTTTTTACCGATTCATAAAAAGTGGGCTATAATTTGTCCTCTTAAAATTATAAAGTCCAATCTGTGTTCAGAGTGGTTCTGTTCTAAGATATTGAACCCCCAGCCCCTCTGCCCTCACTACTTGAACTGGCCCTATATTTGGCAAATAATACTATGTCTGCATCTTGTATTTTGTAGATTTTTTCAATAAAAAATTATATTTATCTGAAGTATTTATATTTATATTTAAATAATTATGACATATTTACATTTGCTGCTCAATTTTTGGCACCTGACAAGCTCAAGATCAAACAGTGACAGTCAATGCTTGCAGAGAGTATTATAGTGCAGTTAAAGACAGCAAAATGTCTCGTGTTAAAATACAGAATGTTGACAGAGAGTGCCGAATTTTCAAAGAACAGTGGACGACTGTTTATTTTTTTGTTCTGTGTAAGGAGCCTGCAGTTTGTCTGATATGTAAAGAAAGTGTGGCGGTTTTCAAAGAATATAATCTGCGTTGTCAGGGTCATACAATTCTGTTCTACAGTCGACCCGACCCCGGCCCCCATCACAGTCAGGAGTGATAATGTGGCCCCCAGAGAAAAAACTTTGGTGGACACATTGTTCTCAAGTAACTGATGCTCACTTCTTACTCTACTGAGAAATCCCTATATTACCAAAATAAAAATATTATGGTAGTGAATGACTTGAGCTCAGTAATGACAACATTGATTAGACAAATATAATCCTCTGTATTTATGCATGTATCTGCTGACTGACACATGTTGGTTGTTTTGCAGGTGTGAGTGTCCATTGGGTGGGGGACTTTGTGTTTGTGGACAGTGGTCTGGGGGTCCGGCTGAAGTTTGACTTGTCCAACACTGTGTACCTGACTGTGAGCAGTGAGCACCTGGGCACCACCAGAGGCCTGTGTGGAATCTACAACAACAACGCTGATGGTAATGAATATACTCACTATTGAATACACTGATTAAAATGGATCGTAAATAACTTTATGTAACCCAATGATTTTAATGGGACCAGGATTAAACCAGGTGTTTATTTTATTTGATTCTTTTTTCGAATGAAGGTTTAGTTTGTTTTCAGACAGACCTGACAGTTTCAACTACTCACCCACAGTGTTCCTCAGCGTGGTCACGTGATGTTGCCGTGATGTGTCTGCTCAGACGATTTACACACCCCCATCTGCAGTCCGACTTGTTCAGGACAGCATCCCTGGTGTGTGCAGGTTAAAAAGCCCCCTCGTCCCGGTTTAAAGTCTCATGTTTAAATCACCTAAGAAACATCACAGCAACGTCACATGACCACTCTAAGGAAGATCACCTGCGAGAAGTCCAAACTGTCAGGTATGAAAACAAACTCTACTGAAATAAATAACTGGAAGACCAAAAGAACCTCACTGGACCAAACCAGGCGTTAAAACAGCCCCAAACCAGGTAAACCCCAACACCAGTACTAAGCCATGGTCTAACCTGGGTCTATTCATGGTTTCATCTTCCTGCAACATTTTGAGGACTTTCAGCCTGTAAGTCTTAGGTGTGGATGCATCTTATAAGTATACAACAAAATATTATAACTTTTGAAGGGGAAAAAGTATGACTAAATCCAGATCAAAACAGGACTGAACAAAGGCTTCACCTCATTTAAAGGTGCTTTTTGCAACTTTTCTGGCAGAGGGTCCATCACCTGCTTGTCTCCATGGGGATGTTATTGCTTTGTCTAAAATATTTCATGGTAGAGATTAAACCTATCTATCACAAGGGAAACAACAATAGGCTGCATTACTGGTAACATCTATGGAGAAGCAACTCTATTTACGATGAGAATTATTGTATTTTTGCACAATAGAAACACTCGCGACAAGCAGGTAGCTGACTCTCTACCAGAAAAGTTGGGCAGTGCACCTTTAAACCACATCTTGTGTCTCATATCCATTTCGCAGATGATTTCACGACTGCGAGTGGAAGTGTGTCTCAGTATGCTGCCAGCTTTGGTAACTCCTGGAGAGTTCCAGACCAACAAAATGAGGTGAGAAACACTGTCAAAACTCAACGCAGGAGATGAGAATAACACCTGCTGTGTGAGCTTTTACTGGTCAGAAGGGAACAACTGTGTATTTATACTTTAGTCTAGCAGTAAAAGTAGTAGTAGTAGTAGTAGTAGTAGTAGTAGTAGTAGTAGTAGTAGTAATAGTAGTAGTTAAAGCAGCAGTAATAGCAGCAGTAGTAGTAGTACTTACAGCAGTAGTAGTAGTAGTTACAGTTGTAGTTATAGTAGCAGTAATAGCAATAGTCGTAGTAGTAGTTACAGCAGCAGCAGTAGTAATAGTAATAGTCATAACAGCAGTAGTAGAGGTAGTAAAAATAGTAGTAGTAGCGAATCTAGTAGTAGTAGTAGTGGTAGTAGTAGTATTGTACTTTTTTGAGTAAACTGAGTAGTATTTTTCTTGTCCTGTAGTTGTTACTGAATACTGAATACATTTGTAGAAACACCAGGCTTCAGGGAACTCCTGCAAGATATCACATAGTACTTGAAACCGCAGTAGCCACTGGAGGCAGTACACAATCACACAGACACACCTCCTTTGCACGAAAACTTCTAAAAAGGACTAGGAATAGTAGACAGTACTATTATAACAACAGAGTTAAAAAAAAAAAAAGTTCATTTAGTGTTTTGGCAGCAGCACTTCTTGTATTGTAATTTACTACATTATTAGCCATGCAACTGTACTTTTACTTGAGTACATATGGAACTCAAGTACCATCTGTACCATCTAAATAGTAGTAGTAGTTACAGCAGCAACAGTTGTAGTAGTAGTAGTTATAGCAGCAGTAATAGGAGCAGTAGTAGTAGTAGTTACAGCAGCAGCATTAGTAATAGTAGTAGTTATAGCAGCAGTAATAGCAGTAGTAGTAGTAGTTATAGTAGTAGTAATAGGAGTAGTAGTAGTTACAGCAATTTACTACATTATTAGCCATGTGACTGTACTTTTACTTGAGTACAAATGGAACTCAAGTACCATCTGACCCGAGCCTGTAAGGTACTCTTTCCACCATTGCTCATAATCAAAGCCCTTTCAGAACCATGTGCAAAATGAATCACAAATGGAGAGGACATAAAATCCATTTCCAGTGGTGTTCGAGCAGAGGTGGGAAGAGAAGCCAAAAATTTTACTTAGTAAGAGTAAGGTTACTTCAAAATAATATTACTGAAGTAGAAGTACAAAGAAGTGGCCCAAGTAATTACAAGTAAGAGTAAAAAAGGGAAACTACTACTCAGTTGAGAGGAACATAAAGAGAACTGTTGGGACATAACATCTGCTTTATAATTTAAGTTAATGTTAAGTGGAAAAACAAAACATTAAAAAATGCACAAAATCTGGTGTTTTTAAGGACAGACACAATGAGACAAACTAAATCAGATCTGAAGGAGCTGCAAGAAACACAAATGTTCAGACTTACTCACAGTGGGAAGAGGCAGCACAACTTTTACTCAAGTAAAAGTATAATGCCAGAAAAGTACAATTTCTTTAAAAAGTTACACAAGTAAATGAGTTCTGCCTCCCTTTGGTACCTAAGTACATTATTAGTCATGTAAGTGTACTTTTACTTGTACACATTTTCAGTATTCTTTCCACCACTGCCTATAATAAAATGTTTCCTTGTGCAAAATGGTTCAAAAATGGAGAGTGCATAAAATCCTCTTCCGAGTGTTTTGAGCCAGAGTTCTGATCAGAAATGCTTCAGGGTTTGTGTGTTAAACATGTGTGTGAAACAAAACACAACTCCAGTTATGTTTTTAATGAGGAAACAAGATTATAACATAGATCAGAGTGTAATATGGGCCCTTTAGTATCTAGAGGGATGCGCCCTGCCAAACTCAAAACTAATTCTTTCATATTAGCAGCAAACATAAAACATGATGATCCAAACAGACCTGGAGTTTAAAACATCTGTGTACTTTGGAGAACATAAGCCTTTCACTGCTAACATAAAGAGTGTAGTGAGACTGTTGATGTGTGTGTGGTATTGTGTGTGAGTTCAGGAGTGCAGCGACGCGGCTGAGCTCGGTCACAGCTGTGCAGTGTCTGGAGACAAAGCGTTACAGCGGGAGGCGGAGTCTGTGTGCCATCGACTGCTGGAGGAGCCCTTCACCCACTGCCACTCCAGAGTAAGCCTTCAGTTATGCCATATCTGACCCTATACCACTGCAGCACCATAAGATTATACTTACCCTATATCTAAGCTAGGGTGACTATATTTCCATTTGTGAAAACCTGGACACCTTAATGGGGGTGGGGCCTCGACATTGAGCTACTCTCACCTCGCAACTTGTGCACATGGCCTCCCACTTGTCCCGACCGGGCCAGAAATAGAAAAAATTCTTGTACAAGTCAATGTTAAATGCGCATTTGTACTTCGGCACGTTGCAGACTGACCGACCTGTTTGTGTCTGCTCGCTCCTTCTGATGCACAGAGATCCAGTGTTGGGAAGGTTACTTTTAAGATGTATTCCCCTACAGATTACAGATTACATACCCCAAAATGTAGTTTGTAACGTAATCCATTAAATGACTTAAAGTGAGTAACATAATCTGATTACTTTGGATTACTTGATTTGCTGTACAGAAGCAAAAACGAGGATATTCTAACATAAGACTTTACTTAACCGTACTAAAAATATTATTGATAGAAGACAAGGAGACCCGTCCACGCAGAATGATTTAGTCCTGTTAAATCCTGTTTTAGACCTGTTTAGACCTGGGTTTAGACCTGGTTTTAGTTCTGCTTTCGTCTTGGTTTAGACCTAGTTTAGACCTGATTTTAGACCTGGTTTAGTCCTGGTTTAGTCCTGGTTTAGACCTGGTTTAATGCTGGTTTATACTTGGTTTTAGTTCTACTTTAGTCTTGGTTTAGACCTGGTTTAGACCTGATTTAGAGCTGGTTTAGACCTGGTTTAGTGTCCGGTGATGAGTAGAATTACCGGAATAAAAAAAAAAAAAAAGGGATATAGCCCGAAATGTGAAAACAGGAAAATACCGCTGTGTAATCCATTTATTTCAACAAAGTAACTGTAACCCAATTACCACTCAGTGAAACAGTAACTGTAACTGAACAGTTACTCATAATTTGTACTCTGATTACGTAACTCTGGTACATGTAATCTGTTACTCCCCAACACTGCAGAGAGCTACGAGAGACGCACAGGCCCCAATGAACGATAATGAAAACCCGGACATTCCCATCACTAAAAAAAACAAAAAAAACTCGGACGCCCAGGACAGGACGCAAAAAACAGACATGTCCGAGGAAAAACAGACGTTTGATCACCCTAATCTAAGCCTACACCTAACCCTGCCACTCCAGAGCAAGTCTACAACTACCCTACTAGTATATCTAAGCCTACACCTAAACCCAACACTACTGCCGCTCCACAGTAAGCCTACAAATATGCTAGATATAAGCCTTCACCAACTGCCACTCCAGGGTAAGTGAACAGTTACTCTATATCCAGCCCTACACAACCGTCACTCTAGGGTAAGTCTTCAATTACCCTACATCTAACCCTACTCCACTGCCACTCCAGAGATGTACTGTGCTTGTGTCTGAGAAACAAGTCCACTGACGTTGCTGTAAACGTCATCACTACAAAGAGACATGAAGTTCTCGGCACTTCCTGTGGATCATTGCACATAACTCTAGCAAGCAGTTTTTTCTTTGTACCAAAATTATTATAGAGTGCTGAAAATAAGATTGTAGAATGAATTAAGTACAGAGCATCGGGCATGTGCTGGCGGTGGTGAAAAAAAGGATAGATTGGAGCAATGACGTCTTGAATACAGGACGATAAAGATTATACAGTAAATAAGAAGGGGAAATAACTATAACATGGTTAAAAGCATTAAAAAGTCAGTTTTGCTAAAGTCTACTTTAAGCCTACGACCACCCCATATGTAACCATACATGATTATACGACAGACCCTCCAGCATAAGCCTACAGCCACCCTATACCTAACCCCACACCATAAAACCACTGCTACTAGAGAGTACGACTACAACCACCTTAAACCTAATCACATCGAACAAACACCTGTGTGCACACACACATACACATACACACACACACCTATGCACACACATTACCCCACATCACATAAACATTACCCACATTCTAGCAGTACTCCATGGCCTCTCCTTTATGAGCGCAGTATAAGTCAGTCATTTACATGTTTATATTGCTAACACGCTCCAAAGAACAATAGGCCCATACAGTGTTCAGCATTTCTTCATAAATGTTTGGAGAACATATTTTCATGTGCCAAGAACTGGAGAGGCTGGCCACTGAAAAAGACATTTTAAAATGGAGTTTTTTAATGATGTTACCTTATGTAATACTATTCAGAATCGACATAGACTAATAGAAAACAGGTTACTATTAAGCCTGGCTATTGCTAAAAACTACTTAATAGGCCTACTATTTAACTTTGCTTAAGTTGCTATCGGAGCATCTGTTTTACATTGACTTGGTCAGTGGTTCTGACCCCCATAACAACAAAGATTGGAATTTGCAATCTCCAAACACAAAAATAGGCTACTCGCAAAAAGATAATTTTTTTTTTTTGATATTATACTTAGCTACATTTATTCAGTAGAGGAACAAATAGGAATCTACATTTCCCACTGCATTTAAAAGATGTAAAGCTAAAGCTAAGACAGAAAGGTTTAAGAACCACTGGGCTAGATTATATTTATCAGAAATATACAGCGCTATCAAATATATATGTAATTTTGATACATTTGAAATGTAGACTGTGCAAAAGCTGCAGATAAAATGTGATATACAGAAGTGTTGTGTTCCAGGTGGATCCAGCGGCGTACATAGATACATGTCTGTACCTGTTCTGCAGCCTGGGCCCTGCAGACAGACAGACTGCTGTGTGTGACACTGTGGCCAGTTACACCAGAGAGTGTGCCCAGCAGCATGTGCTCCTCACCTGGAGGAGCAGAGACTTCTGTGGTGAGTAAGACGACTGGAACAGGACTGGAAGAACACAAGGGGATCAAAATTACACTTTTAATACAAACAGGAAATGTTGTATTGAAACTCTTTAGTTAGACTGCTACATATATACTTTAAAATACATGTGCCACTTACAAATGTGCAGTGTTGTTTAAAAAAAAAAAAGCAAAAAAGAAAAGAAGATAATAAAGTTGAATGAAAGCACATTATTGTAAGTAAATGTTGAGTGGGGGACGGTAGAGCAGACTGCAGGTGTGGACAGACAGGAGCGGGCATATTTCCTGAGTCCACCTAAACGCACCAGAGTTCATGAAGCTCATCAACACCTGCCTGTTATAGAGCTGATTAAAGTCTGTATTATGTATTAGCTATGTTTAGCTACTGTGTTATTAGCAGTACCACTGGGATTATCCGTAGGCCTATATATTCTAATAGTTTTGTAAGTTTTGTAGTTACTTTACTAGTGTAAGGCCACAGAAATCACTGGTGTAAGGCTAGCATGAGCAAAAAACAAGCTAGGCTAAAGGAATGTAGCTCCAGTTTGAAAGGCTCAGTCCTTGTGAGTGAACTACTACAATTGTAATGTAAGTATAGAAAACTGAACACTTTCATTGTATGTTAAGTTAATAACAGGAACACTTTGTCTTGGCTTTTCATGCATCTTCTTCTGGAAACTGTGGAAAATCATGTGTCATTATAACATGAATTCTCTTTTACACCGCCTATAGTTAAACATATTTCGGGTATTTATTTTTACTTGCTTTCATACTTGTGTTGCAGCTCGTGTATGTCCTCGTGGGCAGGTCTTCTCTGACTGCGTGTCCTCGTGTCCCCCCACCTGTGCGTCCCCTCCTCTGGGACAGTGCAGAGAGGAGTGTGTGGGGGGCTGTGAGTGTCCCCCAGGACTGCACCTGCACCAGGGCCAGTGTCTACAGAGAGACCAGTGCCCCTGCTTCCACCGCAGACAGACATACCAGCCCGGGGAGCACATCCAGCAGAGATGCAACACCTGGTGAGGGTCTTTAAGAGTGAAACTATGATGATGAGGATTTATAGAGGAGAGTACGCCACCCAACCTCGCTCATACCAGACGGATACGTGTGCCACTCTGAACTGAGTTCTACACATGATCAATCTGGAGCGACTCTGACTGAATGTGATTGGGAAAAAGCAAAACATCATGACAATCATTTAATTCTGTTTGGTCGAAGTGTCACAATGGTGGAAGAAACCAAAAAATTGAAATGCAATCAAATTCAGTTGAGAATAAAGCATAGACATGTTCCTGTCAACAAATGCACAAAGCTCTGCATGTTTTTCACAAACTAATTGCTCCATATTGATGCTAAATTTGTCTGAAGTGCGTCTATTGGCATTACTAATTGTTTTGGTTCATTTGGGCACTTCGCCTTTGGCTTCCACAAAACCTGTGTGCTGTGACGTGATGATCCGCCTGCTACTGGGTGAATTTAAGCGGGACAGTGGGAGCATGTGAACTCACAAATATCACAAGAATACATGTTGCTGTACAAGGCCATCTGCTTTTCTCCATGGAGATGTTATTGCTTTGCCTGGAACGTTACAAAGCATGTCATTAAACTTGTCTCCATGAAGAGCAGCAGGTGACACCGACAACACATTAAGCATAGAAACAGGTGGTGGAACAGAATCCCCTCCCCCACCAGAGAGGTTATGTAATGCAACTTTAATGACTCATATTTTATTCTTCTTGTATATCACTAATATATTTTATTTAGCTGTTACATAAATGTGATCAATTAATTAACATAATATTTGTACTTATTTCCAGTGTGTGCCAAGCAGGCCAGTGGCAGTGCACAACAGAAAAGTGCTCTGCTCAGTGCAGCCTGCTCGGGGCGCTCCAGGTCACCACATTTGACAAGAAGAGATACTCACTCCAGGGAGGGGACTGTGCGTTCACCGCTGTGGAGGTACACTGCACCTGCATATGTAGTTCAAGTGTCATCATGCCAGGCCTTTTGAGAATCCTAATGGGTACAAGCGGTGTTCCAGTTTTCTGAGATTTAGAGAAGCAAAAATAGTTACACCACTTTGAACTGACTTATGACAAAACCAAGTAAATGTATTCTCAAAGCTTTTACAAAGAGAACAAAACATCTAAACTATAGCTGTAATTTAATTGTGGCTTTTTATCACTAACTTTGTCTTAATAATATGAAAAACAGAACTATACATGTTCTAATTGTAATTATTCACTGCCATGAGTTTATTAGCGCTTGTTACAACTTTCGAGACCCAAGTGGAGATTTGCCGTCACGGTAAAACAACAACTAGCATGCTAACGCACTTCCTGATCATCGGACCAAAAAAACCTTGACACACAACAGATTTTTTGACCTCAAGAGCTGCTTATACAATACATCTGTACTGGGAAAAGACTTTTTTTTTCTCAAATACATGGGAACGATTGGATAAGCTATATTTTTGCGTGGTCTTAGCAACACCACTAAAATGAAATTTTTGTAATATTTTGGCAATTATAGGACACATCTTCATTCATTCTTTCCTAACTCATGTTTCCCTCACCCCGTCTAGACTCGTGACCCATGATTTGTTTGTTCAGGACTTTGTCGACAGGAAGCTGGTGGTGAGAGTGCGCACGGAGGACTGCAGAGGAGGGGGGCGGGGCTGTCTGATGGAGCTGTCAATCACTGCTCTGCGCACCACCGTCACCATCACACACTCAGGTAAGATATTATGGCTCCACATTGTAGTAATATGTCTTATCTAAAATCAAAACACTAGTGGTTACAACATTGATGCTGTATTAAATGTGCACTATGTAACTTTTCTGGTGGAGGGTCTGTCACTTGCTTGTCTCTGTGGAAATGTTTTTGTTTCGACTGAAATATTCCACAACATGGCATGGAAATGATCAGTCTCCATGGAGAACCACCACCAGGCCAAGTTACAGGTCGGGGCCTCATTTATAAAAAACTGCACAGGAGTTGTTGTAAGGTAGTGCGTACGCCTAGTAGCTACGACAGGCGTGTGCAAGAGTTCCCCATTACACAAAAATGTAGGGAATATTTTGGTTCGGGCAGTAGGCTTCGTGTTGTCCGCAGACTCAGGTCATTCTGGCGCTCAGTGCGTAAAGACTAAAGTAAAAGTGTTAAAGTTGCGTTCATTAAATCAAAGCCTGGCTCCTGCTGCATCCAAGGGAAGAGTTTTTGTCTCAGGTCGGGTCATTGTTTCGTCCTCTGTGTTGGTCACAGACTGTGTTCTATAGAAGTCTATGGTCGTGGTGTGGACTGTGGGAGACTCTGCGCTACACCGTATCCGGGAACATGGCCGCGCTCGTGCACGAGTTTCAAATGTATAATATTGTGGAGAATAATGAGTGGAACAGCCCTTCTCCGTGTTTTGTTGAACCAAACATTTAAATGGGCAAATCTGAAGGTAATTCTTCTATATACGTGGATTTTCTGATCAAACACTTCCTCAAACTCTGTTCACTTCTGCTTCTCTCCACGAGTGTCGTTTTTTCCCCGTGTCTCCAGACTTTGCGTAGAACTTACAGGAGGTCCCGAGTTGGCGTAGCGTTAAGCAAAGAGCCACGCCTTAGTCGAGTTTTATAAATACCGCGGTTGGCGTAGGAAGCGCGCACGCATGGATTTTTGCGTAAGCAAGCTTTATAAATGAGGCCCCAGATTGACTCTGCAGAGAAATTTTAAGAAATTTAAACAATAGAAATACTCATAATATCAAAAAAATCATACATGTAGGGTTAAAATATATAATATCACATAGCCACTTTTCAAAAAATACATAACTGTCAATCCAGTTCTTGTTATGGTGAATACTGCTCTGAGAGACTTTCCCATTCTTTGCACTTCTTGTAACAGTTGTGTATTTCCAGGCACAGTGACAGTGAATGGGCACAGAGAGCTGCTGCCCGTGGTGACTGGAGACCTGGTGGTGCAGAGGGCCTCCTCGTCCTTCGTCCTGGTCCAAACTTTTGGGGCCCAGCTGCTGTGGCACCTGGAGGGACCCCTGGCCCTCATCACTCTACAGCCAGGCTTTGCACACAAGGTGAGCATTACCTGTCAGTCTCTTTAAAATATTACTTTTATTTTTGAGTCATGTGACATTCAGTAGTTTAACAGCTGTCTCAAAATGGTTTACCCTTAAAGGCGCTGTACTTGATTTTGACTGTGAATGTGAAAAACAGAAATAGCTCCTTTTAAACAATTTGCAGTGGTCCAGAATTATTCCTCACTCACCTCATGCATTCCGTGCATCCTAATTATTCACAACAATTTGTTTAAATGTGCTTTTCACAACTTCCAAAGGCAGTGAACTTTTGCTGTCATGTTAGTGATACAACAACTAGTATGCAAACTACATATGTCCTTTTTCTCTGACAATAATCTATACAAAGCATAAACTGTATAAATTAAAGGACATAGCTGACACACTAGCTGCCGCGTTCCAAATAGAAAATGAGCATGTGAGCACTTCTGCATCCATCAACTCATCATTTTGTTCTTAAAGTTGTCATATTAAACCACTCTACATGATCATGGTGTTTTTGTACATTCCTATTCCAAATATGGAACTCACCTCTAAATTTGCAGCTATAACTGCGAGCTTTGGTAAAAATGTCATACTCTAGATATTCAACTGTTGAGAAAGTCTTGTTCTAATGTTCAGACCTTGTGTAGAAATACAGTTGTATACAGGAGTGTGATTTAGAATGCAGTGAGTCTGTGTAACTTCTGTGTTGTAGGTCCGTGGTCTGTGTGGCACTCTGACATGGACACAGGATGATGATTTCACCACTCCAGAGGGCGATGTGGAGAGCAGCGTCTCGTCTTTCGCAGAAAAGTTCACCACAGGGCACTGCAGGGGCCCCACAGGAGGGGCCCCAGACCCCTGCACCACCTACACCCAGAGGAGACACTACGCAGAGGCCCTGTGCTCTGTCATACACAGCCAGCTTTTCCAGGTAATGGTTTGATTTTTTATTTTTTTATTTTGGAGTCCAGTAAAATATAAAAATTACCATAAGAGTTTTATTGTGTTATTACACAGTTGCACAGTTTGGAACCTACAATTTGTGTTGAAAGTACATGCTAAAATTGAGTACTTTGGACTACTTTTGATATTTATTCCTAAATCATTCTAATTAGAGTTATGCCAGTATTACTCAATCACTTGAACATAATCTGATATTGATACTGATACTGTGCAAATATATTGGTGTACCCTTAATTGTAATGTAACTTACTTGGCACACAGTTTTATTTCAAATAGGGCCGGGCACGTTAACGCGTTAACTTTGCGTTAACTAATTAAGTCATTAACGACGGCAATTATTTTAACGCCGTTAACGCAGTTTTTATTATTTATTTATTTATTTTATTGTAAACGTCTGTTTCTCACTGGCTTTTATTTTGATAAAGTCCACCGCAAGCGTTTCTTTAAGTTTGACGTCTTTTCTTTACACTTTTTTAACTTTTTTCTGACCATGTGAGGTGCAACGTGCCCGAGCCTCCACAGGCCCGGCCGCGGGTTCGGCCGCGGGCTCAGCCGCGGGTTCAGCCGCAGGTTCAGCCGCGGGTTTGGCCGCGGGCTCAGCCGCGGGTTCAGCCGTGGGCACCGGCTCTGAGCTGAGCTTATTTCTTGAGTTCAGTGCTGGAGTAACTGATTTACCCAGATACCATTGGAAGAAAAAATGTGATTGGTCCATTTCCATTCCATTATATTAACCCTTTGTTTCCTAAGAAATATCAGTCCAAGTTTATAACACTGATGTAGAAATTATTACTAGTGTAGTGTTCATTACTCACAGCATAAAAAATATTCAATAAATATATTAGTAGTACAAACATCCATTCAGTATTTTTTCTTGAGCCTTCCCTGAATACCTTGAAGACTCTGAGGTTCCCCTGTGAAAGAAATGCTGTTTGCACAACAAATGTTTGGCTCTTTCATTTCCATTTCCAATAAAAGAGCGCTATACTCTACTTTTTAATTCATTAATTGGTTTTGCGTATAACATGCAATTAATCGTGATTAATCACGATTAATCGCTCGAACTCATGCGATTAATCGCGATTAAAATTTTTTTATTTTTGCCCAGCACTAATTTCAAACTATGTAAACTGTATTGAAATCAGGCAGAAAGATTCCATTACATGTTTGTTAAACTAGTACATTTTCACCTCCAAATGAAACTATCATTACTAATACTTTTGATCAGTTAAGGTTGATTGCAAGTGTGTTCTGAAAATCAGTTTCTTTCTTCCCTGCGCCCTGAGCAGAAGTGTCATGATGTGGTGGAGAGGGAGCCATACTTCCGCCTGTGTCTGTCTGAGGTGTGTGGCTGTGGCCCCACAGAGTCATGCCACTGCACTGTGCTGACCGCATACACCCAACACTGTGCCCAAGAGGGGGCGCAAGTGCACTGGAGGAACCACACCTTCTGCTGTAAGTCAATGAGAAATGTTTACTGTACTGACAGAAATGCATGCATTTATGAACATAGTTTATGAACAAATTAGGACTTTAAATTAATCTAGGTGCTGCCAGGGGCTGGAGGGGGTCCGGTTTGGGGACCACAGGATCTCGCTTCTGCTGTTTGCAGATAATGTTGTCCTGATGGCTTCATCAAACCAGGACCTGCAACGTGCTCTGGGGCGGTTTGTGGCCGAGTGAAGCAGCTGGGATGAAAATCAGCTCTGCCAAATCCGAGGCCATGGTTCTCAGAAAAACGTGGCTTGCCCTTTCCAGCTGGAGAGTGCCTGCCTCAAGAGGAGGAGTTCAAGTATTTCAGGGTCTTAATCATGAGTGAGGGGAGGACGGAGCATGAGACGCGGTTGCTGTATCAGACCATTCTGATGAAGACGGAGCTGAGCCAAAAGGCAAAGCTCTCAATTTACCATCAATCTCTGTTTCTCCCCTCAACTTTGGTCATGTGTTTTTGGATACTGACCGAAAGACAGATACTGAACTGGGCACTTCCTTAGAGATATTGTGAGGAGCTCAGTCACACGGGAGGAGTTGGAGTAGAGCTGCTGCTCCTCCACGTGGAGTGGAGCCAGCTGAGGGGAGGGCATATGTTCCAGATGCCTCCTGGTCACCTCCCCTGGGAGGGGTTCCGGGCATGTCCCAGTGGGAGGATCCCCCAGGGAAGACCCAGGACATGCTGGAGGGACTAATAATTCAAGTTAATAAAATTAACCTATTTCAGTCTAGTCAGTCAATTCCCTGTAAAATGGTAACAGAAACTGACTGATGTTAAACTGACTGCTGCTGTTGTTGTTGTGTCCAGCGGCGCAGTGCTCGGGGGGTCAGGTGTATCAGGAGTGTGGCCGTGCCTGTGGGAGCTCGTGTTCAGACCTGCACAGAGACTGGAGCTGTGGCGCAGACAGCAGTGGACTGAACACCAGGTTGTGTGTGCCTGGCTGCCAGTGTCCCCCTGGCCTGCTCCAGGACCACCAGGGCCAGTGTGTGCCCCCACCATGTGCCCCTGTGTGCAAGGGGACAAGACATACCTCCCAGGAGCCCACATCCACAACAACTGCAACACCTGGTAAGACCACAGTAACACGGAAATCTATTATTCACTTTCATTCACTCATTAGCATTCTCAGTTCAAGCCAGGAAGAGTTTAAAATTGAACTAAACACCTAAATAATAGGCTGTGTCTCAATTATTTTTCCTCGCTTCCTTCTCCTTGATTCCTCTCCTCGATCCTCCATTTTTCAGCTGTCAATCAAATTAAGTGGCGCCTCAAAGACAACCACGGAATGAAGTAGCAGACATCAGAGAAAAGAATCAAACTTTAATTATCTCAGTGAGGAGTTTAGATCCTCTCTCCTCCCCGTGTCTCCTGTGTGCACGGGACTTCCTCATCCATTTCCTGCAGAATCGAGGAGAAGAATCAAGGAGAAGGAAGCGAGGAAAGAGAAATGAGACACGGCCATAGTATGATTAGTCTAACAGGTATCCACACTTCAAACTCCGCTCCTGCAGACAGGTGTTTGTATCAGAAACACCTGGCTGTACCTGTCACCTCTGTGATGTCACTAACTACTTGAAATTGTGCACAGAAGGCAGCACAGACTTAAATGTAGGCGTCTTTGACCAGAATGCTGTAAATATACCTAGTTTTCACTAAAGTTAATAAAACACGATTAAGAACAGTAGACAATGCAAAACTATATGGATACGAGATGGCTATGTCTAATGCCATAGTGTGAAACATTCCAGGCAAAGCATTACTATTTCCATGGAGAGTAGCTGGTGGCATACTGACCCTATCCCAGTGTTCAATGATTAAAGAAATGTGATATGTATTTTTAATGACTCGTTTAGTCCAGAACAAGATTAGATCCGAATCTTTTCATGTTTTCCTGGTACCCCATATACTGTATCTTTCCTTGTAGTGTCCACTGCCCTTTGATTGTTATCACAGCTTTATAAATGATTTGTAGTACACTGACTCCATTGCTCGTTCAGCACGTGCACTACAGACTGGACAGGTGGTGTGAGAGATCTGATGAAATCACTCTATAGTCCTGCATGCTGCATCAGGATAGGTTGATTTCATTGCATCTCTTCATCACATAACTACAGTGCATATTTATTTGTATGTATTTTTATGTATATATGTATCCATATGCAATGTCAGTTAGAGCTGGGGTGTTGAAATCAAAGAATCGGGTGCATTTCATGTGCTGTTGTAAAGGGCCTATAGTTTCAAATGAAGGTGCACATGTTTGGACCTGTTCTCTGTAAATACTGGGTCTATCCACATGACACAAAGCTGACACATGCTTTTATGTCCTATCTGTCAAATAAACCAAGGCAAAATAAGAATAAAACCACTGTACTCATGTTACAACATGCATGAGAGCTGTTGATATAACTACATAACAGGCATGGGAAGATATTGAAATTTAGTGTCACAATTATCATGGGTAAAATAATTGCAATTAACAATTATATCACGATAATTACTAAGTTGCTGACAATTTAAAATGTTATGGATATGAATCACTATAATTTTAATGTTATGAATAACTCCACTTTAATAATTGTGCTTCTAGTGGAGATCTAGTCAGGCTGGCGCCACCTGGTACCTCCGCTCAATTTAATTTCTCTCAAGTGACTAGGTCAGGAATCAGAATACACTAGATCAGGGGTGTCAAACTCATTTTGATCCGGGGGCCGTATCCAACCTACTTTGATCCCAAAGTGGCCGGATCAGAAAACTCATGTCAACTCATGTCATATAAACCCCCCCAAAAATAACAATAAGTTCAGATATTTGTGCAGAGAAACACAAATCTACTACAGAAATCTTTTTGAATTGATGAACTCAACACAATGTTTTAACATGAACTTGTTTAAAATTAACTTATAGAAATAGGAATAAGTAAATTTATGTTGTAAAATCCTGCCCTCGGCTCCACTTGTCTCATTTTTGACATTTTTCTGATGAGGGTGTCACGGTCAACAGTCAGAACGATCGTCCTTTAAGAGCGTTTGGAAAGAGACAAGTCTTCATTTGTGCTGCTCTGGTGGGAGGGGCCACACACAGAGACGCTGGAGACGCTGCTGTGATAAACACCGCAGAAAATTACCAATATTTTAATAAAAAATATAATTCAAATATTTTAGTAGAAAAATCAGCCAAGGGACAGATTAAAGGTTTTGAAGGGCTGATTCTGGCCCCCGGTCCGCATGTTTGACACCTGTGCACTAGATGGTTTGCAAGAACCCCAGAAGTGCAACTTCAGGCACCGGCCAGTCAGAGAAAAGCCATACATTTTGTGTTGGCAACGATTCCCAAGATCAAGAATTTAAAGCCTGAACAAAAAGAATGTTTTTTGAATTTTATAAAGGGAAAGACGTTTTTGCCTTTCTTCCCATCAGATTTGGGAAAAGCTTAATATACCAGTTATCCCCATTAGTGGCGCATTACATACATCACGACGTCTAGTGAACAAATTCTAATGCTGCAAAGTCAGATGCTTTCCATGAAGTGAAACCGGCTAATGAATCAGGCTAGTGGAGATCATGATGGATAAGGAGCTTTTTTTCTGCACATTCGGGTGATACACTGGTGATGATGTTTGGTGGCGATTTTCAGGAGGATTATATCAGATATCCCTCAAATGATTATTGCCGACCCTCGTTATCACTATAAACAATATTATTGTTTATTGTCCCATCCCTACTATGTAACTCAAGGCTAATAACAGAAAATCTCATCATTATCTGATTTCTGGAGTTATGTTCCATCTGATGTAAGTAAAGATTTCAATTATTTCTGTCTGAGGTTTTGACAAGGAAAATGATGCAAAAAGGGTAAAGTAATGCAGCAAAGACAAAAAATAAAGAGACAAGTTAAGTCAGATTTTTTTTTATAGAGCACATTTAAAAACAACCACAGTTGCCCAAAGTGCTGTACAAAGGTAATACACAGTGCTATATAATACATACAAAAACATAGTAAAGCTACTGCGCTGTCCAAGCATGAATAAGTAAAAGTCGTCAGCATAATGACCGGTACAAAGGTTACAAAAACACAAATGTCTATCAGTGTTCACCACGGTGTTTTTGATGATCCAATTTCATGTGCTGTAAACACAGATCAATCAGATTTAATGACTGGGTTATCTGATCATTATTTTCTCTGGTAGGGTAACAGTGCTCAGTGTCTCTGCTCTTTATATTTATATTCTTTATATATTATATTTTTGACCATTCTCTGCTTCCTTTGTCAGTGTGTGTGAGCAGGGTGCATTTAACTGCTCTCACAAGGTGTGTGAGAAGGTGAGCCAGTGTCCCGGGGCTCTGGTGTACTCTCCACGCTCATGTCTGCTGACCTGTTCCAGTCTGGACCCTCCATCAGGGCAGCAGGCCCAGTGCAGAGAGCCACTGTCTGGGTGTGTGTGTCCTCAGGGGACTGTGCTGCTGGTGAGGGCACATCTTGATTCTGATTATTTTGTACATAGTTTTCAAATCCATTTAAAATCTCCCACTGAAAAATGTGTTAAGAAATGCACCGCTCTGAACCCAACATAGTCCCAGTGTGGACTTGGTGTGGTCCTGTTTTATTTCATCCTGTTCTAGTCCAGGTTTAGTTAACGTCTCTGTGTGAAAAACATATTTATGCAAGTGTGAAAGCTCCACTAAAGCCATTTATTTACTGAATTCCAATTCGCTCTTCAATAGAAATAGAGAGAGGTCTTATATCACCACCTAGAGGCCAAAGCTCAAATTGCATCCTGGTGCAACGTTTGACATGACGTGCTGTGTTGAGGAAATTGTCTTTAATCTCATTTTTATGTTCATTGAGAGGACATTTATTTGTGGAAGATTATGAAAATCTAAATTGTCATTACATGCTTCACCAAAAATGTAATTTACCTTTTTAAACGCTCCTGTGGACTTGGTTATATAGAAAAAACATCTTGAGCACCAAAGGCTGGGATATCCAAACATAGGAGCAACATTTGAAATGGAGACCTAAGAAACCCTGTAGCTGCCCATTTTAAAGAAGGACAGCTCCATCCTCCCTCAAATATCCTGGGATAGAGCAGGTGAAGCTACCAAGAAGAGGAGGGGATATTAACAAGCTGCTCCTACAAAGAGACAGTATTTTTTCTGGCCCCTAGTGGACTGAATCAAGAATATGAAATTAAACACTTCTCATAATGATATATTCATTTCAAATATAATTGACTTGCCTGATGATGACATATGATTGATGGACTTGGGTAATGGCTTATGTTATATGATGTACAGTGTATGTTGTGTTATATATTGTGTTGTGTGGTCATGGGTCACTTTTGGATCGGCCAACCAGTCAGCGGGCAGAAGGTTTATATGGGAGTGGCACAGAGAGAACCATGACCTAACCAAGATCCACTGATCCAAACATTGTCATTCATTAAAAGTAGTTTGGGAGTAAGTGCAGCTTTGTCTCACTTTCTAAGGACATTGATTCGTTTCATAATGGGGGGATTCTAGTGCTGCATTTTAGAAAACCAAGAGAATCAAAAATCAGTATTAATAATTATATGAAAAAATGTATTTATGTCTAATCTAACACAACAATCAGAATGTAGAGCAAAATACAAGACAAGTGCTTACTCTGGATTGCTAAAGTGCATCATATGGCCAGAAGCTAAGGTGACTTCTGTATTCTGTACAGTTTTAGTTAGTTAGTTAGTTTATTTATTTAATGAGAAAGTGACAGTGCACAATTAACCTTAACAGGAGAGATGCTTTGTTCCCGGTTGTAGCACTAGAGTTAATTTCCACCTGTCGTCCCTGGGCAGGTTGATGTTATAGTTCATCAAATCAAGTCTTTATAATGATAGGAGCAGCATAACAATTCTGTATCCTCATTCACAAACAGTTCTCTCAGCATCTTAAAAACATCATCCTTATCAAAACTGTCATTCAATTCATTCACTCCAGAACATCTCACTCTCTCCAGACACGCATCAGTCCACATTATGGGCGCAGGTTTGGTTTGAAAGGAGCCACTTTTTCAGTTTGTACATGTGATCAGCTCAGTTGGAAACATACTGATGGATGGCAGTAAAGTTTTATTCTGTTACTGTATTGCACATGATTACCATAAGGCTAATGATACAAACACAGGGCTGCAGTAGTCAGTGGGCTCAGAGCATAAATGATAATAAAGTGAAAAGTCTGATTGTGTTGTAGGGTGACCAGTGTGTGCTCCCAGACGAGTGTCCCTGTCACCATAACGGGCGACTGTACTACGCCAATGACACCATCAGGAAAGACTGCAACAAGTGGTATCTTTTTTATTCTCATATACTACATAGTACAGATTACATAAGTATGATACAGTATGTCATTAATGTAATGTAACTCTGCCCCCTAGTGTGTGTCAGGCGCGTCGCTGGCACTGCACCCAGTTGCCCTGTTCTGGGGTGTGCGTCGCCACGGGAGATCCACACTACGTGACGTTTGATGGGCGCACGTTCTCCTTCCTAGGGGACTGTCAGTACGTGCTGGCCCGGGAGAGGAGTGGTCTGTTCACTGTGACAGCGGAGAACGTGCCGTGTGGAAGTACTGGAGTCACCTGCACCAAGTCTGTGACCCTGAGCCTGGGGAACACCGTCATACACCTGCTCCGAGGTAACTGGGATAGAGAATGGAAAAAGTCAGCTCTAGCTAAAAATATTGTTTGTTTGTTTTATTAGGGATGGGCTGATATGGATTTTTTTTCCATTTTTTTGTCCAATATTTGTCTTGCTGTTCTGCCCAATAAACTAATATTTATTTTACATGGATTTTAAGATATAAAAACCCATAGCAAGTCTCATAAATTTGTTCAAAAAATATCATTCAACTTTGTAAAAATAATGAATCACTTTTGCATGATTATGCAAACGTGTTTATAGCATTACTGCACTTCTGTTTCCTTTGTTGGTCATAAATGTTTTCATAAAGACACACTGATGCTCTGAGGACAAACTGAGACTGGCACACAGAAGAAATACAGGTGGCATATTGTTGTGTTTCAGATGACATCACAGCATTCTATAGGCCAGTATTAATTAATACAGATGGGGGCAGCTAAAATGATATTGTGTACAGTCAGTTCTTGAGTTGAATTAATATTTGGAAATACCAGGTTCAACATTTGTGAATTTATCTTTGGGATATTCTAGAATGTGGTGATGTCATACTTCCAGTTGGGGACAAGGGGCATTTTTTCCTTAATTAATTAATTAATTACATTGTACTTTGCCATGGAATATCGGAAAGACAAATTCACAAGTATGGAACCTCATCATTTCTGTTATTGACTAGACCCAAGTCCCTGCTGTACAACTGATTCTAGCTGCCCCCTGCCTGTATTAAATAATATTGCCCTATAAAATAATGTGATACATCACAGCATCAGATGACAATGTCATCAATACAATGTAATCAATACAATGTAATTAATACAATGTAATTAATAGGAAAAATTGTCCCCCTTCTGAGTGTACAAGTTTCTTATTTCAGTGCTAGTTTTAGTATTGATTAGTACGAGATCTTCGGCATTTTTTGCCCTAACAACATGAAATTTGGCACTGCACACACCACGCGTACCGTTAGAATGACACCCACCAAATTTGAGATCAGTCGGATGAGTGATTCCAGAGTTATGTGTGGAACAGACAAACAAACCAACAAAGCAACAGGAGACACAGACAGATGTCATCTATCTTGCATGAATAGACAGATGATATCATCACTTTCTAGAATCAGAAAACCACCAGTATTGGTACAATTTTCAATATTAGAAAGATACCAATATCTGGGAAACATTTTCAATATCACTGACACTGATATTGGAATCATTCAGCCCTAGTGTTCATGTTAAAGCAAAATGTGGTCAGCTGACTCTTTATTTGAATGACTCCTAGTTTTGAACGAGCTTAGGCTTTTCAGAGGTACAAGCTGCTCTTAGTGGCAATTAAATGTTGTTTTCATTACACTGCAGAGCTACTTTAATCCATCAACCATCTGCTTATTTTAGGCAAAGCGGTGACGGTAAATGGGATGCCGGTGACGCTGCCTAAGTGGTACAGCGGCAGTGGTCTGAGCCTGGAGCAGACAGGCCTGTACGTGTCCCTCTCATCTCGGCAGGGGGTCACTCTGCTATGGGACGGAGGTACGACCCATATGTGTAAAGTGGAACTAAACAGCTGTGGAAGTACTCCATTTTGTTATATTTATTATTTAAGTAAAAGAAGTGATACAGTGGCAAAAAGTTACTATAGTGAAAGTAAAAGTAGCATGATCATAATAAGTATCCACTGTAAAATTTACTTAAGTACAGATACCTAAAATTTATACTTAAGTATTGTACTTTTATTTTGTACCTTCCGCCACTGGAACTAAACACTAAATCAATTTTTTCAGTGTGTATATGTAATGTTTTAATGGCATTATCTGTTGTTCCTTGTCATTATTTGGCAACTTTAGTGAAAACTGGCTTAAATATTCAGCTTTCTTTTATAAAAACAGCTGCTCTCTTCAACTTCCAGTAGTTGGTGACATCACAAAAGACTGTCCTGATTACAGACAGCCATTACTGATGACAAACACCTGACTGCAGGGGCGGAGTCTGAAGTGTGGATACCTGTTTGTTGAATCACACTGTACCTTATACCCCCAGACCCAGACTCTCTTCTCTTTCAAATGTGCTTGTGGGCAGACTTTAGTTCCACTTTAGCACTGGAACAGCAGAAACTCCCTCCTTGCTGTCCCCTCACTGTGCCTCTGTGCTGCAGGGATGCGAGTGTACGTGCGTCTGGCCGCTCACCTCCGCGGCCGAGTGGGGGGCCTGTGTGGGAACTTTGATGGAGACACAGAGAATGACTTCACCACGAGGCAGGGGATCGTAGAGTCCACCCCAGAGCTGTTTGGAAACTCATGGAAAGTCAGCCCCTCCTGTCCCGACGTGGACGACCAAGACCTCAGGGACCCATGTAAAGTCAGTATCTTTATCAGTATCACATGAAAACTATTAGTACTTTTCCATCCTCCAGAACACTGATCTACATTACAATGTGATTTTCAGACTTCTGTCTACTTTTGCAGTTGTATCAATCTCTGTTTTTTCTGAATGGTATATACAGCATACTGCAATCTTAAAGGCCCTGTATCAGATTTCTGTCATTTCAGTATGAAAAAATAACTAGTTCATTTTAACAGTTTGCAATGGTCCAAAGTTATTCCTAATTATTCCCTGCAATTAGTTTATAAGTGTTTTCAGAGACCCGTTTTTTTTTTTCTTTTTTTTGTCATCACATCTGCCCTATAAAGGCAAAATACTTTAACTGACCAGAGTGTGAAGAATGAGAAAAATGACTTCAAAGACAAAAGTATAATAGGTAGGGCTCCCAAAATTTGAATAGTTATATAATAATAATAATAATAATTATTATTATTATTATTAATTATTATTATTATTATTATTATTATTATTATATTGAGCTCATCAATTGACCTTTGACCCTCATTTGGCTGCTACTGTACTCTCCCTTTGTATCATGTGCCACAAATAATATGTCGGTTGAAAAGTGCTGTATAAATAAAACTTATTTACTTACTTATTTTTGCAGTGTTTATTCACATGGTAAAGGAGGTCTCAAATAGCCCCAAAATGACATTAACTCATTTTTGACCAAACATCATGTTACTGCCTTCTGCCTTTGTAGGGCAGAGATTAAAGCTAACAACAAAAGCTAACCGTGCACCTTCTGATTATTGGGCAATAAATTACTTCATAGTTAGATGCAGACAGTACACAGCAGACTTATTTTAACCTCAAGAGCAATATATATCTGTGCAAGACAGATCTGTGCCTTTTCACAGCTCTGATGTAACTGTAACTGATGGGTAACTTGGTCAGGTGGCATCTCTTTACATGCAGGTAGACAAGTTAAATGCCATACTGTCGGACATTCAAGGCAAAGGAATAACTGTAGTAGTTCTAACATTCATTCCATTTCCATCATAAACAACAGTTCAGACAAATGGTTGGAGACAAGCATGTGTAGAAAGCTCCTCCAGAGAAGTTACCTAGAGCATCTTTAATATTTAATGTCCTCTTATCCTTATCCCTGTCATAGCGGAACCCTCACAGAATGACCTGGGCCAGGAAAAGGTGCTCGGTGCTGACCCAGGACCTGTTCTCCCACTGTCACCCTGAGGTGCCCTTCCAGCAGTACTACGACTGGTGTGTGTTCGACGCCTGTGGGTGAGTGGCCTGTCCTTCTCTCTGCTCTGGCCTAAACATGACCTCTGTGCTGTAGGGTTCATCTTGTGTTGTAGATGTGACTCTGGAGGGGACTGTGAATGTCTATGCACAGCTCTGGCAGCCTACGCCGAGGAGTGTAACCGCAGAGGAGTCTATGTGCGCTGGAGGTCTCAGGAGATATGCCGTAAGACCACTATATATCAGATAATAAAGTACACACATGACAAATGCAATCAAGGGAGAGTATTACAGTCAAGTGGATGGAGTAGCCTAAAAATGTATTCAAGTATTCCCTTACCTCAAAAATAATATTACTGAGTATAAAAGTATAAAAGCATGAAATAGTGATCCAAGACATTACTGAAAAAATATGCAGAAGATATTTTCAAAGGATGAACCACAAAAGAAGCAGTGCAAGAAACATGTGTTGTTTAAATCTTTTAAAGCTGGAGTACACAATTTTTTTGGAGTTTGTGTTGTCCCCAAAAGAGTATATTATAAAAACATTTTTACTTTGTAAAACATTTTCACTTTGTAAACCTTTTTCATTTTGTGATTTTTTATTTCTTTCCACTGTAAAAGCAAGCATTAAAAGCAGCACTCTGGATATTAACGATACGCCAAAAGATTTGTCAGCGTGAGCCAGACTGATTTAAATAATACTTTCTCCTTCTGCTGTGAAAAAATCATGTACCCCAGCTTTTATATTTCATAAAGTCACTTGCAGACTTACTCACAGTGTGGCGGTAACAAAAACGTTTATTCAAGTCAGAGTTATTCTGTTACACTGTAAAGAGTATTTCTCAGCTCTAGCATACGATTGATGTCATATTATGTGATTGTGTTGCAGCTTTGCAGTGTGAGAATGGTCTAGTGTATGAGCCCTGTGGTCCGGCCTGTACTCCGTCCTGTCCCACTGTCCCTCAGAGTCAGCACTCCCAATGCACTGTCCTGTCCTGTGTAGAGGGCTGCTTCTGCCCCCCTGGCACTGTGCACCATGGTCAGATACTTTGAAATTACATTACAGTTATAAGAGTGTTTTATATATATATAAAAAAACAAAAACAAAAATAATATCTTTCGGCAGGGGACAGCTGTGTCGCTCCAGCCCAGTGTCCGTGTGAGTGGGACGGCTCCATGTTTCCTCCTGGTTCAGTCATCAGCCAGCACTGTCAGAACTGGTCAGTCTGAGAATAATGATAGGATAATGTTTTCACTTTGACCTCAAACAAGGTCATTCTTTTATCATTCAAGAAGCTTATGCTTTTGAATTACATTTCTCCTGCTTATCCATGTGTACTTTTCAAGCTGGATGCATGACAGTGTTTAATGTTTAATCTGCTAATTTTTGGCTGTGGTTCTCCAAATGGAAATGTTGTCACTACACAGCATTATATCAAGTGATCTTGTGGTATCAGGTGTTTTCCTTTGGATCTGTCATGTAATCAATTCAGAAACGTGATTCTGTGAGAAGGAAATCATTTTAGCTCAAATAGTGATCGAGATGTCACATACACTGTTTCCATGTTATACATTGTAAAGATATGATGTTGCTTGCAGTTCGTGTGAGGATGGCCTGTGGCGGTGTGTGGGGGTTGCCTGTCCCCCTCCGCGCTCCTCCTGTGAGCCTGGAGAGTTCACCTGTGCTGGGGGGCGCTGTATCCCCTCAGACTGGGTCTGTGATAATGAAGACGACTGTGGGGATGGGTCTGATGAGATCTGCCCCTCTACCTGTGCTCCACAACAGTTCCGCTGCTCCAGCACTCCCAGGTAACCTCCAGAGAAGGGTTGGAAAGAACTGTGGAGCTTATTAATATGTTGTATTTTGCTTAAAACTCCTGACTATAATGGCCCTCAATTCAAACGGATTCTACTGGTATATCTGAACTGTTAGAGCACAGACTCATAACTGGGCTCTTTGTGAAGCTGTGGCTCTGTAGTTTTGGCCTGGGTCTGATCTACTTTCATTATTAAAGTGGGACTAAACAACTAAACTCCACCCACATTCAACATTTCAAAGAGCTGTGAAACAGGGCAGTTGATAGATAGATCTAGATTTAACAAAAACACTTTTAAAAACACATCACAATAAAAAAAAAGAAACAACTGCAGTTGTCTGAGTTTATCTAGTGGAGTTCAGAGAGGCAATGGCATTTAGAATAAAACTTTTTTTGTAAATGTTTTCTGTGTCTGGAAGTATACATAACAGTGTGATTGATCTAACAGTTCAAACTGCACACTTCAATCTCCGCCTCTGCAGCCAGATGTTTCTATCAGTGTGTGGGGGTTGCCTTAATCAGGGAAGTGATGTTACATAGTACTTGAAATAGCAGTGGTCAGTGTAGGCAGAACAAAGCACTAAACTTTGCACTAAAATTGCCGAAATAAGATTAGGAACATTAGACAATACTTTTAAAACAAGATGTCCACAGTTTAGTAGGAAAAAAGTTGATTTAGTGTTTAGTTCTACTTAAATGTGAAGGTGGAATGCATAATTAATTGCAAATGTATTAGATTTTATTGTTTTTTTTTTTTAATATATGTATTGGTATTTAGACTACAAACTGGTCCTGATTCTAGGTTGATTTGACTGAAAATAAGTGAGTTTCAGTTATTTCTCTACAGGCATATTCAATAACAGTAACACAACAACATGACAAAGCAACACACATGTAAGTAGATACAATATAGTGAAGTGCAGATGAGAATGGTATGCATCGATGCAAATGCCAGTTCACAATTATGGCAGGTGTGGAAAGTGGAGAGATGTACTTACACACACACAAACACACACACACACACATACATACATAGATAGCAAAGGTTTAGGATGCAGGAGTGCGACTTGGATATACAAAAATGTGCAGAATTGTCCTTTTGGTGCTCTTCAGTGTAGGGACCAGTCTGAAATGCAAAGAAGGAAAAAAAACTGAGGCACTCAAAAAGTACAAAATAATTAAAAGCTTTTAATTCCACATGGCAGATAAAGTTAAAATCACACCAATGCGTTTTGGCCCTTCGGCCTTCATCAGAGCAAACTTGAGATGAATATCACAGTGCAGATTAATAGTAATAGGTGTAGGTCACATGTTCACAGTTGGCTGGCCCACAGTCCCCTGGTGCATGATGTAGGCTGAACAGATTTTAGTCACAAACTATTCAAGTTCAAATATAACACAAGATCCCACCAATAGATACATAGAAAGATACATAGTAGAAATACACAGAAATACATTTCTTAGATTTAAATATTTATAAGGACCTTGATGGGGATTTACATAGCACAATTTTCAGAAGAGTAACTGATCGAAATACAATTTTAAAAGCAGATAACTTCCACCCCCCATGGTTGCTTCAGAATATCCCTTTTACTGTAGTCAGTTTCAAAGACTACGGCAGATTTGTGACACTGAATCTAACTTTAAAAAAATGCCCAAGATATGATTATTATAATATATTATTAATGTGTCTTCATCTCCAAAGCTCAAAATGCTTTTACAAATTCAGTAGAGATTGGCAATCCCAGGGCTGGTCATCTAAATGATTTTAGTGAAGGTGCACGGAGTTTAAAAACAGTGGAGCATTTTATGTATTACCACATGTCATCACAAGGTGGAATAGGAGTTTTTTCAGTTTGAGAGAAGAACACGGCCTAAATATGCAGGATTAGTGTATTAAACTAAACATACACTATAGCGCCCCCTAGGATACACATGAAACTTCAGCATTATTGGATTTGTACCAAATTTGAGAATTGAATTCTACTAGATGCAAAAACATATATTACTGACATTTAAAAAATATATATTTATTATTATTATTAATAATAATAACTGGTCTGGTTCTTGGGTAGAAATACATCAATTTACACAAAGACAGATTGACAGAAAAGTTTTATTCACAACATAACATTTTCATCACATGTTCTCTGTCCTTGGCTTGCCTCCTTTGCTTCCTCGTGTCCTTGCCTCCTTTGCTTCCTCATGTCCTTGCCTCACAAGTGTGACCGAAGGTACAATGAACAGAACAAATGTTAGACTGTAACATCATGTTTGGTCAAAAATGTGTTAATGTCATTTTGGGGATATTTGAGACTTCCTTTATCATGTGAAGAAATATTGTGTGTCATGTGAAAAAAATACTGAGCTCAAAATTGACCTTTGACCCTTATTTGTCAGTTCCTGTACTCTGCCTTTGTATCATGAGCCAAAAATAAGGAGTCATGCAAATACAAAAGGCAGTAACTGTGTATGTTTTGTTTTGTGATTTAATTATCTTTAAAGTGAAAGTATTTTGTGTATTTATTCATACTGTACATACTTTACTGCAAAGTCACTTGTGTGTCAAACTGTTTAACTGTGTAAGAGTGCTGCACGATCCTGATCAGCACTAAACAGCAAATCCAAAAGTCTTCTATATAATTTCATACAAACACCATGAAGACTCAACTTTGGTGAGGTGTTCTTATAATGGATGGAAGTCTGGGCAAAATTAAGCAAATAATAATGATCATGTCAGTTACGGGCTTTTGTCTTTGCACGACACGTTATTTTTGACTCATGATACAAAGGCAGAGTACAGGAGCTGCCAAATAAGGCTCAAAGGTCAATTTTGAACTCGATATTTTTCACATACAAATCATTATAACTAGTTGTCAAATTTTGTGTTCTTGGTTGACACACGCTACACATCAAATGACTAACTGACTCTCAGAAGTTCTAGCTAAGTGGCCCAGCCTGGGTTTGGGCTCTGAACGCCTGAATTTTTGGGCACCAATTAATTGTTGATTTGTAGGCTAGTTTTTGTAGCTTTTTTGTAACTTTTGCCTGTGAAATGCTGGCTTCTCAGGATAACGTCAGTGGGTCCTGCTAGGTTGGTTTTGGTGGGTGCTGCAGAGTTGGTTGTTGTGGGTGCTGCTCGGGCGGTTGTTGTGGGTGCTGCGGAGTAAGTTGTTGTAAGTACCACTGGACCGGTTGTTGTAGGACTGCCTCGTTGCTCAGTCGTACTATACTTGCTATGTTTGTGTTTAGCGGATTGGCCGATGACACAGTCATTTCTCGAGTATTGGCTGCTGGCTCGACAAAGCTGGCAGAGTGGTTAATTGTTCGCTTGTTGGTTGGCCCCACCATCAATCCTGGGTTATCGTCTACAGTCTCAAAGGGAGCTGCCAGATCTGCTGTTGTGATGATATCTCCAAGTATTTGCAGGACTGTGAGATGACAGCTCGGTGGTACCAACATAGCAGGGTGGTAGAATGAAGGCTGAAGAGGAGCTGCAGGTTGGGTGGAAGTTGCAGATGCTGTTGCGTTGCCTTTCCTTTTCTTTTGCCCAAATTTTATCTTTGGCAGACTACCCTGGGTACTTGGTACCCTGGTACCACTTCCGCCTGCTCATAATATGGGGCTTGTTCATCATTTGAGAGCATTTTCCATCTTGCCCCGGCGATTTTATTCACCTCCACCGAATTTGTTATATTAAATTCCTGCACAATAGTCTCCCTCTGCTCAGCCTTGTACAGCATGAAGGCATTAGGAGGTTTCTTGATGTATGGCTTGTTGGCCGTATTGACTGCTGTTTGGGCTGTATTACTGGCTGTTGCTGTTCTTGGTGCAGCATTTTTTGCTGCTCCTTGAAGCAGGTCCAACTTGTGAAGATGGGCCTGGTATCACTGGGGAGACTGGTCACTCTGAGTTATTTTCCATGGCAGAATTTTCAAACGAATCCTGAGCTCTTTGGTATTAAGCAATTTGGTGTTGCAATGCTGATTGCATGAATATACATACATGACATAAATATATTCAGATTGACACTTTGTTGTTTACATGATTTATCTTATTTCCCCACACGATTTCTTCCATTTAGTGATGATTTAGGTCATGTGATCATAACCCAGCCTCTTTTCTCTTCGATCAGAGTCGTGTTGTGTCTCTCTGTGATGCTCATACACAAACTAGTAGCACTTTTTAAATCAGTTATGTATTATTGTTATTGCAGTATCCAACACAGTAATCAAATATGACTGCCAAAGCTGAGAAATGAGAGGGTTTAAGAAAGTTAGAAGAAACACTACAATGGCCACATTTACATGATGATTTTAAATTCTGATTTAATTATTCCAAATTAATAAATTAATTTAATTATTCTCCTTCGAATTTACATGGAAATAATAATTCTGAATTAAGGTTTACATGGAAAACGTGTTAAATCATCTTTATTTAATTCCGCTCAACGTCTGGTGGTGGGGGAGGGTTCTGATTGGACAGGCATATGAACGTATTTACGTCAACCGGAAGAAAACACACATTTCAGCTGCTACTGGCTTTTTTGTCATCTCGATTTGTTGTTACATGTGGGGATGCGTACTGCTGTCCGCCCAAAAAACCCAGTTTGTATGGGCGGGGGGAGCAGTGGTCCAAACCCAGACTCCTGAACCAGCGGGAGCAGCTCCGGTTCAGGTCGGGCCCAAATGAGCCGGAGCGGGGAGTGGTGCTAGGTGCCTGAGAAGAGCTTTCCATGGGGAAGAACCAAGAGCACGGAGGACAGACGCTCAGAACAACATAATGAACCAAACGGGATTCACGCTTCTGTCTGGATGTTTTGCACCACCTCGATACCAGCCAAGGAGACGGAGGACAGAAGCAGCCCACCCACGTCTCGCCCCCGTCTGGACCCAGCACATGGAGGACAGAGCCTATGGATCTGTCTGACCAACCCGTTCGGAGAACGGAAAAAGACGTAGGAGGGGCTAAAGTTCTAGGCCACATGCTGCTGTTTTATGAGTTCATGATGATAACTTGGGATGAGGAGGGCTTGCAGTGTTAACCGGGAACATCGGCACCTTTCACAATTGCAGTTGAAGAAATAAGGGGAAAACAGTGTATTTGTGTATATGATATGGTTATTAGTTAAAAGGCAAAGGCAGACAAAAAATCCGAAATACAATCAGGTTCAATTGACTGAAGCGTCGTGACTCTCTGCCCTCCAGTGGACCATGTCTGGACTTGGCTCTGCGCTGTGACGGCCACCCTGACTGCACTGACCAATCAGATGAGGAGTTCTGTGGACCGGCCACACCCCTGCCCCTCTGCTTGCCAGGAGAGTTCCAATGTGCCAACGGGAAGTGTTTGCAGGCAAGCCAGGTGTGCGACGGGAGACTGGACTGTGGCTTTGCAGATAGCTCCGATGAACAAGGTGACTTATTCTGCTCACAGTTTTGCTGACGTGAGTGTGTAAACCCTGTAAATCCTGAAGAGTTTTTCTGTTGTCAGACTGTGGAGCGGTGTGTGATGAAGGGGAGTTCCTGTGTGCTGGGGGCCGCTGTATCCTCTACATCCACCGCTGTGACGGCCATGACGACTGTGGGGACCTCAGTGATGAGAGGGGGTGTGAAATCCACTAACTGACCATGTCACATTCATTTCACTTCATTTCACTACACATTAGAGACAGACTCAATATTAATGACTAATGTCTACAGATTTAGACATTTAAAAGGCACAAAATCAAGAGCTGGGTGATGTACAGGGTGTCAAATAAAATTGACATTAATTAAATTCCAGTAAATTCTTTTTGAAATAACCTAAAATTTTCACAAATGTATGCATGTATGGAAACAGATTTTATATGTAGAAGATTTTATATGTAATGTTTTATTTTTGTTCTGTTTGCAGGTTGAATCGTTCACTCCCAAAGAGAAGTAATTTTGTGTCTTGGAACCTGCTGCACACTCTCACCAAAGACTGTGTGGCCTTCAGTACAACATTTGGAAAAACTTCACCAGCTGGCAAACAAATTTGGACTTGGTATCAAAAATGTAAAAAGGAAGGCTATTTATGCAGGGCTAAAAGATTACGTGTGTGAGCAGATTCCAAGACACAAAATGACTTCTCTTTGGGAGTGAACAGCTCAACCTGAAAACAGAACAAAAACTAGAAAAGCACTCAGAGAGCGCAGATCTCCGCCAAGGACTACAGTCCCCCTCATATTAATTGTGTTTTCCATAAATATTTGTCTCATATCTTTCAATTTGGAATATGAAAGAGGATCCCATTGTCCATCCCTGAGTCAAATTTCATGGCGTTTGGTCAATAATTAATCGAGATACTGAGAAACAAAATTTTTGGCCCCATTTACCACAATGTTAACAAAAATTTCAAAGTGATCCAGAATCCAGGATTTCTTCCAGATCACCCCCAAAATGAAATCAGTTCTTCCTTTTCACATTTCCAACAAATCCTGAAAATGTCATCAAAATTGGTCCATAACTTTTTGAGTTATGTTGCTAACAGACAAACAAACAAACAAACAAACAGACAAACGCCGGCAAAAATAATCTCCTTGGCGGAGGTAATAAAACATTCAATATAAAATCTTAATAGTTTTGGCCTGCGAAATCATGCATTTTTTGGGTTACCCTGTATTCGCCCACCAACCAGATAAAAGGCAGTTGAAACAGTTGCTGCCCCTTCGCTCCAGCTGCCCACCTGTGTCCTAGTGTGTTGACTTTTCCTTTTGTCTGTGCTGTAGGTGTGTGTGTTCCCCAGGAGAGTTCCAGTGTCCCGGAGACCAGTGTGTCCCAGCAGATCGAGTGTGTGATGGACTTAAGGACTGTCCAATGGGGACGGATGAAGCGGTCTGTCCTAGCAAAGGTCAAAACACTACACACATGATTATTTACATGCCCTTAGCAAACGTCTGAATATTGCATTGTTTTCTGTTTTTGCAGTGACTTGTGCTCCTGAACAGTTTGCCTGCTCTGATGGTTCATGTATCCACTCGAGCCGCCTCTGTGACGGGAGAGCAGACTGTCCCAGTGCAGAGGACGAGAGGCCAAACAACTGTCACACCCTGATCCTGCCCTCAGCCCCACCCACTCCCCCCACAACAGGTGGATATAAGTTTTGTGCTGCACACTGTTTCTTCAGCTCTTCTGTTTTAGCAGTAAGATGACACACTGCTTTGTTAAACATGAGGACTATGTTAAACGTGAGGGCAAATGTAGGACTATGTTAAACATGACTGCTGTTTGTGCCAGTTACGAAAAGTGAGCACCTATTTATGCTTTTGTTACCCTAAAATGTCGTCATTACCAGTCTGCTGTGGGTATGGTGGGTTACACTTCGATTTTATAGTTGTAGTTTCTTGAAGTTTTCCTTGCTAACTAAAAATACGCTTTATTAAGCAACACCTCTCTCGGTCTCTCTGCGCGCAGTGTGCGTTCACCTCTATCCCAACCCCGGTGCGCTGACCAAACGCGCTCCACTGAAACAACAAAACAACATAACAGACCCAACACAATGCAACAATGAATTGTCAATAAAATTAATGCTAAATAATATAAACTAATTATCCAAACAATATATAAAATAATAATCACCCAAATTAATGTTAATAAATGAAATAATATGCATCAAATAAATCAAAGGTTACACTTTGGCACTTGTACATTGCTACTCAAAAAAAAAAAAAAAAGCAACATGGTGGCTGAGTGGTTGCAAGGTTCCTGGATCACCCTGGCCTTTCTGTGTGGAGTTTGCATATTCTCCCCGTATCTGGGTGGGTTTCCTCTGGGCACTCAGGTTTCCATCAACAAGCCAAAAACATAGTTAAAAATGATCCAGCTAAAATCATGGGTCCACTGCTCCTGAAGGATGGGGCAAATTCAGAGGACAACAAAGTACTAAAAACAAAACAAAATACTCGCTACAGTGTGCTGCTGGTCCTCTAGAGGCATGTCTAGCCCCGCCCCCTGCCCAGTCCCAGGTCCTAATCATGCCAGACCCCCTTGGAAGGCCCATACCAGCTTGTATCAGTCCGCTTCAGCCTTCACCAGCCTTAAGGCTTATGGTTAAATATAGTGAACATTTCGGTATGGCATTTACATCATCTTTGTACAAGTGTCACACTCCTTTTTTCCTATTAAGCATGCTGTTAGATGAGATGGTTGTGGAACCAATTGCCTGAGAGTATCCAGACATTTGTTCCTTAATAATCTCTATCATGTATAATTAGATTGAGGGAGACAAGGGAGTTGGTTGGCAGAGAAAACAGTTCTAACTGAATCATGTTCCTCAATCATGTCTGAGAAAATTATGTGAACATATTTCAGTATTTCAGAAGAAATAGTTCTTGTATTTCTGATTAGATTCAGATTTCCTTCCCATATATATGACAGTGGATATATTTATGGTGTTGATCTTCCAGCCTGCAGGCCCTATGAGTTTCCGTGCTCCTCCGGGAGGCAGTGCGTCCCTCAGACGTGGCGCTGTGATGGGGAGACAGACTGTGTGGATGGCAGTGATGAGCAGGGCTGTTCTGCTCTGTGTGGACCCGGCCAAGTGCCATGTGTGAGCGGGGACCAGTGTGTGCCCTACCAGCTCCTGTGTGATGGTACGCCCCACTGCAGGGATGCATCTGATGAGAGCGTGGACAAGTGTGGTACGTCCCCCAGGGTATAGGGAAGGATCAGTGATAGCAATGTAGTTTCACATTTGTGTACACTTCTTCATAAAAAAACTTCAAAACAAATCCTAAACTGGCAAAAAAATACTAATACTCAAATTATCAATGTTTATTTGAATAGTTCTGACTTATCTACTTTCTGTATTTCTACCAGCTTTCAAAATTCCATTGAACAATAATAAAAAACACATTTGTAGTGCCCAAAGTGTACAGGAGTAACTAAATGAATTTCCTGGTAAATGTTGGAGTCTGACAGTGCATGATTATGGCAGGTTCCACTGTGATACCACCGTGTCCAGGCAGCTTCTCCTGTGACAACCGCACCTGTGTCAACATGACACAAGTGTGCAATGGGGTCCCCGACTGTCCCCGCGGAGAAGATGAGCTGGTGTGTGGTGAGTTTTACTTCCAAAATACATGATGACAGAGGTCCTACATTGTAATGCACATAAGACATGGTAATTGTTTTAAAATGTTCACTTATCACTTTCACTTATCACTTATGACATCTTACGTTCTGACTTTTCATTGTGTGACATTAGATAAAACTCCAGAACCATCTGGCCATAACAGAAGTACATCCTGTCCTGAATTCACCTGCTCAGACGGCTCCTGTGTTCCCTTCAACATGGTGAGTTCAATTTCTTACAGTTTGCGTCTATAGAAGCTGTGCATCATATAGTTTATATTGTTGTGTGCGTTACTTTTCAGGTTTGTAATGGGGTGGCAGACTGCCCTGATTCTCCCTCCCCAGCAGCAGATGAGCAGGGCTGTAGACAGTGGGGCCCCTGGGGGCCCTGGAGCTCCTGCAGTGTCACATGTGGCACAGGGTCAATGAGACGACAGCGCTCCTGCTCTCCTGGGGACCCGCTGTACCAGTGCAGGGGTCAGAGTGTCCAAAGACAGCAGTGTTTTAACACCACCTGCCCAGGTACACACTGGTGTGTTTAACATATGCACTCTTTTGTTTTAACATGTTGTAAACTTTCTCCAGTGGATGGAAAGTGGTTGCCGTGGATGACCTGGTCCAACTGTTCCAGTGGGTGTGGAGGAGTACAGGTGCGACACAGAGGCTGTAGCCCTCCTCTCTATGGAGGCAGAGACTGCACTCAGCTCCCCGGGTCAGACAACTCAGCCATGGAGATCTGTAAGTTTAGCTGTACAATATCTGACTCACTGAACATAAACACATATGAACACGCTTTGACTGTGCTCTCATTGGTCTCCACCAGTGCCCTGTCCGGAAGATGGATGTGCCAATGCCAGCTGCCCCTCAGGCCTGGTCAAACACAGCTGTGCCCCCTGCCCCATGTCCTGTGCCCATGTCAACAGTGGGATGTCCTGTGACCCCACTGCACCCTGCTTCTCAGGTCTGTATACGTGTTCTGCTCACGTATACTGATTGAATGATCCTATATGTACAGTATGAGTAAAGTCATTGTATTTCCCTGCGTCTCCTCCTTGTACCCTGCAGGCTGCTGGTGTCCTCCAGGTCTGGTCATGAGCCACACGCAGCAGTGTGTTGGCCCAGACGAGTGTGTGTGTGAGGTGGCTGGGGTGATGTACTGGCCAGGACAGCAGATCAAACAGGACTGTGAGCTGTGTGTGTGTGAGAGAGGGAGAGTCCAGAGGTGCCAGCCCAACCCCGACTGCACCAGTGAGTCACACACATTACCTTTTGAGATTAGCAGTATTGGCAGTACATTTTCTTTAATGTCCTTTGAAAAGAACAAATTAACTAATCTTTCCATAACTTCTTTACACATGTTCGTAAATGCATGACACGTTTACATTATATTAACAGATCATATTTCAGTCCTCACTACAATATAGTCATTTTTAAAGAACACTTAGCGTTCCTGTGAGCCTCTTCACTGTAATGTCCTGTGTGACTATTACCAGGATAAATAAAATAAAATCTGGTTCGTGGTCAGTTTGGATGTTGTTATGACCTGTTGACCCCCTGCGGTGGTGTCCCTCTGCAGTGCACTGTGGTTGGTCGTCCTGGTCTGAGTGGGGAGAGTGTCTGGGGCCCTGTGGGGTCCAGAGTGTCCAGTGGTCCTTCCGCAGCCCCAACAACCCCTCCACGCTGGGGGATGGGAGAGCCTGCAGGGGCATTTATAGAAAAGCACGCAGGTGGGACTACGTGACATTGGTGTTGTGTCTTTTCCATTTGAATTGTAATTGCAGTGAAAAATTACTCTATTCTCAAACCAGGAAGACTTTTGAAAAGATGCGATTACAACTTCCGGCAGTTAAGTCTGACAAAATCTAGGAAAAATGAGAACATGTCCCAGGTTTCTTCATCTCCATGTCTTTGTAGTGTTTTGTTATGTTTGGCTCATCAACAATTCCAACCATACGTCAGTTTTCATCATTTCCCCACTGACACACGACTCCGAGTGCACTGGTACATGTGATTAGAAGAGATGAGGCACCAAATTCCAGATGATTCCAAACAGCACATACGTCTGCAGTCTTCATTTTACCACTGATCACATTTACTTCAGTGGATTTGATCACAGTCGGTTGGTTGAGCCCAGTGTCGGGAACTACACCGGAAGTTTTCATCGCATGTTTCCAAACATCTTCCTGGTTTGTGACGTAAGCGTCAGTAGAGCCTATAGCTTTACATGTACTGTTCCACAATAAGGCATTACATTAATCAGTCTTTCTTTTTTAAAATTACTTGTGTTTTCATTGCTAATGAAATATAATAATTACTGAGTGTTTGTCTCTTGTTTAATGCCATACTGTGCCATAACATCTCCATAGAGACAATCATATAGCAGACCTACTCCTAAAAAGTCACATCGTGCTACTTTAATAGAAATAAATATGGTAAATTGAAAAATGTGTATTGAAATGTAAAAGTAAATTAAAGCCGCGCGTGGCGATGGTGGCCCTCGCCCCGGCGCGCAGTTGCCCCCCAGGCGACCTCCGGGGACTCGCGACCGCCCCGACACGCCACCCTCTCTTCCCGTCATCCGCCCAGGCCGACAGCTCGTCCATTAGACACATTACATAATGCACCTTTAAATATTTTAAGTAGTCATTGCGCCCCTGCTGGCCAACAGTGGAAAATGCACCATGTCCATAACTGACTTGTAATCATGCATAGAATTAAATTCACGAATTTGGTACAAATCCAATAATGTTGACGGGTCATGTCTATGTTAGGGGGCGCTATAGAGTTCACTTTTCATATGTTTTATAGTGTATTATATTCAGGCTGAGATCACACATTATTGATTCAAATTTCAGCACGATCCGATTAAACATGGGCATATAATAATTTTTTTACTATTTTTGGGGGGAGTCTTTGCACCCCTGCTGGCCAACTGTGAAAAATACCTCAGGTCTGCAATAAACTTTTTTGCTTGTAATCATGCATCGAATTTTATTTCCAAATTTGGTGCTAATCCGATAATGTTGACATTTCATGTCTATGCTAGGTGGCGCTATAGAGTTAACTTTTCATATGTTTTATAGTGTATTATATTCAAGCCGTGATCAGGCATTAGTGATTCAAATTTCAGCACGATCGGACTAAGCCTGTGTGTGTAATTATTTTTTAACTATTTTTTAGGGGAGTGTTTGCGCCCCTGCTGGCCAGTGGTGGAAAATGCCCCATGTCCGTAATAGACTTTTTTTGCTTGTAATCATGTGCAGAATTTAATCATCGAATTTGGTCCAAATCCGATAATGACGTTTGATGTCTATGCGAGGGGGCGCTATAGAGTTCACTTTTATTAGATTTCATATTTCATTACATTCGGGCCTGGATCACGCAATTGTGATTTGAATTTGAGCTCTCTAGGCTAATGCCTGTGGCCGTGACAGGCCACCGGAAAAACAGGAAATGAAGGCCTTTTTCGCCGGCGTGCTACGGGCAAACCGTAAGGAGTATCAAAAATCCTTCTGATGATTTCTGTGAGTTCATGTCTCTAGATGTGACATGTCAAATCTGAGCTAATTTGGACCAAACCCTGGGGACTTGAAAAGTTTTGTAGACACCCAAGTCAAAACGGCGGCGAATGTTTGATCCAATATGGCCGACTTCCTGTTCGTCATAGGGTCATGCTCCAATTCATCTTTTGGCTTGTCTCATTGTTCTCTATCACTGTTCCGAATTTCGTTTCTCTGCGACAAACTTTGTTTGTCCCTAGTCCCATAGGGGTCCAATTCTAGGTGGCGCTGTTGAGTCGGGTCACTTTGGTCATTGTCGCGATGCCCATTTTATCAAATTTTTTGCCGGGCCGATCGATCTGAACCCCAGTTTGGGGACTTTTCGTCCATGTTCAGGGGGTCAAAAATGCGATCGTTTGGTCGGAAAGGGGAATAAAGAAACCGACGAACAACAATAGCCCTCGCCAGTTACTACGTTACTGGCTCGGGCCAAATATGTTTTAATATGTACTTCTTGAATTCGTGTGTCATTCATTCGTTTTTTAAAATAAAACCTAAAATAAGAAAATGGAAAAACTACTATTTTCTTGTCTCCAAAACCAAAATGAATGACTTGTTTTTTTCAGTTTTCAACTTTGTGTTTAAATGAATGATGGAAAAAAACTGATAACGGCCGTTTCCTGTTTCCGTGACTTAAACTGTGATGCCGGACTTTTGCGCCGCATACGGACTGAACCAGGACATTTACAACAAGTTTGCCTTCCTGAACATAAAGATAATTGCTAAATTAATTATGCTAAATAATTGCATAATTGCTTTCTTTCATGCATTTATTTATTTACAAAGTTTGCCGGTCAATTAGCTCACCAGTATATAAAAAAAATAAAATCACTACCAGAGAGTCATTTAAAAGCCTTTTTCTTCCAAACCCAGATGCCAGACAGAGGCGTGTCATGAGTGTGAGTACCAGGGTCAGACTCACACTGTGGGCGACCGCTGGAGAGCAGAGCCATGCCAGCTGTGCCAGTGTATGCCCAACCTCAGTGTGCACTGCGCCCCCTACTGCCAGTACGCTGCAACAGGTTGCCCTCAGGTAGATATATGCAGTATACATACAATTAATTATGTTCAAAACTATAGCAACTTGTGACTCAGATGGATACTTACTTTAAAGGGTCAAATTTTAGTTCCTGGAGAAGGTGACAGATGCTGCTACTGCCAAGGTAAAGCTTAATTTTCCTCAGTAGCTGATTTATTTAATGCATTTGTCAAACTTTTTTAACTTCTATTTTGCAGGAGACAATGAGACATTTTTATTCACTGTCGGCCCAAGTGTATCCCCCAAACCGGGAGATACTACACCTCTGGTCCCCACATACCCACTTCCACCAGGAGGTAAGGGATCACTTATATCTTGCTAAACTGTCACATCTCCAATGTACAGTGTTTTTTTTCTTGTGTCCTCAGATGAGTGCTGGTCCCCTCTTGGTGTCCAGTCTCTCCCAGCGTCCAGTTTCAGTGCGTCCTCTCAGCAGACAGGACACCCCCCTGAGGCAGCACGTCTCCACGGCTGGGACTCCCACACTGACCTCCAGGTGAGGACACTGTTTTATCTGCCTGCTCCTTTCTTCACGGTGAAATGGGCTGTAAAAATGTTCTTATAACAATCACCAACACCACTATTGCTGGAGAGAGCAATGTGTATTGCCCAATGACACGACTGTATGTCTGTGGGCAAATACCATTATTCCATGAATCCATTATGCTACACACTTGTTTAATAAGGAATAGTTGCAAATCTAATTTACTGCACTCAATAGAAACTCATGCAGCTTGGACAAGACACATTTCCACAAGATGAGACAAGACATGAGAGTTCATGAGAATAAGACAGGATGAGGTTTGGGCATCTCCAGCCAAGTGTAAACAGCACATATATCACAAGTCTGTTATAGAATCACTGGTCGGACCCAAATATGCAGAGGGAAAAAAAACTTATTTTACTTACAAAAAATAGTCTTGGCGGGGGGATAGATTCCAGGGGAGACAGGACGGGTCCGGGTTGGCTGCAGATGGGAGGTCTGTGGAGATGGAGGCTGACCGGAGGCTTACAGAAACTGGTGGTAACGGGATGAGGCTGGCTCCAAAACGGAAGAACTGGGGAACGAATAAAAGAAAACAGGTAAGAGTCAAAATCTTCTAAAATGCTCAAAAACACAAAAAGCCTGAGTTGTTCACCACTTGATTGACGGAACGATCTGGCACTGGAGAGCAGGTCAGCAGGTCTTTTATTGCCGGAAATGATTAGTTGACGAGGATCAGGAGTGGAGCTCAGCAGGTGAGTGATTGGGGTCCGCCCAGGAAAAACCAAATAGGGTAAGGAGAGAAAGAACAGGGAAGGGAGGGGTAGGAGGGGCAGGATGAAACCCTCACAAAGTCAGCCCTACTTGTGTGCACAGACTTTTTTATCTTGTGAGATCTGGTGCCATAAATTCTTATCCAACACATAGGAACCACATTTTTATATTTACCATATTTTTCAGACTGTAAAAATATGGTAAGTATAATATGGTAAATGTAATATGGTGCGACTTGAAAGTACATACACACACAGACACACACACAAACACACATATGAACAGTTCTTAAGATAATTATAGCATAAACAACGGAAAAGAACAAGTTTACCAAACTCTCCATCTCACTCCAAATCACTAAATCCATTAAATTCTTCTATTTCCGAGCAACTCCACGACCTCTGGAGGTAAACGGAGCGCTGCTTCCTCTTCTGTGTCGCTGTCGTCAGACTCAGCATCAGTTCAAGTTAGAATTATTCCGGCCTTTCTGAATCCCGACAGGATGGTTTTGGTGTCACTGAAGTCCAGGCTTTGTCCATCCATCCAGTGACTTCAGGAAAGTTTCATGGTGCATCCTCCTGGTGTCACAAGTTTCTCTCTCACTCCAAACTTTCTTTCTGAATCTGCTCGATTACCGTTTTCAGCTGCAGATTTCATGACTTGTAGTTTGTAATCTGCAAATGGGGGCATTTGTGTTCAGTCTTCTCAGTCGTCTTTATAAGTTTGTTTAAAAGTTAAATTTTTAGGGGTACAGAAGTAATGGTGCGATTAACTGACATGATACAGACAGAACAGAGGCTCTTTCTGCAGGAGACATGTGCAGTAGAGCCAAGTGACAGTGGTACAGGGGGAACAGGAGCAGCAGATACTGACACACAAGACTAGATTGCCATCTTGTGAAATATAAGTCTTTGATATATAAGTCGCACCTGAGTATAAGTTGCAGGACCACTCAAACCATGAAAAAAGTGTGTCTTATAGTTCCAAAAATATCGTATTACCTCAGTGTTGCCTTTACCTAAACTCTGTCTTTTAGGGCTGGAGTCCAGAGCCAGAAGAATACAGAGACCTGCCCCAGAGGAGTCCAGAGGGCCACAGCAGCAGAACACCAAGCCCCTTCATACAGATCAACCTCCTGCAGCCGTATAACATCACTGGTGAGAACTCAGACGAAGGCTTTAAACACACAACATTAGGCATTTCCTCTCACACTATGTGCTTTTCAGGTGTGCTGACTCAAGGGGGCGCTGTGTATGGCACGTACGTTTCCAGTTTTTATCTACAGTTTAGCCATGATGGCAAGACTTGGAACACTTACAAAGAGCTGGTGACTGATGCCCGACCCAAAGCCAAGGTTTGATACTTTACAAATGTCCTACAAAGCTTTATAAGTATGTGAAAGTCAGCATGGTGCTCTCTAGGTTTTTATTGGTAACCATGACGACCAGGGCGTGGCTGAAACCAGACTGGACAGAATGGTGTCGGCTCAGTATGTCCGCCTGCTGCCTCATGACTTTCAACACGGCATTTACCTTCGACTGGAGATCATGGGCTGTGCTGATGGTCTGGACATATTTAGTTGTAATGTTTTATTTGAACATAAGCCATGGTACTAGCTCTCCTCTCCTCAGGGGCCCGTTGGATCACCACCCCTCAGCCGTACCCCGTCAGCCCTGGAGGTGGGTGCAGGAGGGGGCAGTTCCAGTGTCAGAACGGGCGCTGTGTGGAGGCCGGCCCACAAGGGGTGGTGTGTGATGGGGTCAATGACTGCGGAGATGGGTCTGACGAGAGGCTCTGTGGTGAGACTGCCTCCTTATTTAAAGTGCATGTGACAGACTTTCACTTCACTAAAACATGGTCAAATGAAGAATTAAACATCTTGCCTAATCTTTTTTTTTTAATAGTATTTGTTGTTTATTTTTATTTTGATGCAGATTTTGCAGGGAATTTCATAATTGTTTCCTATAGCAACTTTAATATTAACAAGGGCCAAAGTCTAAATTTGTTGAATGAAGGTTTAATTTGTCAGAAGAATGCGTGTTGATGGCATAGGCATAGGTTTCCATGGGGCCACATGAGAAACAGATAATATTGTGGAGGGCAAAATGCTTAACTGAATCCTGCATAATATGAATTGTATTTCTTTATAAAAAGCAGTAAACCACTAAACCTGTCTAGTGTTTAGACCTTGTTTAGACCTGGTTTAGTTCTGTTTTAGATTTGGTTTAGTACTGGTTTAGGACTGGTTTAATTCTGGTTTAGGCCTGGTTTAGTTCTGGTTTAGAACTGGTTTAGGCCTGGTTTAGTTCTGGTTACCTCCGCCAAGGAGGTTATGTTTTTGCTGGCGTTTGTCTGTTTGTTTGTTTGTTTGTTTGTTTGTCTGTTAGCAACATAACATTGTGGTAAATGGGGCCAAAAATTTTGTTTCTCAGTATCTCGGTTAATTATTGACCAAACCCCATGAAATTTGACTCAGGGATGGACAATGGGATCCTCTTTCATATTCCAAATTGAAAGATACGAGACAAATATTTATGGAAAACACAATTAATATGAGGGGGACTGTAGTCCTTGGCGGAGGTCTGCGCTCTCTGAGTGCTTTTCTAGTTTAGTTCTGGTTTTGTCCTGGTTTAGACCTGGTTTTGTCCTGGCTTAGACCTGGTTTAGACCTGGTTTAGTTCTGAGGTAAAATGATAAAATATATTCATTTTATAATTCCGAAATTGCATAAAAGAGTCAAAAGGCCAAATGTGACTCAGGAGCTGCACAATGCCCAGGTCTGATTTATCTGATGATTTTAGGACACGTGTTTTATTTGAGCTTTGTCTTCAGGCACCGTGCCCTCCACTACCCCCCGCAGTCCCCGCAGATGCCCAGTGGGCCAGTTCTCCTGCCCCCCGGGGATCTGCATTGATGCAAGCAAGCGCTGTGATGCAGTATCCCACTGTCCTGGAGGAGAGGACGAGATGGGCTGTCATCCCCACGACATCACCACACAGTCAGACAGGTCAGGCCCATGTCTTTTACATCTAAACATCTAAAGGTTATTTAGTTTATTTATATACATATTTATAATTTTGAAAGTATTGTAAATGCATTAGATATAAATGGTAGTACTTTCTTTTATATTACCATGTGGTCTTACTGTATATGCGTGTAATCCCTCAATGGTGCAGGTAGGTTCCATAGTGGTACATGGGTGTATAATAGTCTATGTGCTCTTCTACTTGTTCTGAAACAGCTCAAGATCATTCTAAAGCTTCAGGAAAGGTTCATTTCTGTACTGTGAATGTGACTTTTTTTAGCATTGATACCTGCTCAAATGTGTATCTAGTGTCGATACTAGTTTTAGTATCGATAAGTTATCTGATTTTCAATATTTTTGACAACCCTAAAACGCACATGCCAGTTTTGATCTGTTTTATCCCTGTTATTATTTTATTTGTAGTTCTAAGCAAGATTTCCTTTGAGGATGATGGAGCATTTTACTCTTTATGTATATGTTAACAGACCCCACACACAGACCCCTGCTCCACTCAGGACGCCCTCCAAAGCCTCTGTCACCCACCCGGCTGTTACTCCTACTGTAAGCACCCATCAGTACTTTTCACTGTTTCTGCTGTCAAAACTAATGTCTAATGTCTAATGAATCTCAAATCTTTTACTTTCAGCATGGTCCCAAGTACGAGGGTGAGTCCCAACAAACAGGAATACATTTTCATATGCATATGTAGAGGAGCTGCCTATACTGTCTGTCCTTTATATATCTGTCATTCTCCTATAGGTATCTGCTCCTCTCCTCTGGGACTGGAGGATGGGAGGATTCACTATGGTCAGCTGACCTCATCCACATATCGAGAGAACAACCCTGCTGACGCCGGGCGGCTTAACATTGTACCCAACGTGTAAGTCAGCGTTTATCTCTTTTCAATAATTCTCACAAAATGTTTGCAACTGAAGTGAAGCATTCCAGTCCCATTAGTATGCAGGGAATAGTAAGTGCCATAAAAGTAGACACAGACCACTACTAACCACTGCTTAGGTTTATACACATCTCTGATAGAACTAAAACACCTCCTGTCCTCTGCAGAAAGGTGATGGAGCCTGGCTGGAGCCCTCTGCCCACAGACCCTCAGCCCTACTTTCAGGTGGACTTCCTAGAGCCCACCTGGGTGTCTGGAGTAGTGACCCAGGGCAGTGAGCGTATGTGGGGCTACCTCAGCAAGTACCGCCTGGCCTTCTCCCTCCACGGCAAGCACTTCACAGACTATACAGAGAGTGGCAAAGCTGGAAGTCCCCCTAAGGTAAAAAAAAAAACTTAACTTTTTGACCATGTTATAATGCTGCTTCCTCATAAAATGTCAATAAACTGTGGAGTCTATGAACTTTTAACAGATAATATTATGCAAAGCTGTGGCTGATCATACTCTTCCACAGCCACTCCACATACACACAAACATTAAAGCGGTGTGCTTTAATGTGCTTTAAGCTCTCTCCCGTGCGCCCTGGTGTGTAGGTGTTCGAGGTGCGCATGGTGGGCAGGAGCCCTGTGACGCGCTGGCTCGGGCGGCTGCTCAGAGCTCGATACCTCCGCATCATCCCTGTGGAGTTCAGACACACCTTCTACCTGCGAGCGGAGATCCTGGGCTGCACAGGAGGTGACTCATTTCATACACTGAAACATTTTATGTGTGTGCAGATTAAATTGAGTCAATTATCCTGCTGTATGTATCCAAAAACATGACAAACATTCACTGATGTTTCTATAATCCTGCTGTTCTTCCAGATGAGATGGTGACCCCTAGCAGTTGGACCAGCACTCCCTCTGGTGGTGGAGTAACAGTACAGCGCTGTAGGAGAGGGCAGTTTGCTTGCAGGTACAGTGAGGACTGTGTCTCTGTGTCTGTGCTGTGTGATGGTAAACCGGACTGCAAGGATCACTCAGATGAGATCAGCTGTGGTAAGGCCCCACCCTCTTCACGGTAATAGTGTAATAGTAATGGTAAAGGTTTGGAGAGAAAATACATGCTCTGTGTGCTTCAGGTACAAGCCCGACCCGGGGCTTCCCTGGTCTGCAGAACCACACCAGCCCCACAGGGCGTCCCTCTGAGCGGGGAGACAACAGCACTGGAGCACCAGGCCTTCACACCACCAGGTCTCATGGAAGACAGCCAGGGTTCCAGTCTACCACTCCCAGCACAGGTTCATGCTTACTCAGCACCATATTTCCTTAAGACATGTTCAGTTTACTCCCAACTTAACATTTACTTTAAAATATAGGTTGGTGGACCACCACAGGTCAGCCTGGTCTAGATCTCAGCACCTCCAGTCACTCTGGAAAACCAGGGCTCCATAGCACCAGAGGTGAGGATGAACCAGATCAAAGATTGTACTGAAGACACTGTTAAATACTGCACTTTAGACTGGAATGCTTGAGTTTCACAGAGAAAATATTTTGTGTTGATGTTGTTTTTTGTTGCTGTTTCCAGCCCCATGGATGAGTAGCACTCCTGATGGGGGCCTGCCCAGAGTGGTGTGTGTGGAGGGCCAGTTTGCCTGCAGGACCTTTGGCTGTGTGGACTCTTCACAGGTGTGTGACGGCAGACAGGACTGCATGGATGGGTCTGACGAAAGACACTGTGGTATGTATCTATCTGTGTAGGTGAAGGCTCAGTGTGAACGGCTGAGACTTTTAACAGCACTATATAGGCCATCTACTGATATGTTATAAGTTCTTTTGACCACAGGAACCACAGCCCGTCCTACTGTGACCCCCAGAGTGCCCAGTCCATGCTCACCAAAGCAGTTCTCATGTGGTAGTGGGGAGTGTGTGCACCTGGACCGCAGGTGTGACCTGCACCAGGACTGTTTGGATGGCTCTGATGAGAAGGACTGTGGTAAGCTCCAGAACTCTGCTGCTCTAAAGTCAGGAGGTGGATAGCCTTTACATTGACCCTTTCGTGTTGTCTCCTGCAGTGGACTGCATCATGTCTCCGTGGACCTCCTGGAGCCAGTGCAGTGTGTCCTGTGGCCTGGGCTCTCTGTTCAGGCAGAGGGACATCCTGAGGGAGGCCCTGCCTGGAGGAGCCTGCGGGGGAGCACAATTTGACAGTCGTGCCTGCTTCCCCCGGGCCTGCCCAGGTCTGCCCCCTGATCTATACCCACAGCTCACGTTCTCTTGCTTACTGTACTGACATGTTGTGTGTTTGTAGTGGATGGTCAGTGGTCAGCCTGGACACACTGGTCAGACTGTAATGTGGAGTGTGGAGGGGGGCTCACACACAGGAACAGGAGCTGCTCTCCTCCAAAGAACGGAGGCCACGACTGTGAAGGCATGAGCCAACAGAGCCAGAGCTGCAACAACCAGCCCTGCACCAAGGACGTGAGCACACAGACGGGTGAGGCTGCATGTAGTACAAGAGCACTGTTTTCTTCTGTCTGTATCACACTGCTCCTTCAAAGTGTGTTTGTCCCTATGACTGTGTGCGTGTTCAGGCTGTGTGAATGGCATGGTGCTAGTGACAGAGGCAGACTGCCAGAGGGGAAAGGTGAAGCCCTGTCCGCCCACATGCTCTCACCTGGGCCAGGGCAGCAACTGCACCAGTGCATGTGTGCCAGGTACAGGCTGTCTGTGTTTTTAGAGAAATCTGAACACAATTCTTCATTTTTGCACATGTGGAAAAGAGCCGTAACCTGATGTATGTGTGATGAATATGTGCAGGGTGCCGCTGTCCCCATGGCCAGTACCTCCTGGATGGTCGATGTGTGGCCCCGGCTCAGTGTGGCTGTGTGTGGGGTAACCACAGTCTGCATGAAGGACAGGTGCTCAGGAGGGACCCCTGCACTACATGGTGACACACAAGCATCAGTACACCACAACTATATTCATTTTTGAATATTTGTCTTATGTAACTGACATAACACCTCTTTCATTTTAGTTTGTGCAGAGATGGACGGGTCACCTGTAACTCCAGCAGCTGTGTCCAGAGCTGTAATTGGTCAGTCTGGTCGTCATGGACACCGTGTACTGTGACCTGTGGACTGGGGCTACAGCAGCGCTACAGGTAAGTGTGGACAAATTCAATATTCAGATATATTCAGATATATTCAGATATATTGCTGGAATCTGAACTTTTACTTTACACAAATGATAACACAAAATGACCTACATTTGATAAGATGTAGGGCACTGTATATCTCCATTCCTCCTGCACATGGAACTTGCTGGGCTGTGGCTGCTTCTTTCTCCCAGTAGTATAACCCTGATGCATGGCCCTCTATGTGTGAGGAGTGTAAAGGATGATCCTGTAATGGGAGTAACTCTGAGCTCTTCCTATATCCTCAGGTCTGCGGTGGTCCCTACAGGAGCCCTCCATCTCCAACCCTGCCCTGGAGACTCTACCCAGGCCCGCAGCTGCTTCACTCCCTGTGTTGACGGTAGGCTGCAGCTCTCCAACTTAGCACCAACTCCTCAGTGTGGAAAAATATAACATTCACCTGCTGTTATATTTGCTATTATTGTTTTATTCTTATACAAAAATATCCTTATTCTTACTCTTAACTTCAGAATACTGTCATTTTAGGTAAAATCAGGTCATTGCTTCAATAAGTTCTGAAGTAAGTTTTCAGGTCAAGGCGCCTCTTCAATCCTGGGCCATCTGCTGGTTTGGAGATGAATTTATACTTGACCTGACCTAAAAACCTTGTTAGGTTGACTTCTTTTGGAGTCTTTAACTGTAGAAAAAGCCTGAATGACTGAGGGATTACAGTTTTCGTAGGCTATTCATAGTCTAAACATTTTTTGACCCACGTTAAATAGGGGATATTACACGAAATGGACTTTTTGGAGCTGCCTTCCATGTTATGACGTTTCCCTGTGAAAAACATGTCTGAAGAGGTTTTAAATGTCACCTACTATTCAAATCCTCCTTACGGTTAGCAGTACAACCCGACTATTCAGTGATCCAATGCATTTGGTACAAGACTCTGCTCACAAGCCCATGTGACCCACAAACCTGATGCAATGTGCAGTAGTTTCATTAGTGGAATGCACATTGGTAAATGGTCACATTTTTCCACCTTCAAGGCACTCAAAGCGCTTTACAACAAGGAACCACTCACCCATTCACACACACCAGTGTACACAGACACTGTGGGTTAAGTGTCTTGCCCAAGGACACAACAGCAGCATTCATCTGTGGGAGCTGGAATCACACCAGCCAACCTGTGGGTCAGTGGATCTGACCACTCAACCTGTGATGTTTATGTAGAGAGCTGGATTCGAAACCGCCAACCTTCAGATCAGTGGGCGAATGCTCTACCAACTGAGCTACTGCCCATTGAGTTTTTTCAGCAAGTATTACAGTTTCAGAACAGTAAAAGGTAACACAATGATCTAAATTTGTTAGGTGTTAGCAATTACTACCTCAAAGAAGTAAAATACCCCCTTTTTAAGGTGAATGCATGGAGTAAGAAAGCTTGCAGAAATATTTGTGTGCATAGGATAGAAATCCACACATATTTGGGAAATCCGTGCAGTCCTGGTTCAGTCCTGGTTTAGTACTGGTTTAGTCCTCCTGGTTCAGTCCTGGTTCAATCCATGTGCGGCCCAAAAGTCCAGCATCTTGACTGATGTTTCTTCTGCTCAATAAATAATGTCTATGAAGTGATGACGTATTTTTGACAGTCGAGTCGCGTCTGAATTTGTATTCGTACTGAAGAAAGTGTAATTGTAAATTTTCATTTAATGATTGTAATTATTGATGTCATAACTTTTCAATTTGTATTCTGCTGGATAAAATACATTCAACACATTTTATGTATGACTGGACTCATTCGAGAGTTTACGGATATTTATTTTAGGCTCAACTACAGACAAATATGCACGGATTTCTGTCCTATACACACAAATATTTCTGAAGGTCTTCTCACTCCATATTTCTCACTTCATATAAATGGTTTTAACATAACCATGAAACATTTATTTACTCTTCTAATTACACCTGTCGCTCTGAGCACAGGTGTCTCTGATGGAGAGTGGAGTAAGTGGACATCCTGGTCAGAGTGCAGTAAGACCTGCTTCAGCCACGTGGACGATGTGGGGGTCAGACGGAGGTTCCGCAACTGTAACCACACGACCGGCCCTCACAAGCTCACCCAGAGCTCCTGTGAGGGGGACTCAGAGGAACAGGAGCCCTGCAATACTCTCCGCTGCCCAGGTACAAGTCACACAACTGAAATTTACTTTGCTCGTGCTGCCCTCTGCTTGTATCGATGGCTGTCTTGTATTTATGAAGGTAACCTCTCCACAGACCTGACCTGTAACATGGCCAGACTCCATAGCATGTCCTCTTGTTCGATTAGTTGACTAAAAAGGAGATGTCAACATACCAGGCAAAGCAGATGGCCTAATGATTGTTTTTTATATGATTGTAGTAAACGGTGGCTGGTCTGCGTGGTCGCCCTGGTCCCATTGCTCATCAGACTGTGACTCTGGAGTCCAAACCAGAGACAGGTTGTGTAACTCTCCTCCTGCTCAGTACGGAGGAGAGAGCTGCCCCGGCCCTCACATCCAGACCAGAGACTGCAACGCCCATCCCTGCTCAGGTACTGCTCACAGCACATCCACGCTGAACACTAGATCGTATGCTCCGGAGGGACGTCTGCTGTGACTGGTCATTTGGTCACGATTAGGGTTTGGTTAAGTTTAAGAACACTGAACATTTCTACCCGAAGAGCTGCTCCTGCAACATACTGTATCTGTGGGGTCAAACTAATTTTGTTTAACTACACTAAGTACAGTCACTTTAACATGAAAAAATAACTAAACAAAAAACATCAAATTTGTCACCTACTAGCTGGGGAGGAAAGTAACTAATAATAATAAATACTCACTGAGTAGATCTTTTGAGTAATTGTACTTTTTTGAGTATATTAATTCTAACCATGTAAATCAAATGAGCACTGAGTACAGCACAAGTGCCAGTTTTCCTAATCGTCAGCTGTCTAACCTGTCTGCTAAATCAAACCAAATCAAAATCAATCAATCAAAATAAATAAATAAAAAATAATAATCGCTTGCTGTGTATAGACGGAGCTCTCAGAAGACGTAGATTTTGGTTTATTATTTGGTTACATTACTGAATTGAGCTTTGAACTGCTCAATTTATATAAAATCTGTTAAAAAGTAACTAGGACTTTGAGTAGTATGTTTCATGTCTGCTTTTGTGTTCCATTTTGGAAGCACATTTGTCAGCCATGTAACTGTACTTTCAAAGCTTGTACTAACTTGGTGCACTTCAAAAAACAATATAAAAATCAAATCTTACAGAAATATCTAGAAGACCAGATCCACTGTCTTCACATGTTAAACCATGACTATTACCTGAACACAGGCTTTTCTTTAACATTTTCCTTAACATTACCTATATTTATTTTTGATATGATCGTAAATGATACATTCTGTGCCTTCTTTATCATTATTATTAGTTTGTGCAACCATAAACCGAAAAAAAATAAATAAATAAATAAAAATGGCATCTTTAAAAAAATGAAGATAAAAACTACGAAAAAAAGTGTATGTCTGTTTGAGGGGTTAGTGTGTGGAACAACCTGAGTGAAGAGTTTAAAAAAAAGTCTAACACTGTAGAAGCCTTAAAAAGAGTATACACTGTTAAGTTTTGAAAGATATAGAGCTCTGGAATGAATGAATTATGCATTAAAATTTGTTTGTTTTAATTTATATTTTGTCTCTTATATATACAGTAATTCAGAAAGAAGTCAATAAAATTGTAAATGTAAACTTGCTGTTCATACGCTGCTTTTCTTTCTTTGGATTCTCTCATTGTTTAATAGGGTTTGGCATTATTAGTACTTTTTACTTAAGCTTAAACCCTTTTGGTCATGATTAGTGGGGTTGCAGTCTATATTTTGTTTTGTTTTGTAGTGCCGCAAAATGACCAAATAGATAATTACTACTACTGCCTACTAACATTTCCTCACCCTACACCATAAAATAAATTGTAAAACAACTTATAAGTAACTGAGAACCACACAACGTTCCATACAAACATGTGGCCAGAGTACATTATTGTTCCTGTCCCTCAGGTGTGTGTCCGAGGGGCATGATGTACCTAACCAAAGCAGAGTGTGAGGCTCAGGGCGGAGCATGTCCACGCGTCTGTCTGGACATGACTTCTGCTGAGGTGGAGTGCGCTACCACCTGTTACGACGGCTGCTACTGTGCCCAGGGCTTCTACCTCTACAATGGAACCTGTTTGCCTCTAGCCCGCTGCCCGTGTTACCACCAGGGGGAGCTCTTGCACGCTGGAGCTTCACTTCCATATGACGCTTGTAACAACTGGTAATGTCATTAAAGAGCCCATTTTATAATCACTGTTATACTGTTTCCACATTAAAAACAAACCTAGAGTTGTATTTTGTTGTTTAACACACAAACCGTGCACATTTAGGCTGAGTTCTTCTCTCACACAGCCTTTTGATGTCATGTGTTAAGTGCTCCACTGTGTTTTTAAATTCCATTCATCTTCAATAGAATCATTTGGGTGATTTCAGCCCTGGAATTGCCAGTCTCTAGTGAACTAAAGATTAAGGTAGCTGTTAACATGAAAACTACCACTACATGACATTGGAACAGTATGTATATATACACACACACACACACACAGTATATATAGTGTGTGTATATTAGGGCTGCTCGATTATGGGAAAACATCATTATTGCGATCATTTTGGTTAATAGTGACATCACAATTATTCAAATGATTTTTTTTTTCACATTTACTCAGCATTTCTATCTCTCTCAAAAACAAAACAAAACACTTTGTTATTGATAATTTAGGCAAAAGTTTCAAATTGAAAATAAATATAGGCTACAAATCTAAACCTTAGAGCATTTTGCAATGTATAAAACATAAAGTGAATAAAATAAACTTGAACATGAAATAAGGCAGAAAAACATAAACTATATATCCAGTTGTTCTACAATTTCTATATTTAAAAAAATAAAAGAAATATACTTATTTATATAAAAAATATCCCCAAATAAACTTTGTTAAGCTTTATCGTTTCAATTTGATTATATGAGTTTGGAGATTGTTTGACACACAAATTGAAATTGGGATGAAAATTTGATGAATTGCACAGCCTTATTTTATGTATTATAAAGGTTTATTCAAACATGTGTGAATGAAACAAAACACAACTCCAGGTCTGTTTCTGATGAAGTAATAGCATTATAACATGGATTATAACATGGCTTAATGCTCATAAGAATCTATTTTGTGTAATATAGGATTTTGGCTAGTTATTTGCATTATTAAAAAAATAAAATAAAATAATTAAATGTCCACACTTTGTTTCCCTGTTGCTTCATTCAGCACATGCACAAATGGAGAAATGCAGTGTGGAACAGCCCAATGCCCTGGTACGTGATGTTGTTGTTATTGTTCTACATAGTTATAATAGTGAGGACTGGCTGTTGTCTGGTGTAAATAAGCCCACATGCTGACACGTGTTGCTCTTGCCAGTGGACTGTGGCTGGAGCAGTTGGACTCAGTGGAGCAGCTGCAGTCGCTCCTGTGACGTGGGAGTGAGGAGGCGCTATCGCTCCGGGACCAACCCTCCGCCAGCGTATGGAGGTCGCCCATGTCAGGGACAGAGAGTGGCTATCGACACCTGCAGCATAGAGCCCTGCTTTGGTGAGCACTGTACCATTCTCTGGGCTTTCCTCCTCATGTTGGCCCACAATCACTCATTTACATCCAACTCACACCATTATCCTTATACAGTCCCTGACAAAAGTCTTGTCGCTTATCCATTTTGTAGAAACAAAAGCTTATAACTTGACTTTAAAGCTAAAACCCTCCCAAATTATGCTCAATATACTAAAATAAATTTGCTTCACTGAAAAAAGATTGATCATTTAATGAACACAGAAAGGTCAGATTTTGGCAAGACAAAAGTTTTGTCGCCTATAGAAAATTTAACAAATAATTTACTTCATATACAAAAATATGTTGCATAACGTCAGTGAATGAAGTAGTGGTGCTGTGAGATCCATATTTAATATCTTGTATGACTTCCATGAGCTTCAAGGACTACATCCATGCGGTTTCACAATGATTCATACAAGTTGTTGATGAAGTCATCAGCAATAGCAAAGAAAGCGTCTTACATGCCTCCCAGAGTTCATCAAGATTCTTTGGTTTTGCCTTCCATGCTTCCTCTTTCATTCTACCCCAGACATGCTCAATGATGTTCATGTCTGGTGACTGGGCTGGTCAGTCCTGGAGCACCTTGATCTTCTTCGCCTTGAGAAACTCTGATGTAGAGATAGAAGTATGCGATGGAGCACCATCCTGCTGCAAAATCTGACCCTTTTATGGTTGGGAATGTAAGAGGAGCTAATACTTCTTGATATTTTAGGTTATTGATATTTGCCTTCCACCCTGCAAATGTCTCGCACACCCCCATAATGGATGTAACCCCAGGCCATGATTTTTCCGCCACCAAACTTAACTGTTTTCTGGGTGAATCTTGGATCCATGCGGCTCCAGTAGGTCTCCTGCAATATTTGTGGCAGCTGTGATGCAATTCAACTGAGGATTCATCTGAGAAATCCACCTTCTGCCACTTTTCCAGTGTCCATCCTTTTAGCAGGCTGTGGGCCTTGGCAAATGCCACAGTTTTTTAATTGCCTTTTGTTTAGTGCTGGTTTCTGTGCACTGATTCGACCATGGAGGCCATTTCGAGACAGAATTCTACAAACTGTTGTGGTTGACACAGGGACTTGAGGTGACCAGGCCTGGTGGAGTCTGCTGCAGTGGAAAAGGGGCCTTGGATTTTCGAATCAACAAACTGTCCTCCTGAGCAGTTGTCTTGCGGCGTCTGCCGGACCTGGGCTTGTCAAAAACGTCTCCAGTCATTTCAGATCTTTTTCTTATTCTTTGTACTTGACACTGAGACACATTGAAGGTGTCACCACCTCAGCAGTGGATCTGGTCTTCAGCCTCTTGATAATTAACGCTTTGGTCTCAGGGTGGATCTTAGGCATGTTGTCAGAGGTCAAGTTGCAGTTGATGTGAAGGTCTGGTGTGCTGGGGTTCTTTTTATACACACCCACTAACTGATTGATCAGTAACTGATCATAGGTGAGGCTGTAATCTAGGATTGGGTGCATCATATGACAAGGCGACAAGACTTTTGTCTTGTCAAAATCTGACCTTTCTGTGTTCATTAAATGATCAATCTTTTTTCAGTGAACTAATTTTTTTTTAGTATATTGAGCATCATTTGGGAGGGTTTTAGCCTTCATATGAGACATTTCTAAAACCAATCGATTAATTTAAAGTCCAGTTATAAGCTTTTGTTTCTACAAAATGGATAAGCAACAAGACTTTTGTCAGGGACTGTATCTAAGTACCTTATAACAATAACATACATTTTCTGCTACCTGGAATGCTACTATTTAATATGAATCATACTAAATTAACTTTGTTTCTTTAAAGGTCCTAATTTATACAAAATGGATTCTTGAGAGCTTTAAGCCATGCTAGAACATTGTTACCTCCTCAAAAACAGTCCTGGAGTTGTGTTTGTTTCATTTATATGTTTGAGTAACTGTAACCCTAACCCTAACTGTCTACATCATGTAAAGATCAAAATGCTCTGTTCCACCTTGTGATGTCATGTAGTGGTAGTTTTCAAGCACCTTTTACCTTTTGTTCAGAAGAGACTGGAATTTCCAGGGCTGAAATCATCCAAATGATTCTAGTGAAGGCATATGGAGTTTATTAACACAGTGGAGCACTTCCTGTATTACCACATGACATCACAAGGTGTAACAGAGTGTTTTGTGGTGGGTTTGTGTGTTAAACATGTGTGAATGCAACAAAACACAACTCCAGGTCTGTTTGTGATGAGGAAACTTCATTATAACAGAGATCTAAAAATCACATAAACAGGCTCTTTAAAACGAAATCTTCCGTAGGTCTGAAGGAGCCATGGAGTGCGTGGTCACAGTGCTCGGTCACATGTGGAGGGGGGTACAGGAGCAGGACCCGGGGGCCCATCCGTACTCACGGCACCGCCCAGCAGTTCAGTGCCTGTAACCTGCAGCCCTGTGGTAATACACCAGTGCATTCAGATCACATCATTCTATTGGCTAATGTTGTTTTGTTAAAATGCAGATTTCTGTTCTTATATAGCACATTTTTGGTCTTGTCAATAATAGAAATAAATATACCTTTTCTATATTTCATGGTGATGTGCAGTATTTATCCCCATCTGAGAGTGACATCATCACATTCTAGACTCTAAAAACCACTTAACTGTGATATAATAGTAGAATAAATATTGAATGTCTGTAGCTGAGAGTGACATTGCTGTTTCAGGTGAAGACCGAGCCTGTCCCCCTGAGCAGGAGTGGAAGCAGTGTGTGAGTGGACCTGTGTCTTGCACTGACCTGCTCATGGGCCTGAGCCGCAACTGCACCCCGGGCTGCCAGTGTCCTCCTGGGACTGTCCAGCAGGTGGGGACATGTTTGTGCCCGTGTATGATTTATACTTCATTTACAATAACAAGTGCAGTCTCATAGACATTCATAGACACGAGCCTCTTTCTACACGAATGTCTCTTCAAATACAGATGAATGATGAGGTTAATCCCCATGTTAAAGTTTATTAAATAGTTATTTCATTATAATTATGTCACGTCTCTGCTCACCTCACTGTCACACATGAAATAGGAGGTTTTGTGTCACTAGATGTTTACCAAAACCACACAAGTTCAGAAATCTCAACTGAAGCTTGGTTAGTCATCAGCTCAGATGTCAGTTTCATGCTAACTATTGTAACACCTACAGGATCTACAGGTGGCTTTAATAACAAAGTAAGAAAGTCAGTGTGTGGGTCTAACAGCCATACAGCAGCTTTTATTAAAGGTTAAACAAAATATTAAAGTTGCTTGGTATGGGAGAGGTGGAGGTTTCCCTGCAGGGGGGAGCCTCCACCCTAAAGCTGGAAGCTCCCCACATGCTACAAGTGAAAAACAAACAAGATTAATGCAAAGAAAACTGTTTGCACAACTGAAAACACCCAGTTACAAGTGCCACCACCACCAATAAGTATAAATAAGGTGTGAAGTCTAATGTGAGTCCTCTCCACACCAGCGATCTACAGTTTACACCCACTGCAGAGCTACTATGTATAGGCAAAAGTATAATTCAAACTAAAAACTCAGTAAATACAGTGCATTTTTTATAAAAAAAATATAGGATAAAGGTTAAACGCATACTTCCACAATCAGGACTGTTAGGACCCTTAAAAATTATATTTACAAAAAGTACAAATTAGTCTTTTAACAACCAGATTATAATATACAAACAGGTTTATTTGGCTCACCAGAAATAACCATGTGTTAGGCCTGCTCAGGAAGAAATGAGCTGGTGCACCTCTGACCTTTCTGATCAGATGCCTTGCCACATTATTATCCAAAATAAAACACGAAAATGTTTACACACACATGTGCTGTTTCTTTACAAATAAACACCATAAGGAAAAAACACTAAAGAATATCTTTTAACAAGGCTTTGACTTCACCCAAGGGTTAGTGAGGGTTAGTAATAATAATAGTAATACATTTTATTTATATTGCACTTGCATCTCAAAGTGCTACAGGTAAAAACAGTGAATAAAAGTGCATCAGCATGAAAGTGCATCAAGTTAAAACTATTACAGTGCACAACGTAATATAGTACCAGCTCACACCCATAATTTGTGATTTTTGCGGACTAATGCTGACGGCTATTGAAAAAAAATACAGGCTTCGGTGTTCCAAAATAGTCCTGGACTAGACGAGTTCCTAAGTAGGTGACAGCATTAGCATTGAACACTGCATTTACTAATTCTTTGTCTATGCAATCATATAGAATTTCTGTCTGTAATTTTTAAAGCATTTTGAAATTGAAAAAAAAAATAAATAAATAAAAATAAATAAATAAAAATAAACTTTTCTGTCTGACAGGATGCGGCTGAGTGTGTGCTGAAGTCTGAGTGCCGCTGTGATGTGAATGGGCATCAGTATTACCCTGGAGACTCTGTTCCTGTGGACTGCAACAACTGGTGAGTGGAAAACAAAGCACATACTAATAAACTGTATCTGTGTGTCCTCATGTGTGACTGTCCCTCCTCCTTTCAGCACATGTGAAGGTGGGAGGCTGCTCAACTGCACGCAGCTCGACTGTGATGGTAGGTAACACAACTCTAGTGTGTGGAGGACTAAGTGATGCTTGTGTAGTGATGTGTGTGTTGCTATGTAGCTGATGGAGAGTGGTCTCAGTGGACTCCGTGGGGCCAGTGCTCTGTGTCGTGTGGAGCAGGGCTGCAGTCTCGTTATCGCTTCTGCTCCAGCCCTCTGCGCTCTGGTGCAGCTCCTCCCTGTGCAGGCCCCCACCGAGAAGACCAAGTCTGTGTCACGCCCCCCTGTGATCGTGAGTACAGTGTATTTATTATGTAACAACAAAATCCAGAGTGTCACAACCCCTTATATCTAACAACAGATAGCTATGTAGTTTTGAGATAATAAAACAGGTAATATAGTACTTTGTGTTTTTATATCTACTATTACTATTACTACCACTACTGTGACGTTGCTTGTGTGTCCAGGTGACGGAGGGTGGGGCCAGTGGAGTAACTGGACAGAGTGCTCTAAGTCATGTGGAGGAGGAGTGAGGAGCAGGAGACGAGAGTGTGACAGTCCCACACCAGAAGGAGAGGGCAACTACTGTGAGGGGCTGGGCACAGAGGTGGCAGCCTGCAGCACTCTGCACTGCCCAGGTACATTTTCCTGCAGCTCTGGCACAGCAGATCAGTTGGCTGATCTATCAGTTTGATATTTGTGCTTTTTAGTGTTCAATTATTGGTCTTAAATCACAGAGGATGATGTTTTAATGATGTTTTGTTTGGCCCAACAATTGTTGTAATATGCATAAAGCTTTATGTGAACAAAGAAGGTAAAACACGTCCATGCATTAGTTTGTACTAAATTCTAATAAGATAATTTAGCAAAATTTACCAAAATATATTGGCCCAAAAATATAGGCCAAGCTTTTCGGCCGTTGGTTTCTCTGGATTGACACACATGAAAAAAATATTGGTAAATGTTTTACACCAAGTACTAACTCATTATGTTATGAAATTTACACCAGTTCAAGACTCTGTGTGAACCCAGCCTGATCTAGACCTGAAAGTGGGCTTAGACTTGTTCTAAATGACCAACTATGGGGTTACTTTGTTCTCATTCATATTCACAAATGCACAGACGGTGGTGATCTACAGATAGTCATTGGTTTGTACTTGTGTTTTGATATCCACAAATGCAAATTTATTATTTGTAACTTGTATTTTGGTCTTTACAAATAGATGTGTATTTGTAAATATTTCTTTTTCATTTGCAAAAAAAATAAATAAAAATGCATTCGTAAAACTGAAAATTCAGTTTGTAAAACATTATTCGCATTTGTGGATCAACAAATTCACAGATTTCCTCTATGATCTATTTTTGAGATTTTATTTGAGAAATCCACAAACACAGACAGACGCACTAACAGCTGATTCACATACACAGGCGTCCACTAGAGGGCAGTGTTGATAAAGGCGTTAAATTAGCAAGCGCCTATGAGGTATGCTAACACACGTAATCAATAATGAACTGGCCTTGTAGATAAATCATTCATGTTATATGTGTATGTCTGTGTGGGATGAGACAGGTATGTAACATTAATGAATTGTCCACAAGACCAATTCCTTATTGATTAATTATGTGTTGTTATGAAATTATTACATGTGTTAGCATAGCTTAAATGATTGTTGACAGATTTCAACACAGAGACAACTGAAATTAAAGAATAAAAGTACTAGAAGAATTTTAATGGAAAATATTCTTAATTTGTAAATATTCAAAATCAATGACCATTTCATTATCTTTATATATTTTTGTGTGTAAAAAAAATCTCCACTATAGTACCATTATAGGCAATATATTGATAAAAAAAATAAAATAATAAAACATACAGCTGCTGACTAATGAGCTCCTCTAGTGCTCTGCTGTACTTCAGCCTGGTTGCTCTAACAGTATTCTCCTCTGTGCAGTGGCCCCGTGTTCTGAGGTCCCAGGTACAGTGTTCAGCAGCTGTGGACCATCATGCCCGCGCTCCTGTGATGACCTGACTGTAAGTATCACACTCAGATGTTTTCATGTTTAAACGTGATGACCGTACATAACCCCGTCTCCTCTGTCAGCATTGTGACTGGCGCTGTGAGCCAAGCTGTTACTGCACTGAGGGAAAGCTGCTGTCTGCCAATGGGACGTCCTGCGTGGAGAGGGACGAGTGCCCCTGTCTGGACCTGAGCAGCGGACAGCGCCTGGAGCCTGGAGAGAGCGTCACTGCTCCTGATGGCTGCAACAACTGGTAAGAAATGTTTTCACCAACACAATACAGCATGTCCGTATAGTAAATGAATAATAGACAAATACTTCTGTATTCATTTCAGCACATGTGAAGAAGGAAGGTTCAACTGCACCAGAGATCCCTGTCCAGGTATTTCAAAACAGATCATGATAAATACATACATAGAAAGATATTTTATTGATCCCAAAGGAAATTCTAACATTTGTCAATGCTCTGAGCTACTTCTGTTTTAATCATGTTATAATTCTTGCTCTAAAAGATATGTGGAGCAGTATTTCTTCATTCATGAACCTCTTTTCCTTCTGAACAAAATGATTTCTGTGGACTTGCAAATTAAATTAGGAGTTAAATAGTTATGCTGCTTATAAACACTGGCCATGTTTCCATGCACACAAGAAATCGGATCAGGATCTGATTTCTGGAGTTATCAGTGTTATTGAAATGTTATATTGTTACATCTAATACAAGTAATCTGATTTTTTTCTGATTTTTCACACCTGTACAGGTTTTGAGAAGGACAATGATAAAAGAAGGGCAAATTAATTTAGCCAAAAGAAAAATGAAGGACAAAATGTTAAAAATTTAAATTCATTGTAAATCACAGCTACTCAAAAGATCTATTGATTAACTGAGGCACGTCACAATGCAAACACACAGCAAAAATCAGATCATATTATTCACTTGTTTGACTCTAATAGTTGTGTAATTACTAAACATGTAAATATAGCCACTGTTTCCAGTCGAGGCCTAACCTAAGCACAAGAATGGAAAATGGAAAGCATTTTTTCAGTTAATTTAAGTTTCAAAATGTGAAATACCAAATGAAGGCCCAAAATAGTGGTTAATTATAAAACCAAATACGGCACAGTTAGTCTTCCTTAAAATGTCTCACATCTTGTCTATCAGTGGCTGGCGGCTGGTGTGAGTGGTCAGACTGGACGCCCTGCTCCAGGACATGTGGGGCAGAGTCAGTCTCCCGCTACAGGAGCTGTGGATGTCCCGAGCCCAAAGAGGGAGGGGCTACCTGTCCTGGGGAGCAGGAAGTGCACAACGGGGTGGGAGTCCAGATCCAGAGACAGCCCTGTCCTGTCATCAGCTTCTGTCCTGGTGAGGCGGATATTTTAGTCAGGACACTGATCAGGCATATACAGTATGTGCTCTCTGAGTGACGATGCAATAACAGAATATATACATGAGTTAACATGTGGGACACTGCACATGAATCAAGGATGTTTTAGATATAAATTAGAGTAAATACATTTCTTTGTACATTACTTACAGAAGTAGAACCACAACACTCATTTTACACTTTCTTGAATTCAGTGTACCACATGTTGGCAGTTCTACCCAAGCTGCCACAGATAAATGCTATCGTTGTGTCCTTGGACAAGACACATGACCCCCTCAACCCTGGTGTCTGTGTACATTGATGTATGAATGTGTGTGTGGATGCGTGATGTAAAAAGGAGTTGATGTAAACTGCTTAGAGTGTTAGTCCCAATAAAAACTCCAGGTAAAGTTCAGGCAGATTTCTTCCGTAACAACCATGTTCACGTCCACGCCCGACCAACCACCACCCCCCTCGCTTCCCCCATACATGCAAGTAGCAAGTGCCCAAGGGGTTATAGGGCCCCCTAGCTGTAAAGCAGGGAAGGCAAACATAAAAAAAAGAGCTAACAATCTCACTCTCTTAAAAAAAAAATAATATATATATATATATATATATATATATATATATATATATAGACCCCCCAGGAAAAATTATCAGCTCATGAACCATAAACATTAGCAGAACAGAGTACCATGAATGTTTTTGTTTTGTTTTAGATAGAACAGCCCATTTATTTAACAGTCCAACATCCTTCATTGAGAGCCTTCCGCAGCATAGCTGAGGACGCTCCCTTTTTGGTTAGGTAATCTGCAAGCTGCTCTTTGGTTTGTGACCACAACACCTGTTGAACTTTTTTAGTTTGGATCAGTTCTTTGATGGAACTTATTTCTAAGCGCAGTCTCTTTTCAGTAACAAACTTGGTGGACTTTAGTGCATCAACAAGAGAAAAGTTATCAGTGACACAGATAATTGGTATAGTGAGATCAGTACAACCAGCATTAAGTTCAGAAAACAATGTTGAAAGAAAAATGGCATTGTCAATTCCCTCAGACATTGCTAAGGTTTCACCTGCAAGTGTGCTTCTGACAACTCTCTTGATTCTCTTTGACTGCCATGAAATAGGAGAGAAATGTCCATTGTCACCCATCAAAACAATAAGGTGCCCGAGTGAGACTGGGTATAACAGTCACTGAAAACATTTCTGTTCCCCCCCAAATGAAATCATCAACATGACAAGCTAATACACCAGTTACACTTTTGTCCTCATCTAACCAGTAGAAAACAGCAGGGTCAACTTTAGATTGAGGGCTCCTGTTTCAATCATTATGCTTTTCACTCTGTTATACCAATACAGTGAGGCATCAGCTAAGCCATACACACATTTTCTCAATTTCCAAAGGTTTTTTGAGCTATTGGCCTCAGGAGGTGGTCTAATAAAAACATCTCTAGACAGTTCCATTCCCGGTAAGAAGGCAGATTTTATGTCCATCGAATGAAGTTGCCACTGTTTTTGACAACTCACTGCCACAAGAAGCCTCAGAGACTCAGAAGCACAGGTTGGAGAGTCCTTTTGTAGCTCAGAAACTTGTAGTTCCTCAAATCCTCGTGCAACAAGCCTGGCTTTTGGTACTAGTCCATTGTCTGTCTCTTTCAGAGTGCACACCCACCGAGTGGAGACGCACCTCTGTCCGCTCTCCTCAGTTTCCTCAAACATGCCATTTTGTATCCAGCTTTTTATTTCATTTGTCTTGGCTTCATCAAATGACACATCCTTGGTCACAAAAACATCCTCAGATGTGTCAGGAGCAGTGGCCTTAACCTGAAGATCCTCCAACTGCGACAGATCAACTGCCTCACTGTTACCTGCCTCCTCAGCAGGCTCAAGTAGCTCCAAGTTGTACCAGTTCTTATATTTTCCTTTTGCTTTACCAGCGCGTCCCAACACTTTTTCTGTTTGACAAACTCCACTCTCTGTGTTTCTGAATGTCACAACTTGACCTATCTTTACATTTATGTTTCCAGCATCCTGTCTCTCTGTAACTACATTTTCAGAAGTGGGCAGTGGATCATTGTCATTGCTTTCTACATGTGTCTCTTCTGTATCCTCATTTATGTCATACGAGTGTTGTTCATCACTGTTTTCTTTGTCACAGCTAATCTGAGGTTCTTCATGTTCCTGAGTGGCTTTTCTCAGCCTGAACTGGTGAACTCTGACACAGGTTCCGCCGTGTCTAACAAACACAACTGCCCCGTCCTGCCCAATGACCACCCCTGGCCCTTTCCACTCTGGACAGTCCACACGTTTGTAAAATACCTTGTCCCCCTGTTCATACCTATCATTGTTGGGACACAGCTGCTTCTTTAGTGCTCTCCGGATCCGCTCTGAACATTCCTCCTCTGTGAAAGCCTTCCTCGCTGTGTGCAGAGCTGAAATGTGCTTGGCCACCCATTCACTTTTGGTGGTGCCCTCCAGCGCTGGTGCTTTGTCAATCAACACAGAGGGTAAGTTCGGATTCTGCCCAAACACAAGCTGATGTGGGCTGTAACCGTGGACACTTTGCATACAGTTCTTTGCCATGAGAGCCCAGTCCATGGCAGTACTCCAGTCACATCCAGTGCTAGTTTTCACTTTCAGTATGATCTCTGTCAAGGTTTGATTGTCGCGCTCTAACAGTCTATTACTCCACGGGCTGTATGCAGGTGTGGTTTTCACTTCAATTTTAAAGTTTTCAGCCATGTCTCTCACTTCTTCATTGTTAAACTCCCCACCATTGTCACTGAATAACTTTTGTGGTGGGCCATGCACACTGATCCAGTCATGGATAAAATGCTTCATTATTTCAGAAGACCTCTTGGTGGTCAGGACACTTCCTGCACTAAAACGAGTGAACTGGTCAATAATGTGTAAGTACCACACTCCTGGTTCAAGCTCGTGCAGATCTACAGCTACAGTCTCATTATAAGTAGATGCCAGGGGCAGGCCAGCTGCTGGTTTGGGTTTGGTCTTACAGTACTTCTGACATGCTTCACACTGACTTATGACCTTATGCAGTAGGCTGATGCATTCTGTGTCTTTGTTGCCAGAACTACTCAAAAGTCTCTGTAGCTTATCAGCAGAAGCATGCCCAAACTGTTTGTGAAGTTTTTCTAAAACTTTTGCCTTCTCGCTTGTGCTCATTTTGTCTGTATTTGTCAGGACTTCTTCCTCTGTGGTTGCTAATATCTCATCAGCACTAGCAGGACATTTATCCTCACTGTCCACTATGCTCACACAGTAATGTCCTGAGCTAGTAAAATCTAGTTTGACAGGTTGCTTGAACATCACTGCGCTGTCATTTTCCATATCCAGAACTGTCCCTGCTCTTTTCAATGATGTCTTACTCAAAAGTAGTGGGATGTTAACAGGTACCACTTCAATTTCGATATTACACTGTGTGTTGCCAATCTTGGCTGGTATCTTTACCTTTTTGACAGAATACACCACTTTCCCATCTCCAAACTTAAAGGGCCTCTGACTTTGTATTTCAGTTTTTCTGATTAACTTAACATTTTTCTTGCCTGACACACTAATGTAGTTGTCCAGCCACTCTTGTCCACACGCTGTCCTAGTGCAAGCAGTGTCTATTATGGCTGAGCCAAAACATTCAGTTATGAATATTTCTGCATCTGTTGGTGATTCTTTGGTGTACAAGGTAATGTTACACTCTTCAACTTCTGTTCTATCATCAGCTATTTGGACACTTTCATCTCTGTGTGGGCAATCTTTGGCCCAATGAAACGTGCTTTGGCACACTGCACATTTTGACCGCCGTCCGAACTTATCCAGTGGGTTTGTACCTGGCTGTGGTGTCTTGGGTTTGGTGCTCTGTTGCCACGATTTGCCTCTTTGCCGTCGCTGCTCCGTTGCGAACACAGATTCTTGACTAGCGTTAATTACCTCTGTAGTGACGCTCGTTTTTCCGCCAAATATTCTCCTCAGTGCGGATTTCATAGCGGCAAATGTTAAATTCGTGCATGCCGTCAGCGCCAACTGCCTATCGGCCAAATCCAAGCACGCAGTCCAGCAGTTTAAACGCTAAAACTGCATCGGGTAGCTCCATTTTGTACTTTCTCATACGTGAATACCGCTGTTCGAAGTCGATAATATAATCCGCCATGGACACATGTCCATCTTTCATAATGCGGTCAAAGTCAGTGTATGCTTCATAGATACGGTCTTTCTCTTCTTTTAGGAACAAATCATCAAGTTTCGCAAGCAAAGTGGCCATTCCAGTGTCTTTATTTAAATCATCTACCGGTATTTCCATCGCCGTTTCTCGCGCTCTGCCTGATAGCGCCAAAGCCACAGCGAGAGCCTGTTTTTTCTCGTCCAAATCGGTAACTCTGGTCCAAATGCCGACTTCATTTTTCCAGCTTTCGTAGGGTTTTCTCTCTTCAAATGGTGGCGGAACCTTGTAGTTACTAACCATCCTCTGCTACCACTGTTAGTCCCAATAAAAACTCCAGGTAAAGTTCAGGCAGATTTCTTCCGTAACAACCACGTTCACGTCCACGCCCGACCAACCACCACCCCCCTCGCTTCCCCAATACATGCAAGTAACAAGTGCCCAAGGGGTTATAGGGCCCCCTAGCTGTAAAGCAGGGAAGGCAAACATAAAAACAAGAGCTAACAAGAGTACCTTAAAGGCAGAAAAGGTCTGTATACATTTGACCATTTATTATTAACATGTAGTAACATGTAATCAACCTCCAGCTCCTAACCTGAATAATTACTACTTTGTAATAAAACTTAATAAATCTACTGATGAAAGCAAAGGGATCCTTTTATCTGAAGTATCTAAAACTGCCTGAAATGCTGTGAATGAGTCTTTAAGTTGATCCTCATTTTTTACCCACAGTGCATGGAGCGTGGAGCCCGTGGTCAGCCTGGTCCGAGTGTGACGGCTGTGAGGGGGCCTCCACACGGACCAGGCAGTGTAACAGTCCCCCCGCCAGGTTCGGAGGTCTGCCCTGTGTAGGAGAGAGCAGACAGAGCCGCGGCTGCCATGACAACATGACTCTTTGCTCAGGTCAGTGGAACCGTTCTGCCAACAGGAGTGGGCTTTTTGAGTAGGATATTCTAGCTCCATACTGATATGGATTTATTGGTTATCATGTTTTTAAAAGTTCACACAACAATGAATCATTATTACAAGAGTCATCAATTATTTTTAAAGTCAGATTATACCAATAATACATGAGTGCAATCTATTTTTCCTGGGAAAAACATGTCACCCTCAACACCATTTGAATAATCTGTTAATATTTTAAAATTGTGTAATCAACTACATCACTGGGTCCAAACCAAGTCTCCATATTTATGTTTTTCTCTCCAGACTGTGGTGGGGGGCAGGTGGACTGGCCATGTGGAAAGCCCTGTCCCCGCTCCTGCTCTGACCTCCATGGGGACACGGAGTGCCTGGACACCCCTGGGTGCAGCCTGACCTGTGGATGCCCCGGCGACATGGTGCTGCAGGATGGAGTGTGTGTGAGCAGAGAGGAGTGTCGCTGTAAATTTCACAACAGCTCTGCTACTGGTCAGTCACTTCTGGACAGAATATTGTCTGTAAGGATCAAATGTGCAGTGTCCTAACAGCCCCATGTCTCTGCAGGGGGCCTGGAGTCAAGTAACGCCTCATGGGTGTGGCCCGGGGACTTTGATTGGCAGTTTGCTAACCCAGGAGAGAGTATCATCACCGACTGTAAAAACTGGTATGAGCATGTCTCATAATAAGAAGAATTCTATTTTATTTTACTTAATGAAATCTTATTCTGTTACTGTTTTATTTATGTTTTCTTGCTTTATTGAGCTACTGTGACAAAGCAGTTTCCCTTGTGGACTGAAACCAAGGTTAAGGTTAAGGCATTCTTTATTGATCCCTCCTTCACTGCTGCTGGGGCAGACTATCAAGAGCAGTGAGCCACTGCCTTACAGCGCTCGGGGACCTATCTCGAGCTATTCTGGGTCAGGACTAAATTAGCTTGAGGATTTGATCTGTGGTACATGTTTTGGTTGATGGGGGAACCGGAATGCCCAGAGGAAACCCACCCAGATACAGAGAGAACATGCAAACTCCACTCAAACTCAGAAAGACCCAGATGACACAAGAATTTAACCCAGAACTGTCTTGCTGTAACACAAGTACTAACCACACAGCCACTGTACAACCACTATCATGACAGGCCCAAGTGTCTGGGGTCAGAAGGTAATGTCAGGTGTAGTGAGGTCAAATAACTACACCACATTCAAATACTAAAACCTGGTCTCAAATACTAAAACAAAGACTAAGACCTGGTTTAGTCTCGGTTTAGACTTTTCATCCCCCCCTCACAGATTTTTGAGTAGCTTAGCAGTTGTAGTCCTGATTTAGTAAATGTAGAACCAGATATTTTCTGTTGTCTATGCTTATATCAACATTGTATTGGCATAATCTATATATATTTCTGCTTTCCTCTCTCAGTTCGTGCGAGGCGGGGGTGCTGCTGTGTGACTCAGTCCCAGGCTGCCATGTTGACGGGGGGTGGAGTCAGTGGAGTCCCTGGGCTGAGTGCTCCTTGTCCTGTGGAGGCGGAGTCAAGTCCAGGACACGCCTCTGCAATAACCCCACCCCTCAGAGTGGTGGGCGGGGTTGCCTGGGGGTGGTCGAGCAGCGGAAAGAATGCAACACTCACATCTGCACTGGTACATGATCAAAATATCTACTTTTGTCATTTTTAATCAGTTATTGTAAACTTATGCAAATATAGTCTCTAGAATGCTATTACCTTATCAAAAAATATACCTTGAGTTTTTTTTTCATTCACACATGTCTGAGTAACCCTGATGTTTGAGTAATTATTACACTGTGACATCTCTAAAGCTCAAAATGCTATATTCCATCATGATGCGGTAGTTTTCAAGTTAACAACTCTTTTTACTTTTAGGTCAGATTGGCAATTCCAGGACAGAGTTTAAAAACACAGTGGAAAACTTCCTGTATTACCACAGGACAGTGTTTTCCGTTTGAGAAAAGAACTCAGACTAAATATGCAGGATTTGTCTGATAAATGTCTGAAAGAAAGAAAACATAGCTATTTTTATGTTTGTGATGAAAATAGTATAGAAAATAGTGCAATATGGGCCATTTAAGATGACTCATTCTGCTCATGTCAACAAATAATTATCTGTTAGCATCTGCGAGACAAAATTTAAATAGTCATTTCATGGTTTGCTGAAATTTGTCGGGTAATAAATTATAGATACATTTTAGTGAAAAATGTGAAAATAAGTTGTCCAAATGTATAGATAGAAATAGAGAATAAAGCAAAAGCTGTCTCCTTTACCAGTTCGTGTGTAGTTCTATCTCTTCTGACTGGACTTTTCTCTGGTGCTTTTGCTGTAGACTCAGTGGGGCCGTGGTTGCCGTGGTCACAGTGGTCCGTGTGCACTGTGAGCTGTGGAGGGGGGCAGCAGTCTCGTGTCCGTCTGTGCAGGTCTCCTCCCTGCAGTGGACCTAGTCGCCAGAGCAAGACCTGCCACACCCAAGTCTGCCTGGGTACGTGTGTGTGAGACTATGACTTACTGACACGTGCTCAGATTTACATGGGCCTCTGGATTTACTTTTCATTTAACAGTAATAATGCTCTGCTCCTACATTCTCATTATGAACATTTTAGTGATTTACTCATATTTACAGAATGCATTATTTATGCTCAGAACAAAATGGATGTCTGACGTTATATGTGCTGTTTGTGCAGAGGTGGGCTGTCCTCCAGGCCGACTGTACCGTGAGTGTGAGCGCGGGGAAGGCTGTCCCTTCAGCTGTTCCCAGATCAGTGGGAGAGAGAGCTGCTACTCTGATGGCTGTGAGGAGGGCTGCCACTGCCCCCCCAACACCTACCAGCACCAGGGAGACTGTCTGCAGGTCTGCCCACCTGTCTAGTTTTATTCATCCGCACATATTATTTCTTTTGAATGTGCAAAATGTATCAAAACTTGTCCACATTGCAGGAGTGCCCATGCCTGGTGGATAAGGACTTCCTGGGCTCTTTACAGAGTGTCTCCGTGTCCCCACTCTCCTCTCTGTTTGTCTACAACATCTCTGAGGGCATGGAGCTGCAGTCAGGAGAATCTTTTGTGCACGACTGCAGTGCATGGTAAGCTTTTTAACATACATGTATAGATTTGATCTTGTTTTTTAATTCATTGTAAGTGTCTCTTTTTCCCGTGTGCCTGCAGTGAGTGCATGCATGGGCGATGGAACTGTTCCCTGGAGAACTGCCCGGTGGATGGGGGCCTCTCCTCGTGGGGCCCCTGGAGCCCCTGCTCTCTGTCCTGTGGAGGACTGGGCATGAAGACCCGCTTTAGGAGCTGCACACAGCCTGCTCCTGCCCATGGAGGGAGGGAGTGCCAGGGCGCACGCCAGGAGACCACCTACTGCCAGGCACCAGACTGTCCAAGTGAGCCCTGCTGACCAACCACTCATTTTAATTAATCATGTTTTTCAGGAATGATTTGGTTATCCTGTGCTAAAATACTGCATAATTTTTCATGTGTTTGGCAGTTGGGCCGACCGAGGAGCCAGTTCTACCAGGTCAGATTCTGCTCACCCACATTTACACTGTAAAAAGCAAGGTCTCCATCAGTGTATCAATTAATTCTGTTCCTGGCTTTGCAGAAGAGGACGTGGGCTTCTCTCCCTGGTCGTCCTGGAGCTCCTGCTCAAAGACCTGCAGTGAGGTGCACAGTCCAGCCACCAAGACCCGGCACAGACAGTGCACCAATCCCCCCTGCTCTGGCAGCTCCCACCAGGAGAAGGCCTGCAACCTGCCGCAGTGTCCCGGTATGGTGATGTAATATTTCACCTTTACATGGATGATATTTTGAGTTTTTAAATTTTTTTTTATTTTTTAATCAGAATCTGGTTTTGGAGGATTTGTATCAGATGTATGCAAATGTAATTTATGCATCACTCCTCACCTTTGCATGGAGCCATGTGTCAGTGTAATAGAGTGACTTTGTGTTGTCAGGCTCTGGCTCAGAGGACTGTCCAGGAGGAGACTGCTCTCAGAGGAACTGTTCATGGACAGAGTGGGGTGACTGGGGCTCCTGCTCTCGCTCATGTGGGGTGGGGCAGCAGCAGAGGATCAGGACCTTCCTCAGTCCGGGCTCCAATGGCACCTGGTGTGAAGACATCCTGGGAGGCAACTTGGACTACCGCTTCTGTAACATCAAACCCTGCAGAGGTCAGTGCCCTGCTCAAATACAGAAAAAAGTATATTTAAGAAGTTCTATTAAGTTGTTTATAACACAGTTGATGGAGGGTGGTCTCGCTGGAGCCCCTGGTCACGCTGTGACAAACACTGTGGTGGGGGTCGCTCCATTCGCACACGCTCCTGCTCCAGCCCCCCACCCAAGAACGGAGGCAAGAAGTGTGAGGGAGAGAAGAACCAGGTGAAGCCCTGCAACACCAAGCCCTGTGGTACGGCTAAGAATCACTCATCATTGCATCTCCCTACAAACGTATGCTTAATGTGATCCTGTTTGTGTGTTTGTGTGTTATCAGAGGAGAAAGGCTGTCCAGCAGGGCAGGAGTTGTGCTGTGTGCAAACCAGTGCCCCCAGCGCTGCGCCGACCTGCAACAGGGCATCGAGTGCCAGGGCAGCTCTGACTGCCAGCCGGGCTGCCGCTGCCCTACAGGTATAGTACACACTCTTCTTCAACAAACTTTTACAATTTTTTACACTTACACTGATTTCTTCCTTGTTTATATTTTGAATCACACCAAAATAACATGAATTTAAAAGCATTTCATACTTTTGTAACAGATGTCTTCACTCGGCCTAGTCTCGGCTTGGTACATGTTTAGCTAATACACATTACAACTCAAATGCCTTGACACTATAGTATTTTTTGCTAATAACCAGTTTCATAATAATAGTAGAAATAATACATAGGTTTTATAGAGAGCTTTTCACTGTAATTCAAAGACTTTTCACAATAATGTAACACAGAAAAAAAATAGCATGGACAAAACAAGTAGTGAGGAAGCAGTTGTTTATGGGGGTTATAAGCTTTGAGGAGGAGGTGAGTATGGAGCTGGTTTTGAAGGTGTTTAGTGAGTCTGACTTTCTGATATGAAGGGAAAGAGAGTTCCAGAGGGTGGGGGCAGCAATAGTGAAGGCTTTAATATTGGCAGTCTCTGTTTTAATGTCTAACTGCCCCCTCCTCCCATGGCGTGGTGGCATGTGTGTAGGCACTCTGGAGCAGGACGGGGCATGTGTGCAGCTATGGCAGTGTGACTGTGTGGACGCTCTGGGACACGTGTGGGCGGCGGGCAGCTCTCATCAGGTCAACTGTAACAACTGCTCCTGCTCTGACGGACAGCTCCTCTGCACCAATCACAGCTGCCAGGCCTCCTGCACCTGGAGCTCCTGGTCCAACTGGGCGCCCTGCAGCACCTCCTGTGGGCGGGGCCAGAGGACCAGATACAGGTGACTACAAACAATATAAATAATACTATAATAGGTAATATGTATTTCTAAATCACAATTCTAGCATTTAAATCACAATATGCACTACTAAACATCTGTTTTGAGCCTCATTTTAAACACTGTGAGAGTAGAAGAGGCCTGTCTCACACGTTCAGGAAGATTGTTCCAGGTTTTAGCTGCATAAATCTGAAATGATGTCTCCTCATATTTAGGATTGGGAGCAGTACCTCAGAGTGCAGATGGTTCATATGGCACTAACATTCTAGACCATGGAGAGACTTGTACACAAGCAGAGCTGCTTTAAACTGCTTCCAGGTTCTACTCACACTCAGGTCGTGAGCAGCAGCGATCTGGATGTGCTGAGCTGTCTTTCACATGGAGAATATTTTGTCAAAAGTTAAAACTTAGTCACATGAGGCTCGGTCATAAAACAGTATGAGAAGCATTGACAGAACACACTGAATTAATGAGCTCTGAAGGAACAGTGTGGGCAGCACTGATAGAGGGGCAAGCATCATTATTACAGTACATTGCTCCCACATTAATAGTAATACACAAACAGAAACTGTTGCTATTTTTACCCCAAAATGCCATAAAGCAATCCCATGCATCGTCATAAACTTTACTTAACCTGCATCAACCTTGGACACAAATAGCACAAACTTCTTATTTAATTATGTCTGACTAACTCTGTGTTTCTGTTCTGTAGATCTCTAATACCTGAGACTGAAGGAGCAGAATGCCAGTTTGAGGAAGTCCACCATAAGTCATGTGACCCAGGCCTGTGCCCGCCCCTCTGTCTCCGTGATGACAAGGAACTTAGGGTGGGGGACACCTGGCTGGAAGGGGAGTGTCAACAATGGTGAGAAGAACCAGTTATAATACAGTTTGCATTGCCGTACGTATCTTTAGGGCTGGGCAGTATGGTGATAAAAACTGAATTGTGATCTCACTCCAGTGATAATCTGCTATTTTTGGTAAATTCATTATATTGTGAGTCACAAATTTACTCTTGAATGTGGCTCTTTTTCACACCCACTTTTCCTGTTCACAAGCCTCAGCAATGCTCTGAGTGAGTGACATGTGGATTTATCCAATTGTATTGTGTGAACTTGTGATCTGGCAATCATGATATTAACTTTTTGCAATATTGATCACCCCAATTATTTTCAGCATTATTAAACTATAAATAACATGATAAATATTTTGGTAGCACGTGCACTCCTGAGGGACCTTACTGCCAAAATATAGACTGCAGAGGTAAGGCACCCAAGCTTTAGAGGCTAGTATAATCATTCTTTTGCTCGCTCAGTCCCCATTAAAATTGTCATGTGTGTGGTTTGCAGTGGACGGCGGCTGGACCCCGTGGTCAGAATGGTCAGACTGCTCAGTGACCTGTGGCAGAGGGTCGCAGGTCCGGAGTAGAGCCTGCATCAACCCCCCGCCCCGGAACAACGGATCAGACTGCATCGGAGAGGACAGGCATAGCCAGGAGTGTCATAGACCACCATGTCTGGGTGTGTTCAAGCTTTCTATATTTACACAGTGCATTCTGCTGTATGGTAATCTAAGATAGTATTTCCAAACCTACCTATCTCAGCAACCCCTGTTTTACCAGTGGATCTGTTGGCAACCCCCACATCCCTCTGACAAGCTATTGAAGAAGCTATTAAGGAAAATTACAGGGTTGTTATGATGTCATTTCTGAGTCCAACTGGCAACTGCTCATTTCAAGCTTGTTCTCGCTCAAACAAGAGACAATATCCTCCCAAAACATGTGTAACTACAAGTTTTATCAGATATCTAATTACTAATTCAGTAAGAAAATAATGAATAATTAGCCTGAAGGAAGACAAAAACACAATTAGATTTGTCACTAAATAAAGCATATATTTAAAAGTGCAATGTTTATATAACTTTTCTAATGTTTTTTTTTTTTTTTTCTGTTTGCCTCCTACTTGTCATCAAGGAGAAGTTTGTTTTCTTTTCCTGGAATATTGTACAGTATGGCATTAAACATTTAGATCTCCGTGGAGATAAGCAGATGCATGTTTTTTCAAGGTCATTTTGATCATTAAAACACATTATAAATGCATTATGAGCAATATAAGCAATCTCCATGGACACAAGGAGGTAGCGGACCCCCACCAAAAAGTTACACACTGCAAAAAAGCTTGGCTAAAATTTAAGATATAAACATTTAAATCTATCAGATAATGACTTAAAAATAGTGAAATAATCTGTCCATGCTGCAAGATCATTTTATTTTATTAAATAAATATTAAACAGTCTCAGAACTAGTAAGTAGATAATAAATCTACAAACAAGATGAATAACCTGATATAGGTTTTAAAATCTTAGAGTGATCAGAGAAATTTGCAGTGCATAATGCACCTTTAAATTACAAAGGACCCCAAAGGATGTCAACATGAACATATAATAAAAATGATAGATTATTTTATATTGCTGCATACAGATGATCTGTGCCCCTGGTCGGCCTGGTCCCCCTGCTCTCAGAGCTGTGGGGCAGGCTCAGTGTCCCGGAAGAGGGTGTGTATATGTGAGGAGGGGGGAGACGCTGCCTGTCCCGCCCAGATCCAAGACCACAGGAACACAGAGGAGACCCAGCTGTGCTACAAACGCCCCTGTCCTGGTAAGACTACTCCCAGACACATCTCTGTTTACTTTGTAGTTCAGTCTACATTTATACACCATGATTTGACAACTAAAATATTTTCAACATTAAATCTTGGTACTATGTTTTATATTACCATGTTCCCTCAGTTCTGTGTGCTCTTATACTTTTTCTGATACAGCTCAAGATCATTCTAAAACTAGGTTCATTTCCGTCCTGTGAATGTTGCTTTTTAAATATCAGTATTTGCTCAAATGAGTATCTAGTTATTTAAGATATTTAGAGTAATTATACTGAAGTACAGAGTAAGTGTTTGGAGCTAAAGTTATAGTTGGGTTTTTATATTGATGCAATCAGATAGACACCACGTTGTTATTATTTTCAGCAGTGTTACTCCAGTCGATCTAACTGCTCTCTGCTGCCCTCCTCTGTTCATGGCTCATCTTTTCTTCTCTGTGATTCTACTGTTCATAATGTCTTCTGTGTGATCAGGCTGTCCCATGTCCCCCTGGACTGACTGGTCCTCCTGCTCCTGTGTGTCTCAGAGACAGCAGAGACATCGTGTAGCTCTGGCTCCGGCCACAGGGGGGCAGCAATGCTCTCCTGTAGAGACCCAGAGCAGACAGTGCAGCCTCCACAACTGCACTGATGGTAAGAACAACATACATCAGGCTCATTTCAAACCTCACTATATTTAAGATTTGACTATATGTAACTTCACAATAACTTATCATTTGCTTCTTGGTTGGACACGGGCAGCAGATATGACATGCATAGAGCCAAAATTCTACAAAGGTTATGATTAGACTAATAAAAAAAATGCATTTAAACTCTTATTTTCTTAAATGAAGGTTTAAACTGTCAGAAAAATGTGTTCTTTGCCTGGAAACTGTCTCCACATTGGATGGATTTTTCTGTGTTGAAGACATAGATTATGTTTTAGAGCAATTTTTGGACTTTTCTCCACTAACTTGACTGATGTAAAACTTAACTTTTAATAAGTAATGATTATAAAAACATTATGTGATTTTACTAAAGACTAATATTTTCCATTTGAACCTGCCTCATGCTGTTGTGTTGGTGTGTTGCAGAGTGTATGCCCCCCTTCGTGTATTCACAGTGTGGGGCTCCGTGTGAGAAACAGTGTTCTCTGCTGGGACAGACCGAGCTGTGCCTGGGCCTGCGAGAGTGCACCCCCGGCTGCTACTGCCCACCGGTCTGTACCTAAACACCACACTCACTTTGTATTCTATTCATACATGATCAGTGCTGCAAACACTAGTGTAGCATTGCTTATTTAAACAGAGAGCAGCTAACATAAAAATCTAATCATATATTTTAATTCCCGGGTCTGATAGTGACTGAAAAAGAAAATCTGGGCAGTAGTTTATTTCTCAAAGGTTAGGATCAGGCTTAGGGTTGTGTTAGGGTGAAGCAGTGGTGGAAGGCAACAAAGTACAAAAGTAAAAAGATTTTTATAGTGTATACTTTTCACTTCACTACATTTCAGAGCAGAGCATTTGAGTGCTTTCTACTCAACTGTGTTTTTGAACTATTCTGTTTTTCTTTTTGGTATGAGAGGTTATTTCTGGTGATATCCTGCCTAAGGGCTTTGAGCTTAAGTCTGGGCTAAAAAACTATGAAATACATTTGACTAGAAAATAGAATAAAAGTGCAAAAAACAAAAATAAGGACACATTTCTTCATCAAGATGCTGTAATAGTTCTGAAGTACTCTGAAGTACATTTTTAAATGGGTACTTCAATACTTTTATGTACTTCAATACTTTTATCTACTTTTAAGTAGATTTTTTCATGTGATACTTAAAGTGGAACTAAACATGAAATCCCCTTTTTTGCTACTAAACTATAAATAAGCTACTAAGGTATTTTAATAGCATTGTTTACTACCATTACACATTTTTTTTTGGCAGTTTTAGTGCAAACTAGGCAGATCTGCTGCTCATTGGTTGAAAATGTTTGCGCTACCTTCAGGGGCCCCTGTAGTTTTCAGTAGCTGGTGACATCATGAAAGACTGATTAGATCCATGGAGTGTTAGACCAATCACAGAGTTCCCTTTAGTCCTTCATCTACTGCCCAGTTTAGTAGTTGTATTTGAAATGGGCAAAGCTTAGGTGTTTAGTCCCTCTTATTTCTTGGCACCTGTATCTGTACTTTTGCTTCAGTAATAAAATGGAATACTTCTTCCTCCATTGGGGTTAAGGTTAGGGTTGAGGTTAGGGCTTTGGCAGAGCTGCTTTAGGCTAAAATGACTAAATCATTTTTTGCATTGTCTGTTGAAGTTGTGTGCCTGATGTGTGTGTTTTGTTTTAGGGTTTGCTCCAGCAGAATGACTCGTGTGTTGCTCCTCAACACTGTGGATGTGTGTATCCCCAAACCCCTCAGACCCCGGGACACCCCCCCACCCTCACCGTCGTCCCACAGGGGGGCACCGTCACCCTGGGCTGCTCCACCTGGTTAGACTACAACACTCAAATAATGACAAACACAAACTCTTCAACCAGAAGAGTGATGTACAAGAATACTGGTGTAAAGCAGAGGTAGACATGCCAAGAATGAATACACGAGAGAGTGGTGAGGAGGTTAACCCTCCAAAGGGATAGACCACTGTGGTGATTAAAGCTGAGTTACCCAATTTTCAAACTGTGAAAGGAGAAAGCAAATATTTAAATCTGTCTGACTCATTCCTAAACCTCACAACTGACTGACCAGAGGACAAAGTAAAACAGCCCATCAGTTCTGAACGCAAAAAATATTACATTTACATACCAGGCATTTTCTTCTGCGAGAAAAATATAAATAGTTTACAGGAATGATGGGAGGAATGAGGGCATTAACACAGCAGTGACAGTCTGTGATTCCTGCTTTGATAACTCTTTGGCTTTATTAAACAGCAGCAAATTTAGTTTGGGTGTAAATGAGGATGGGACCGGACACTATTCCCATAAGATGAAATGAGACACAAGATTGGATTCACAAAAATGCGATGAGTTTTTGTCATAATTTATTATTATTATTAAAAAAAGTTGTGGTTCAGATCACAATTTTGGCCACCCAGTTTAAATTTATTTATGATCTGTTTTTGCTGTCATATCAATACTTTTTAGTACTACAGCACTTAAATATCAGGGGCTTCATTTATAAAGGATTGCGTAGGAAATTTCCTAAGCTAAGGTTCCTAAACTAGAGCATAAGAGCGTACTAGTGCAGAGGTCTTCAACAGGGGGTCGGATGAGTCTTTGAGGATGAACTGGTTTCAGTGGATTCTGTCTGTTTGCTCCTTCATCACGTCTGTCTCCTCAGTCTTATGTCAATTTTATCTTGTGGGACCTTGACGCATGAGTTCCAGTCTTGGGTATAACTGATATTTTGTTTGTTCCTCTGCAGCTTCTGTCATGATGGGACTCTGGAGTGTGATATGAGAGAGTGTGAAGGTTAGACATCACTGTATTACTTCTATCTGTGCAGTGTGTTTTACAGTGTTTGTGACTCCTCTGCTCTCTCCCAGTGATCCTCAGCGAGTGGTCAGAATGGACGCCCTGCTCCCCCTGCTCCCCCTCCTCCTCCCTGGCCCTCAGCTCTACCACAGCGGGCACAGGGATCAGGCTGGTGTCTCTGCAGAGACGTTTCAGAGCCTGCCTGGACTTGGACTCTGGACTCCCTGTGTCCCCCGAGGAGCAGAGCCAGTGTGTGGGAGCGCTGCAGGAGGAGAGGCTTTGTCCCGATCCTAACATCTGCAGAGGTAACAGCTCATCTCACTCAAATGTTTAGCACAATATGAGGAGTAGTATTCTACAGGCCAGTCATATTTAATACAGATGGAGGCAGCAAAAAAAGGAATGTTGTTCAGATGCATATTTTTGTTGGAATACAGTGAATTCTTGGGTCTAGTCCATAAACAAATGATCAGATTGAACATTTGTAAACTCTTTTGGATATTTCATGGCAAAGTAAAATTTTATCAATAAAAGCAGTAATAAACTCATTGCATAAAAAGCACTCATAAAGTCATTGTGGTGAATAATTAGAATGCTGTGAGTGAGGAATAACTTTGAACCACTGCAAACTGTTGAAAAAAATAGTTCTATTTTTTTAAGATGGTAAAAATCTGACAGAACACATTTAACTCAAAAAAGATCAGTACCCATCAGGAGTGTGTTTAAAATGAACAAAAACAGAATGTACAAACTACTTCATTCTTTTCCTCCAGACAAACTATATTCCTCTGTTTTTCCTCCTTATATTAAGTGTGGTTATGATCTGTATTCTCTTTCAGACCAGTGCCAGTGGAGTGCATGGAGCTCATGGACAGTGTGTGCTGACCCCTGCAGTGGAGGAGTGAGACAGCGCTACAGGTGGCCTCTGGCCTCTCCCCCAGGGCCCCGTTGTAAGAGCCAACAAACTCAGAGCCAGAGCTGCAACACAGGCCTGTGTCCAGGTACAGACTGCACACTAACACTGCTAAGTGCAAACACTGGGAAGACTCATACGTGAGGAGAAGGAAAGAAGTATTGAGTTATGCTGTTACGTTTCTTGAGTAACCTTTGAATAATGTTGGCATTTTAAAGGCTAATACTACTGTATTATTGTATTATTTTCAAGTAGCTATTCTGAGCTTGGGGCCGGGAGTCGCTGAAGCAATTTCAAGGGGTTCACACATGATATGAGGAAAAATTCAAAATGTATGCAACAGTCTTATACAAGGCTTTGACACCCTTTAAATGCAGTGGTTTGTGTAGCTTCTTTGTTAGTCTACCATACTAATTGTTAGACACAATGACTACAGTATGGTTTTCCCTGCATATTATTGCTTTGCCTGTAATGTTCCATAGAATGGCATTAAACCTGTCTACCCCCATGGAGACAAACTGGTGACATCACAGTGAAGTACAGGTCAGATCTCTGGAGATGAGACTCTGCTTACAGTAAAGTTACATGTTTTTTATTCTTGAGCAATAAGAACACTTAGAATACAAGATAGATCAATTTATTACCATTCTTTGGAACATTATAGGCAAAGCAATGCCATCTTTTTTTCAGACAAGACCTCAGAGTTACTCTCTTTTGAACTTTGCTGTATAGAATGCACACATTGCGCCAATCCTAAAACACTGTGGATATTTTTACTTATTTAATGCTTTGTTAATCATATTTATAGATTTTTAGAAGACAACTCTTTACTTTTCATTGAAAACATTCTCTTATACAATCTTGCTTTTTGTGTGTGTTGTAACTCACTCATGTGTATGACAGGTGAGCGGTGTGAAGACAGAGGGCGGATCTACCAGGAGAGCTGTGCTAATCAGTGCCCGCGCAGCTGCACCGACCTGTGGGAGCATGTGCAGTGTCTACAGGGAGTGTGCCACCCAGGTCTGAGTCTGTCTGCACAACCTCTGCTCTTCATAGGCTCCCAGGGATTGCACTAGTTTTCACCAATTTAAAGTGTCTGTATCCAGTGTTTTATAAGAAGCTCTTGAGGTCAAAATAAGTTAGTTGTGAAGTGCGTGTTAGCATGCTAGTTGTTGTTAACTTTACCATGATTGCAGAACTCCGCACTGGTCTCTGAGAATTGTGATAGTGAGATACTGAGAAGTGTTTATAAACTCATCCTGGTGAATCATTAGGATGCTCTGAATACTTAAAAAGGTTGTATGGAGGATTTTTTTGTTTTTGTTTGTCTCAAATTGTCAGTGAAAGTTTAAAGTACCATTACAGAGACACAGCAGCCTTGTAATTATGATGACCAACAAAACAAAACAAAAAAAAAAGAATGAAAATTTAACAACTGTAGACGTAGAGAGGCCAGATAAACATCAGCCAATAGATAGCAAGGCTACCTCATTATTTATTGGCTATTAGGTTGTCAATCAGACTCCCTACGTTTCTAGTGTAACTGACTTGCTGGCGTGTGGGGATTACGTGGTTTATACAGCGGTTCTTAGAGTCTTTTTCAAACTGTAGCTTCCTCGCAATTCGCACAGTTTGTTGCGATGGCGGACGAGAATCCACGACCAGTTCGCCGCAAAGGAAAGTCAGTTTTTGAGGTCGCTGAAAGAAGAAGAGAAGGGGAAAAGGAGCAAAGCCAAACAGAGGTGATTCTTGGGGATTCCTTCCAGCGATTGTGTGACTGAAGCAGACGAAGGGTCTAAAAACTGACGCGTCAGTCACTAAATTATTTCTAGACAGGTCACTTCAACAGTAATTCTGAACGTGCACTGGCTGTAAACAAGCATGATTTCTGGAGTAAGGAGGCACGAGGAGGTGTTTCTACTGAGGGAGCTGAGGAGGAGGAAGGTGGTGTCACACATGCTCAACATTTGAAAAAGGACTGTCGCTGTATTTCTCTTTCCTTAAAAAATCCTCTATACAACCTTTAATGTCAGTGAGGAAGAACTTTTGACCACTGCAAACAGTTTCAAATGAACCTAGTTCTGTTTTTCCCCCATTTTTGACAGTAAAAATCAGGTACAACACCTTTAAATGTCAGAAAAAAGTTACATTTTAGCCAATGAAAAAATTAATTATTAAACACCTATTTTTATTATGTTATGTGTCATTTCAGGGACAGTCAGTCATTGTCACTATACACGCATGTTTAGACCTTACCTGTAGTGTTGTCACAATACTAAAATTTAAAACTGGATTTTGATACTAAGGAACAGACTCAATACCCAATAATGACCATAATGATAATTTTAAAAAAAACTTCATTTAGACAATGGAATATGATTTTCAACATTCTATTCTATTCTATTCCCATGAGTCTTATATGTGTTTAATCCCTCTGTGGTGCAGGTAGGTTCCATAGTGCTCCATGGGCATACATACTAGTTATTGTGTGGTATAGATACCTGCACAGATGGGTATGAAGTTTGGAGTGTGTTTTTGTTGCAGGTTGTCGGTGTCTGGAGGGTCAGCTGCTGCAGGATGGTCACTGTGTCCCTGTGACAGAATGCCGCTGTGGCGTCCCATCAGGGAACGGGACCCTGGAGTTTAACCCCAGAGAGACTGTCACTATAGACTGTAACACCTGGTGAGTCCAGCCTCTGTGGAATTCAATCAGGAGAGACTGTGAGGAGGAGAGGGAGAGGCTGAGGAGGCTGGGGGTTCTGCTGCTGGGGTAGATGTGGGGCAGAGGAAGCCAGGATGAAGGACAGAGAAAAAGTAGCTGCTTGTGATTGGCTGACAGAGACAGATAAGCCTTTATTATTTGTTCATTCATTCATACACCATGCTCAAGAGACAGTAACAAAGAGAAAGCACAGTCCTCTTGGTTAAATCTCCTCAGTTTTATAATTATACTGGACATGACTAAATGCCAGAAGTTTCTTGTTTGTTGGACTCAGTTTAAAAGTGTCTCTTTGTTTTTGTGCGCAGTGTGTGTGAGAACGGCACTATGGTGTGCACAGAACTGCCCTGTCCGGTCTATGAGCCCTGGGGCCCCTGGAGCAGCTGCTCTGCCACCTGCGGTAGAGGTCAGAGGTCACGAGCCCGACTGTGCCAGGAGTCTGAAGGAGGGCCCCCCTGTGTGGACAGCTCACAGACAGAGAGCTGCCCCCTGGCCCCCTGCCCAGGTCGGAGACAGCCCTCATACAGTCTGGACTCTGTCCACTACATCACCCATATATCACTGACACTTCCTTTGTGTGTGCAGACGGCTGTGAGCTCAGTGACTGGTCCTCCTGGAGTCAGTGTAGTGCCTCGTGTGGAGGGGGGGTGTCAGTGCGGAACAAGACTGTCCTCCAAGAGCCAGAGCCTGGAGGGGCCCCCTGCTCCGGGCCCCTGGAGCAGCACAAAGTCTGTAACACCCACCGCTGCAGGCCAGGTAACTAAGAACAACAGTTAAAGGTTTTGCAATTTGGATAAAGTGTCAACGGCAATGTTGTGTAACTGGTAACACAGTATCATACTGAGTTTATTTTATGTTATGATGTTGTAGAGTGTCCCAAAAGTCAGGTGTTCAGTGAGTGTGCGGGGACATGTCCACACACCTGTGAGGACTTGTGGACTCACACCCAGTGCCTGCAGGGTGACTGCACACCGGGGTGCTCCTGCCCGCCTGGACAGGTCAGGAGCAGTATGTGATATGCATGTATATTTGCCACTATATTTAAGTCTGTATTCATGTGTCTTCTGCTTTTGTCAGGTGCTGTTTGGAGGCTTGTGTGTGTCCCATGCAGCCTGCCCCTGCTCGCCCCTGTCACTGCCCCCTGCCTATCAGAGTGGGAACAGCAGTGTGGAGGAGTTAGCTGAGACTCTGCTGCCTCCAGGAACAACCATAGAGCACCTCTGTAACACCTGGTACAAGAATCATTTATATAAAGACACACTGGACAATATCAGGCACCCACAAGTGTATAAGAAATGACATATTTTAAATGGATGGTATTTTTTCTTTTTTATATATTGTTTGTCAAGATTTCTATATACATAATACAGTTTAAAAAAGAAACTGCAGTTTTTATCCATAAAGAACAAAACAAAGAGTTAGTCTCTTGAGGTCATCAGGTTTGTAGCGTGAGTAGATCTCAGACTGGCGTCATGGTTCACACAGGTAGTGTGACAGAGAGCAGACATGATGTAACATGTCACTTAATATGCTCTCTGTCTTACGATGAGAGCTTTAATATTTCATGTCTATATTATCTAATATTGTTATCTAATATTATGAACTATTATTAACTGGCTTGGTGTGTTTTTCCAGCGTGTGTGATGGAGGTCGTTTTAACTGCACCTCTGATGTCTGTGATGGTGAGTGGACTTTCCATCTAAAAGAGACAATCATCTTTACATGGAAACTGGTCTATGAAAAACATGGGATGTGCAGTAGCTCTGAACACGATGCAGAAAGGCAGGGAATTATAGCCGTATTGCAAAGCTGAGGAGACATTGAAGTTGGACAGTGATTTTTGGAGAACTCAGGACTGAATAACCTGTATGTATTTTTAACACTTGTATTTTTGACACTGGCCTTAGGAGATGATAACACATTTTAAGTGTAATATATTGCTGAAGAAAATATACATGGTTCCTTACTGTGAGTGAGCTTGCATCTCCACAGACCTGACTCTTATTTTGCATAATGTAGGGTCTCCTCCTACTTGTTTCCATGAAAATATTGTTCCTTCAGCTATAATATTCCACAGCATAGCATCACCCTATCTATCTCCATGGGGAATGTCCCAGAGTATGGTTTTAACTTTCTGTTTCTATGGAATCATGGACTTTCCACCTTCAGAAACATACTGTATCTTTAATGAATCAGAAGTTAATTATTCAATCCTCTAGAGCTCAAATCTTTTCACAGTACAGAAAAATAACTAAATATTCCCCACTACTAGTACAAAGAAAAGTAACCTCGATAAATATTGAACTCCAAAGATATGTATTGAGCAAGTCCATAGTAATTATACAGACAGGCCTAATGAACACTTTTGTCCATGTCTCCTCCAGTGGACTGTGAGTGGTCTGGCTGGTCTCCCTGGGCTCCCTGCTCCGTGAGCTGTGGCACAGGGCAGCAAAAGTCCAGCAGACATGTTCTGAGGCCCAATCAGTACAGAGGGACCCCGTGTGAGGGCCCCAGCCAGCGCACCCGCACCTGCATGGCCCCTGACTGTGGTAAGTAATCCTACATCATCCATTTATTATAGATTTTCCGAACATTAATATTAACACCAGCATCAATATGTATAAAGGTCTAATGGAAAAAGGCTGATGGAGTGTGACATGTTCTGTTCATAATACTTTTGTCATGTAAATCCCTCATATGTTCACTTTTAGTGTACAAAAAGGTGTCCTGTATTCAAAAGTAATTCAAACTTAATACATTTCATTCAAACAAGCTACTAACACTCAATATTGTTAAAAGGGTATTTGAGTCTGTCTATAAGGTTCAGTAGTTATTTTAGTGTATTGTTTCCATTCTTACAAACAACATGTAAAGGATGTATAAAGAAGAATTAAATAATCCAGTAGTCCTTCAGAGTGGTCCCAGAGGCCAGTGTAATCCAGACTATGCTTAGACTTGTACATGAGTGACAAAAATAAGTGCACTAAGTATAATATCAGTGTGTGCTGTGTGTTTGTAGCCTGTCCTGAGGGGGAGCAGTGGAAGCGCAGTGGCTCTGACAGTGAGCCCCTGTGTGAGAAGAGTTGCCTAAATATGTACAGCACTGCCCACTGCAGCCAACGCTCTGAGGGCCCCCGCGCTGAAGGCTTATCCTCTGAGAGCCCCCTCTCTGAGGACTTATCCTCTGAGGGCCCCCCCTCTGAGGGCTGTGTGTGTGAGGATGGCCTGTACCGTCACAACACCACAGGACAGTGTGTGATCCCCGCCCTGTGCCCCTGCCTCCACCAGGACGTCCTGCGACAGGTGCACTCTCTCTGACACTTTTTTCAAAATAATCACTCTTTTTAGATACTATAACAATATGTTTAGGAGCAAAAATCTATACTTCTATCTACTAAACATTGACCCTAAAAAACTCAATACCAAACTTTAATGACGTGTGTGGGATATGCATGTTATTTCAGTATGCAAAGGCATTTCAGAGTTCCACATCATTCCACATTATTAACCAGCCTCTCTTGTTCTGAATATTTCATCACATTTTATTAGCACAGTAATGTTAGTAGTGTGCGTGTGCTCTGGACATCAGAGTGTGCACTGTTCATTATTAGTGCACACACGTCCCCGTGTACAGGCCTGTATGAGCTCCTGTTCCTGTTCTGCTGTTATTTACTGATAGAGAAGGACCCATTAGCAGAGGAGTGACATGCCCCGCGGGCCATATTACAGCGCACAGCCTCACACATCAGCCTCATCTATAATACACAAGCACGCTCTCAGGCCATGGGCTGGTCACATTATTTATGAAGCAGCCTTATTATAGGATTATGAGCATGAATCATGGGCTGACACCAGCTCATTTACCCTCTGTCTGTTTCTGCTACTGCCCTCTTCATTCAGCTGTAAGACTGTGGAGCATGAGGCTAGGGAGACTAGTCTGCTTCATATAAGTGTCTGAGCAATGTCCCACACGTCACTGTGGAACATTGTGTCGGAGCAGTCCCATTCTAATGCAGAAGACATCTCCTCTCACATCTTCTCTGAATGATGTGAGGATATCTTATGCCTCATATGTGATTAACAGTGTGTAATGCCTCACCTGTGGATGCTACACTTGTCTCCTCTGATCTCATTTGTGTGATACTTATTCTCCCATCTCATCCATCAGAACAAACAGGCCTGAAGTTAGTTTGGCTGGCCAGGATAGCTTCAGAAGAAGCCACAATGTGTTTAATTACTCAGTCCTAATTGTGCCTAATGAGGCTGGTTCATTGTGTTAAGGGTTTTCAAAAGCAGTGGAAAGAGAAACGCTCTCTCTAACTCCTGTTCCACTCAGTGGTCTCACAGTCACTCCACTGTGGGTGTTTCAGCAGCCACAACCAAATCTTTTAAATATATATATTTTTAAACTTTAAAAATATATGTTGATGGATACAACCTGTTAGAGTAAAATGACTCACAGCCATTATCACTGTCTCCATAACTCTCTGCAGGAATATAATTACAGTATGAATGCATTATTTACATTTGAGAGCTTAGTAAATGAGGGAGCATTGTGCACAGTGCATTTTCATGAGCCTATTTAATATTTGAAATCTCAAACTGCATCTCACTGTTCCACTGTGGGATTACCACTCCAGCTGTATTTATACCTGTATACCTGATGCTATTTGGAGATTTTTACTCAAACAGGCACAGTTACAATATAGCTTAAAATCTGATGTTAACATAGAGTTGCTTACACTACTAGTCAAGATATAACAGGTTTTGAGTTATATCCCTCTTTTAATTTACTACATTCCATATGTTTCAAAGTTTTAATTCTTTCAATGAGAATCTACAATGTAAATCATCTAGTGTTGTTACTCACGACATTAAAATTTAAAACTCAATTTTGATACTAAGGAATAGACTCGATACCCAATACTGATTCCCATATCGCAATCATGAATAAAAAAATAATAATAATAAAAAACACACTTTTTTTCTGTTCCCATGTGGTCTTATATGTGTGTAATCCCTTAGTGGTGCAGTAGGTTCATAGTGGTCCATGTGTGTATAATAGTCTGTGTGCTCTTCTACTTGTTCTGATACAGCTCAACATCATTCTATGAATGTGACTTTTTTATACTGGTATGTGCTCAAATGAGTATGTAGTTTGGATACTAGTTTTAATATCAATTAGTATCTGATTTTGGATACTTTTGATAAGCCTACTAAAATAACCTTGAAAATAAATGAAAAACACAAGTAAAGCCGTGTGTCCAAGCTTGTGACTGGTGGTGTATGCAGGTGTATTCAGAGGTGCCCCTGTTAGAGGAGGGCATGTACAGTGATGTTTGTTTCATAACATTTGAAAGCTGTCCGTTCTCACAGTGCTGTTGTGTTTGTGTGGGCAGCCTGGCACTCAGTGGGAGGAGGGCTGCAGGAGCTGTCGCTGTGTGAACGGGAGGACCCTGTGCCAGCTCAGGTGCCCACCACTGCAGTGTGAAGAGGTGAGAGCCTAAGCACCACTCACTCACAAACACCACACAACAACTACTGATACAGCTGAGCAAAAACATCTCGCATGGAAAAAATATGAAGATCCAAGGTTACCGGAGAACAAAGCTGGTTCAGCACTTACATCAGAGGTGGTAGAGTAGCCCAAAATTGAGAAAAACAACAGCAACATTACTTCAAAATAATATAACACAAATAGAAGTACAAAATAATGGTCCAAGAAATTACTAACAGAGATAAGAAGTATTTGGGAAAAGTACTACTCAAGTAAAAGAAATTTAAAGAGTAACTGTCTGATTTAGAATTTGAAGTTAATGTAATTTGATAGACAAAACATTGAATACTGCACAAAATCTAGTATTTTCAAAGGGCAGACACAAAAATGAGAAACTAAATCAGATCTGAAGGAGCTGCAAGAAACACAAATGTTGAAATCATTTCATGTTGTCACATAAAGACTTGCTCACAATGGAAGGAGTATCCAAAACTTTTACTAAAGTAAGAGTACTGTTACTTCAATAAAATATTACTCATGTAAGAGAAAAGCAGGGTGCTAGGAAAGTACTCTGAAAACTACAATTTCTTTAAAAATTCATTCAAGTAAATGTAACTTTTGTTGTTGTTGTTGTAACCCGAGCCGTGTTTCATCATCATCTTGTAATTTAGTCCCAGGAATTCTGCAGCTCCTATGGGGTCTGTCCATAGAGACCCCACATGGAGACCTGGTGGTGCTTGCTTTGCAGGGTAGGTGAAGAGGAGCTGTTGTATGCGGTGTTTGACCACACTCTGGACAGGTGTCAGTGATGTTATTGTCAATCTGACTGAGATATGGGTTTAAGTGCAGCTGAGCCAGAGAGCACCTGGTGTCTCTGGGCAGCTGCAGTTCTTTAGTGCTCATTTTTGGTACAGGATCACCTGAATGTTGAGCCCGGACAGAGGGGATACAGGCTGAAGTGTCTTGTGCTGCCATATGTTGATGTATAAGCCAAACTCCATTTCTGTAACTGTCTTCATTGATGTTGGTGTTGTCAATGCTTATGATTTCTTTAACCTGCTCTCCGCACAGGGCGCTCAGTGTCTCTCTTATGTTACAATTTCTGTCCAAGGAGTGAAGGATGGAAGTATTTAGATCGGGAGTCTTCAGTCTCAGGAGGAATTGCATGCTAAAGGGAAAGCAGAATTTAGGAGCAGACTACCGGTGACTATAACCAATAAAGATATACCCACAGCTCAGGAAGTCAAAGTTTTAGGTGTGACTTTTGATCAATCTTTGATATTTTCAAAACACTGTAATAACATTCCAACTAATTTAGGTGAGTGAAACAACAGCCTAAAAAAGCTTGCTTGTACCACATGGGGATGCTCAAGGGAGGTGCTTCTTGCAGTATACAAAGCCATCGGTAGGTCAATTATGCAGCACCGGTCTGGACCCCAGACTTGTCCCACACTAACTAGGGGCGCCTCCACATTAAACAAAATGCTGAACTCTGGACAAGATTAGGCCATCTACGCATTACCCCGATTTACCATCTCCACCATGAAACAGGTGTTATGAAAGTTAGTAAATGTAACTTAGTACTACTACAGACCTCTGGTTTACATGCACACCAAACAAGGCTGCAAAAGTACCATTATTTCCTTTGCAAACAGCAAAATCTCCTGTCTTATTCTGCATAAAAAGTGCTAACCCTGTAGTTTAGATCTGAAATGTGATTCAGTTCAGTTAGTATTTCAGTATTTTTATTTTTTTTATTCTTCTGGATATGATTAAAATGTGAATTTTGAACAGAATACTGTGATTAAATCATAAATCGCAAATCAAATCACAATCACAATGCTTGGGATATCTGATTATTCCAGTGTTCACGTAAAAGTAAAAGGAGTATAGGCATGAATGAGTATAGACTAGATGAAGAGCGCCCCCTGTGTTCAGGCTGTGTGGATGAGCCTGCACAGAGGGGGGTGTAACAGCTCTTTGTTCTCTGTCTGCTGTGAAAAGGTCACTCTGTGCTCTCCTCATACTCTTCAGTCTTTGGACTCTTATTTCAAGCTGAATAACAGTGTGTGCCTGGGGAAATCAGGAGCTAAAGTCTGAAACCAGTCTTACCTGGGCCGGTAGTTCTCCACCAAGACAGGAGTACACCAGGGACCAAACAAGGGACGATACAGGCTCTAAAACAGGACTGAAAAAGAAATTGTCACTAAAGCTAGACTAAACTGAACCAGGATCTAAACCAGGACTAAAACTGGATAGAAAAACACCCATGGGTATTAAAAATCCTATATGACACAAAACTATATGATCTTTATGACTCTTGTAAGTTTTAAGTAATGTTTGAATGTTGTTATCTCATCAAAATACCTACTGAAGCTATGTCATCATTCACACATGTTTGAGTAACCCTTTATCTATAACTTCTTGGGTTCTTTTTAAAGACAATGCAGTAAAGTGTATTTACCTTGTTGACATGTTTCGGCTGCGAGCTGTAAGCCATCTTCAAAACTGTCACCTGTGTTGGTGGTGACGTGTTGTATATCAGCTGTTGTTACTTCCTGTAGGTGTGGTCACCCTGATGGACCTGGCAGGTCACTCAGACTGACCACGCCTCCCGTCTCCCGGTGTTCTCTGGAGGAGGGTGTCCCAGGTGTGTGAAAGGAGGAACGCTCTCTCATCACGGTCAATACCTCGTTTCCTGATTTCAATGTCCTTCCTGATCCAGTGTTTGAACTTTTTGTTTTCCGATTCAATGACCTGAGCCCCGTCCCAATCCATAATGTGGTTATTCCTTTTACAGTGGTCTAATATGGCGGATTTTAGGTTTTCCTACATCTCCAAAAGCTCAAAATGCTCTGTTCACCTCATATAGTGGTTTTCAAGTTAACATCTCCTTTTACCTTTAGTTCAATAGAGAATTCCATCGCTGAAATCATCCAGATGATTCTAGTAAAGGTGTATGAAGTTTAAAAGCACTTCCTGTATTACCACATGACATCACAAGATGGAGTTTTTTTTAGTTTGAGAGAAGAACTGAGCCTAAATGTGCAGGGTTTGTGTGTTAAACGTGTGAATGAAACAAAACACAACTCAACACAGTAGGTCTGTTTGTGATGAGGAAACATTATAACGTAGAAACGGAATTTTCTCTTTGCCATTATAACATAGAGCTGAAAATAGTGTAATACAGGCCCTTTAACAATGAGACAAACTGGGCAGAACTACTCAACTCAAGATACATTTTCAAGAGTCACTGAAAGGTGCAAGTGGCATTTCTCATCACCTGCTTGTTTTCATGGATATGCTATCGCTTTATATGGGATGTTCTGCAGTGTGGCATTAAAGCTACTATCTGTAAGTTTATCCCCTTCCCTCACCTGGCCCTTGTTCAGACTCACCTGTGCTCTCTGCTCTTGTTCTGTCAGGCCAAAGCTGTCACACAGACTGCTTTCATACTGCAGAGACGTAGACAGCATGTAGTGGTGATATGTGAGAATACAACAGGGGTGGGAAAGCCATTTAATAACAAATGTTTTAAACTTTTTGCAGTTTTCAGTTATAGGTGTGGCTCAAAATATACCTTAAAAGTAATTTAAACTTCCCACGAACAGGCTTCACAAATCAAAGAAATAACATTGTCATGGAGACAAGCATGTGATGGACACTCAGTCATAAAAGTTACACAGCGGAAAATACATATGTTTATAGTCCTCTATTTTATTCACTATTTTTCTTCACATTCAGAGCTTATTCATGAGTAAATCTTGTTCAAAGCAATGGTCTCTAGAGCCCTGTCAGAGCATTTCAGCAGATACCAGTTGAGCATGCATAACTAAATCTTAAAAGAGGCAGTTTTTGTTAGAAAAGACAATCCTGCTTTGAACAGAAATGACCCCATCCTCAGACCTAAATCAAAACACAATGGTCAATAGGTATAATCAGTAGACTAACTGATGTGAGATCATTCATCAGGGCACTGAAGGACTAAATATGACTCAGACAGTAGTTTACAATAGATGAGTGTGGTTAGCTCCTCCCTTTAGACAGACGCAAGGCAGTGTCCCATCAGCACTTGACCCAGGACTGAAGAAGCTGCTTGGATGACTGCTGAAACATCTTCAATCTAAAGCCTTTATCCAAATGACAGATTAGAATTTTTCTTTTGCTCTAACTAAACATATCTGATCTCACCAGACTGTCATGCTTTTAAATGCCAAGTGGCTGTTACACAGTTCCACCTAATCCACAGTTCTGTATCCCCTGAGCCCCTCTGTGCTGTGCTGGGGTGGACGTGTTTTGGGGTGAGCTCAGGACTCTCACACTGGACTGTCTCTCTTTCTCTTTCTCTCCACACAGGCTATTTTTGGTCTTTTCATCCTCTTCATAATCTCCCTTTCAGGTCCCTTTGGTGGACTTTTTCATATTTTTGCTCCGTCTTCCGTAGCACCAGCAGAATGTCTATTTTTGGTGGTCCGGCCGAGCCCGGGCTGCCAGAGCAGAGGATGCGTTGACAGGTCAGGCCGAGGCGAGCGCTAAAAGGATACACATCTAAAGTTATGTGCTGGTGGGCTCCTATCTGATCGCAGCACCGTTCACTGTTCTGGATAAAGTGAGCACTTTCCATTGTAAATGTTATCAAAGCTGAGGAGGCCACATGGTAGTAAAGTGGTGTGAGATGATTTGGTAAAGGGCTAAAACATGTAGAAGGCTCAAAATAAATCCATACTCTTATACTAGGCAGTACACATAGTTAGGATGGATTTTACCTGCCCTGAATACTTTTCAGGTTTGTTTTCGCAATGTCACTCCCCCTTCAGAGCACTATTACAGCATAATCACCGTGCATTTTCCTAATTTAACTATTGGACCTCACATCAGGTTTGTGAAGTTGAAGTGGTATCATTTTGTATTCTGCTCTTGCTATGGCATCTAAAACCTTTTCAGGCATGTTTTTGAAGAGTGAACAATGTCGTAACATGGCAGAAATTTCCACAAAGTCAATTTTGCATAATTCCCTCTCCTTGAAGAATGTATTACTATGTGTTGAAGAAAATATTGTCTAAGAGAATTGTGTTTTCAGGATAGTAAAGTATAAAAAATGGAAAGACTCCGGCACACAGCAGCAGCAGCAGCAATTTTTGGGCAAGTTAGAGTGTGAGAGTCTTTCCATTTTGGATTTTTACAAGAATTACTGTATTTTTCAGACTATAAATTACTCCAGAGTATAAGTCACACCAGCCAAAAAATGTGTAATGAAGAAGAAAAAAACAGATATAAGTCGCACTGGACCATAAGTGGCACTTTTTGGGGGAAATGTATTTTATAAAATCAGACACCAGGAACCGACATTTCCTGTTGAAAGGCAAGTTCTAGTAAAAACAATAGAAGAGAGAACAACAGACTGTTAATGTCACATATGAACAGTTATTCAGATAATTATAGCATAAACAACAGATCAGAACAAGTTTACCAAACTCTCCATCTCGCTCCAAATCACTAAATCCATTCAATTCTTCTACTTCTGAGCAACTCCTCGACCTCTGGAGGTAAACAGAGCGCCGCTTCCTCTTCTGTGTCGCTGTCAGCATCAGTTCCAGTTAGAATTATTCGGGTCTTTCTGAATCCCGACAGGATGGTTTTGGTGTCACTGAAGTCCAGGCTTTGTCCATCCATCCAGTGACTTCAGGAAAGTTTCATGGTGCATCCTCCTGGTGTCACAAGTTTTTCTCTCACTCCAAACTTTCTTTCTGCTGCTCGATTACCGTTTTCAGATGCAGATTTCTCGACTTGCAGTTTGTCATCTGCAAAATCAGATTTTCTTTTTGGGGGCATTTGTGTTCAGTCTTCTCAGTCGTCTTTATAAGTTTGTTTAAATGTTAAATTGTTCAGTGGTGCAGAAGTAATGGTGCGATTGACTGACATGATACAGACAGAACAGAAGCTCTTTCTGCAGGAGACATGTGCAGTAGAGCCAAGTGATAGTACCCAGGTAAGGAGCAGCAGATACTGATACACAAAACTAGAGCGCCCTCGTGAAAGTTTTAATATATAAGTTGCACTTGAGTATAAGTTGCAGGACCACCCAGTCATGAAAAAAACTGCAACTTATAATCTGAAAAATATGGTACAATACGATGTGTGAAGCACCTTCATTATCTTGGGATAGTAAAATGTCAAACTTGATTATCATGCTAAGAATAAAGACTCAGCACTATTTTTTGTGCCACAATGATAATTAAAAACACTAACAGTACACTACATCCTTTTTGTGTCATTTGAGCTCACATCTTAACTACACAAACCTTTATTTAATAATTTATGAGTAACATGAATTATGACAATGCACAGATATCAGTTATAAAGCATGTAACATGCACTGAAAAACAGCCATGTGTCAGAGATAAAAGGGTTGTTGTGTTTCAGGGCGAGGTGAAGGTGGAGGAGCCGGGCAGCTGCTGTCCAGTCTGCAGGAAGCACTTCCCAGGTCAGGACACATTTCATTTCTTCAGCTAAACTGTAATAATATGATTCAAATGTTCCCTACTAGAATGATGTTCTGTCTACTTAAAGAAGACATACTGAGCTTCTGTCTGCTCTACAGTTATAATCTATGGCACCCGTGGATTGTTATGTTATCATTTGGATGTTTTAAATCACAATAATGACTGAAAATGAATTAATAACAGAAGTAAATCATCTCACTTCAGTTTTGGGGATAGCAATGACATTTTGAATGCAGAAGAATAAAGATCTAAATACAAGTTCAAGTGGGTAATTGAGAACTGAAAAATATAAAATGACCCTAACACACTGTGTGTGTGTGTGTGTGTGTGCATGTGTGTGTGTACTAGAGCCAGGTCCTGAGTGCCGGCGCTACACTCAGCTCCGAAACATCACTAAAGGACAGTGTCACTTGGACAACGTGGAGGTCAGCTTCTGTAGAGGGCGCTGTCTGTCCAAGACTGACGTCATACTAGAGGTATGTGCTCACTCACTCTCAGTGCTCTCCAACCAGCAGCTCTCAGGTCTCATACCCACGCTAGGTGGGCCTCTCAAGGGTTAGGTTTCCTCCGGCTACTCCAGTTTCCCTCATCGTCCTAGAACATGCATTGTTTCATTAAAAAGTCTCAAAATGGAGGAGGGTGCTCACTTCCAGGTTCAAGACGGTTTTAGATATGTGTTGTAGAAGGGGCTAAAGTTTTCCATGGAAGTGCTCACTTAAGCCTTGTTTCCATTGGTTCATTTTGGAATAGATTGGATCCTGGGAGTGGGCTGGCCTGGTGTGGCTCTGGATTGGTTTAGCTAATGGTTAAAACATCTAAATGAGATGACTGGAGATGTGAGAATGCAGATCAATGAGCCAAAATAACATGGCAAAAAGCAAATATGAACATAAAATAATAATTTCTCAACAAACGCTGACGTGATAAATGGCCACACTTCCACTGAAGGCAATGACAAATAAACCTTCTGATGTATTACACAAAGAGATAATAAAACATGAGGGAGAGGCGCAGAGAAGTGAAATAAATGCAGAAAGTGGTAGTGGTGAACATATTTATACACTTTTTTTTTTTTTTTTTATGTAATAAAGTAGTTTCAATAATTGTGTTTATCTTATTTTTTGTAGCAATATTTCTCACCTCAAATGTTCTTATTAGAACAACAAATCTTCTGTTCATCTGTCAGCGCTCAGTCATTCTGTCCAAATGTGCAGATGGATTAAATGTGCTTAGGACTGCAAATGTTAGTGTGACTGCTCACTGTGATGGTCAGATGGTCAGAGAAACACTGGCACTTATCAACTAACACTCCTTTCTAACTGTAAGTGCAGACAGCATGGATGTGTAATCAAACAGTAATGGGCTGATTCCAAAGACTGCATAAAGCGCTTGAATATTGTAACTGTGTCATATTGTGGAACTGTGGAGGTGTGAGCTGAGCAGTGTGTGCCAATCTGTCCATCTGCTGCTGCCCTGGCCTCCAGCACAACCCAACAAGGCTCCCCCGCTGAGCTCCGCCTCCTCGAACAGGGCTGGACAATACAATAATCACACAGTCCTATGTTTAGTGTGAGCGGTGGGAGGAGGGCGGGGCTTGTCTCGGATCCAATACGTTATAATGATGTGAGTCTGGTCACTGGAGAATCTTCCTGAGCTCAGACAGACGTGATTGACAGGTAGATGAGCCAATCTGAGACACGCATGGTCCATACGTATCAACACAAACATGGCTGCGTAGTGTTTACGAGGAAAAAAAGAGAAAAATATCACAATGGACCAAAAAACATTTCTGATTTGTGCAGAATCAGTGAAACTAATGTTAATGTTGAAGTGAGAGAATTACAGTTTTGCTTGTAAATAACGAGTGACCAATGAGCTCAAATCCACCTCAAGATGCAATGAATTGAGAGGTGACTTGACCAATATCCCTCTGTATAAGAAGGTTTTATTCAATTATTAACCCAAAAGTCACATTTCTTTAGGGAAAATATCTAAACACGAGCCTAAACAAAACACATTTTATTGATTTCTTTTGAACACAAGGATAGGCACATTTCTTTCTCCAAAGTTTTTTACTGCTGTAGAGCCGTCCATTAGAAAGACCAAGCTGATCACTGACACTGTTGGGCAAGTTACTTTGAAACTGTAATGCGTTATTTATTACCTATTACTGTCATTTCAAAGTAATTCGTTACATTACAATATTACTGCATTTAAAATGTAAGGCATTACATTACTATTGCATTACTTTAAGTTACTCTCACCAAAATAACTTTTGCGCTGTATATGGACTGAACCAGGACTAAACCAGGTCTAAACCAGGACTAAACCAGAGCTGAACCAGGACTAAACCAGAAGTGAACTAGGACTAAACTAGAACTGAACTAGGACTAAAACAGGACTCACTGTAGGGAAGGGCTCGAAGGTGACCGCAGGAGAAAGGAGCGGCTCTGCTCCGCACCTCACGGAGGTAAGAGCGGCTGTCACCCTGCTGCTCGGGCTCGCGGCCCTGATTTCAGCAACTATTTGCAGGTACCTGAGCTGGTGCAAGATTCTGTTACAGCGCGTAACTTCTACCTTCCTTCAGCGTGTCCAGAAGTCCAACTTTTTGTGTGATGGTTTGCATCTTCCTCTGCCTTTTGGGTGCGAGCGCAGGAGCCTTTGTCGGTGCAGAATGTTTCGTCGACGTTGTGGGTTTCGTCGGGGAGAAAACTTGCAACCGTACAGCACTTCAGAATCACACTGCTAGAGACTGAACATGTATTTAAATTTGGCAGCTGAACACATTCTGTACTGTACTGTACAGGAGACAGGAGTCCCTTGGCCAGTCAGGACGCAGCGGGAGGAACGCAATACACATTCATACAATGTAAAAAAAAAAAAAAACAGGGCATGCAAAATTGCACACAAAAAAAAAAAAAAAAAAAAAAAAATCTGCGAGACAGCGAAAAGTGAACTGCGATAGAGGGAGGGACGAGTGTAAACCAGGTCTAAACCAGAACTGACCCAGGTCTAAACCAGGTCTAAACCAAAACTGACCCAGGTCTAAACCAAAACAGCGTGGAGTTCTTTGTCAGTCCTTTCGCCCGCGGTTACCTGAAGGTCTATGAGGGCGCATCTCCGGCGTTTCACCGCTGCTGATATCGAGGTGATTTTAGCGAATTTGTATGAAGAAAAACCCACCACTTCAATCCAGGTTAAAAAACACTGTAACGCGCGTTACTCACATTTGTACCGAGTAAAATATTACTATTTTTTCCCCTGTAATGCCTTACATTACTGCATTACAGCAAAAAGTAATGCATTACTGTAATTCGTTACTTTTATAACGCGTTACTCCCAACACTGATCACTGACCACTGGACATGACTGAATCTCCATCCAAATGAAATGAACTCAGCTTTGTATTACGCAGACACATGTGTTTCATGTCAGCCAAGCACCAACAGAGGGCGCAATGGCTCCAGCTGTTGACTTGGATAAGTGTGTTTCTGTCTCCTGAAGAGTTAATAGGAGATCTTCTCTAATACAACCAAATAGAATTATCCAAATATACTCAAATATGTGAAATTTAAAGTAATAAAAGCAGCAGCAGTAGTAGTAGTGATAATAATAATAATAATAATAAATCAATATTATATAGCGCTTTTTTGGACACTCAAAGACGCTTTACAGAGCATTATTCATTCACTTCATACACGGTGGTAAACTACTACTGTAGCCACAGCTGCTCTGGGGCAGACTGACTGAAGTAGTAGTAGTAGTAGTAGTTGTAGTAGTTGTAGTAGTAGTAGTAGTAGTAGTTGTAGTTGTAGTAGTAGTAGTTATTGTTGTTGCAGATGTAGTTGCAGTTGTTCTTCTTGTAGTAGTAGTAGTAGTAGTAGTTGTTGTTATTAATGTAGTAGTAGTAGTAGTAGTAGTAGTAGTAGCAGTAGAAGTAGTAGTTGTAGTAGTAGTAGTAGTAGTAGTAGCAGTAGCAGTAGATTTTGGCAGCATAGAAACTGGGTAAAAACTTGAAGAAGTCAAGTTAAATAAGCAAACATATACAAGACCTTTAGACACAAATACTTCACAATACGTGGCTGCTGATAGAGGAGACAGGCTGTGTTCATGGCTGTGTTCTTGTGACATCACAACATCACAACACTGTACTATCCCTGTGGTCTAAACAGAGCTGGACACAGGTCAGAACTCTCAGGTGGAGTTTGCTGTGGAACTGTCAGGTGCAAATGTGTTGACCTGGTTTATGGTTCATATCTCTGTAATTACTGGGCCTATCCACATGAAAAAAAAAACAATATTTTCACTATCGCTTCAGAAAGTGGAACCATTATTCAACCCCAAAAACATGGTGGAGGTTCTGCCGAATTCTTTTCTCCATGGAAATGTTATTGCTTTATCTGGAATGTTTCACAGTATGGAATTAAACATTTCTATCTTCATAGAAACCAAACCAGACCAAGTTACAGGTCAGATCTGTGGAGAGGTGATCCCCGCTCACAGTCAGAATGTCTATTTTTCCAGGTATTCTTGAACTGTAAAAGCACCTGTGATTGAATAAATGTAAAGTAGAGCTGTTTAAAATCACATTAACATGGAACATTCCAGGCAGAGGAATAACATCTCCATAGAAACAAGCAGATGAGGATCCCCCAACCAAAAAGTTTATGAAGCCAATTCGAGCAGAGAAACCCGACCAAAGTTCGAAGGGACCCATCGGAATCTGAAGGGCTCAGTCGGACTTGGACAAATATTAAAAACAGATGTTTGGCTCAGACACATCAGCCTGATAAGATACATTCAAAACATCTTGGACTATTATGTAGGTAGCTAATGTTTTGGATTTTGTTCTGCTGTTGTGTCATTTTTGGTAGGCTCATGTTAATGTAATGTAAATTGGTTAGCCTACATGACTGGGTGCGGCCTTTTGTGCTAATGTACACATGTTGCTCTGTGTGTGTGTGCTGATGTTCCACTCATCTGTGTTGACGTTCCAAATGCCTTTTTTCAGTTAACTGATAAAATTCGACTTTCCACACAAACATATTCCTCCATGTGTCATTAGCCTATGAAAATAGTCTGATTTTAATTGTGTTGGGTTCGGTCGGACTTGGACACAAATATCTTAAAATCGGTTCAGATTCAATCACTGCTCTGTCAGACGAGGGCCGGTCTCTGACTGAAAAAATCATCCCGATCCACACTCTAGTCCCAATCCCAAACATGTAATGAGTAGGAGGAATGTTTGTGTGCCATCCGCTGTAAACAGAAGCTCTGTAAATGCGTGTACATGTGGAGATCTCCATGTGGATGTTGTGAATGAAGCCTCCCGTCTGTGCAGTGATGCCACCTTTGGTCTAAATATAACTCTGTGAATGGAGAGCGCCGCAGTCATGTGTGTTTGATCACTTCATCGCCATGACGACCTCCATGTGTCTCCGCCGTAAAAATAGACTCACCAAAATAAACAGCCGCGCACTGTCCAAAGTGTGTGGTAAGCTCCTGTTACCGTGGCAACCGCAGCCTGCACCGGTGACTAGGCAGAGCGAGAAGTTTCCCTGTCGATTGATCAACCGGAGCCGTGTCCTCAGAGGACGGGCTGACCTACTTCACTCACCACATCCAGAGAGAGAAAGACAGAGAGAGAGAGAGAAGGAGGAGAGGAGGAGAGGAGGACCATGTGTGGATCAGACAGAGGCTCTACACACTGGGGCTCTAGGTGAAGATCTAGAGAAGGTGTCCCATTACGGTCACCTCCAGCTCCTGGCACATTACCACAGCAACAGTGTAGGATGGATCTGATGCAAAATTCAACAATTGTAACTTAAAGATGCACTGCGCAACTTTTCTGGTGGAGAGTCAGCTACCTGGTTGATTCTACAGAAATGTTATTGCTTTGTCTACTGTACAATGTTCCACAGTATAGATTAAACCTATCTATCCTGAGGGTTACAGCACTACGCTACATTACAATTCAGATCTGTGGAGAGGCGCCCCTACTCACAGAAAAAATGACACACATCATTAAATGGTTTATTTTTTTACTTTTTTCAAAAATAAACCACACCGGACTTTAAAGGAAACCCAACAGTGTGATGGGTGAGTGGTTTTGTTTGTTTGTGGCGTTCACAGTGACTCTGGGCTTTGTTCAGTTGTGGCGTGTAGGGAGGGTGCTGTCTGGGACCAACGGATTGTCGGCGTGTTCACAGTGACTCAGTTGTTCAGTTGTGTCTAGAAGTGGCACATTGCACTCACTTTTTCGTTTCGTTCCTCTGTTCCATTCGTCGTCGGTGTGGAGTGATGAGTGTGTCTGTGGGTGTTTTTCACTGCACAGTCGCTGTCTGCTCCGTGTGTGTTTGTGTGTTCTGTGGGTGGTGCGGTTTTGTAGTTTATTGAAGTCGTGCTGGGACACCTGAGTGGATTTGTGTATAGAGTGCTCTGGATTGCGGATCGCGGACGTTTTTTGATGGGGTTAGAGGCTTAAGAGCGCGTCTAATAGCCCGGAAAATACAATATATATCATACCAAAGAACATTCCAGGAAAAGCGACAACATCTCCATGAAGACAAGCAGAAAAGTTCACCTCCATCAGAAAAGTTGCGCAGTGCACCTTTAATTTTAAATCTTCAATT